TGTGTGCTCAAGCGGCTAAGAACCGGAATAGACTTGACCCGTTGGTCTGAATTGGATTCTTCCTGTGTGCCCGTATGCAGACTCGTTCGGAAGGAACCAATATGCAATACGGAGTAAAGGTGCTGACACCGTCCCACCTTCCTAGGCTGCGTCGGTCAGTGCCGGCCACTCAACCGCTCTTGCCTCCTGAAATCTTTGGCTTTCTCGACCCACGGCTAGTCCGCACAGGCCCTGGCTGTCACCCGCTGGCCACCCACTCTTCCGGCGTCTCCTTTTGCCGGCGAGTGGCTCTCGTTTTTACTTGCTCTCTCCTCATCCAGCGCGAGGCTCACGCGCTTGTCTCCTCATTAAGCCGCTCCTTCAAGGTCGGCAACCTGTGCAATCCTGTGCAATTTTGTAAAGACCATCCTGGAGCGAGCCCTCTTTCACCAGCACAGCTCTTGTTAACTGTTTCGCCAAATCCGCCGTCGGGGTTCGACTGCCCGGCGCCGATCTACCATCCTCTTGGTCCCCCGGCTCCGGAGTCATATCCTGCAGACACCACCACATCATGACGCCTTCGCCCTTGCCTTGCGGCCAGGCCTCAGAGCCGCGGCGGCCGCGGAGCGATCCAAAAGTCTCTGTTAATATTGCGGAAGGCTCGCAGAGCCACGGTCGACGGTTCCAGCTTGAAATGAGCGAGTGTGTTGAGACAAAAACCGTCACTACCACAACCCGCCTTACTCGCAAGTTTCCTCAGGTCTTCGTCCGCGACCCAACCCCGCTTGAAAGCCTCGATACGAAAGAATACCCTTTGGCGATGAAGCCGACGCCGCCAGAACTACTGGATTTCTCCTATTACGTTCCCGAAGACGACCAGTCTGAAGAACAAGACATTCATTGCGACGACGAAAAGGACACTGCCCTAACCGGCTCTAGTCAGCTGGTGGTTACCAAACCTGTAAGTTGTATAAACCTCCCGGCCAACTTGGGCCAATAATCGCTCTAGGACTGGCAGAAGAGAAGGAATCGAATGCGGATCTGTTTATCCCCTCAAACAGGAACTAATCTGGCCGAAGCAGTCCAGGCAACTTGTGACCGGTGCCATTACACCCACGGCCGTGAAAGCCGAACCCAGTCTGCACCAGACTCCTTTACCAAATCGAACCAGCCGCCAGGCATCACGCTCCCCTTCTGAATATTATCCCCGACGAACACGTCAAACTCGATCTAGCGTTCCTGATTCGCCGTCATCCTCAGCTTCTCAGGGCGGTACTGGTTCTGCTGTTACACCTCGAACATCACAGCGCCCTGCCCGATCCTCTACCTCGCACGCCGAGTCAGACAAGTTGAGGCGATCATTAACCCAGCTTTACTCGTTATATGACGCAAGCTGTAGTAGTGGAAACACCGCTGCCGCCGGCATGCCGCCCTCTAGCCGCCGTGATGTTGGCGAAAGAGCTACCCGCGGCGGATCCGGGTTCCTCGCCACCCCCGATACTTCTGAGGTCGCTAATTCAGCGATGGACCGCTCTTTCCAACGGCTCCGTTCATTAAATTCAGAACGACCTCAATCCCTGCAGGATTCATCATCTGCACCTGCTGTTGCCTGTGACGCCGCTAGCCCAGCTGGAAGTGACTCTCATACTGTTTTCAGTAGCAATGTCGCTACCCCCCCAGTCACCGATGCCGACCCTGAGCCTTTTGGAGACGCTGACGACTCACTTCAACATTCACTTCGTACTGCAATTCATCACAGACCTACAATTGATGTTGTTGCTGCTCAAGATGCGAGTCTCCCTAGTCCGAGGTTGTCGCCTACTCTTGCTGCATCCCAGTTGCATTCCGCGGAACCCGATGATGGCGCTCAGTCTAGTTTCCAGACATCAGCGAGTGATACTACCATGCCCTGGGTGGAGGGAACCCAGGCCACAGATGATAGCAAAGCTTTGCAGCTGACGTCAAACTCCCAGTTGACCAAAGACAGGGCTTTAAGACGGCTCCAACTCAACGACGATTTCGGACCTGTTGTCCTCGACACGCAGACATTGCTAGAAGCATTTGACTCCATGAAGACTGAAATGAAGACCTTCATGATGTATCAGTTCCTTCGTAGATGTCCGCGTCCTACTCTGCGGCTGATCGCCGATACCGTGAATCCTACTCTGAAGTGTGACTTTTTAAGGCAGCTTCCCCTGGAGTTGAGCTATCATGTCTTGGCTCATTTGGACCATCGAGATTTATGCAGGGCCGCCCAAGTTTCGCGGCACTGGCGCAATATTGTTGACCGCAATGAAACGGGCTGGAAGGAGCTCTTGGACAGCGACGGCTATTGCATGGCACCTGGTGAACTGCACAAGGCCATTGTCCAAGGTTGGGGTTGGCAGGATCCGGTTGGGCCCTTGGACTATGAACACGACTTAAGCATGCAGGGTCGGCTTACATCGTCTGAATTTGAATTAACTCGAGCTTTCCGAAGCGAAACTGCGCCAAAGTCTAGGAGTTCGAAGCGAAAGCGAGGCCTGAATACTTATTCCGCGTCGGAACGATCGAAACGCAGGGCTGGCACGTCTCAGGAATCCTCTACTACTGCCGTGAGAGACCCGAGAGTGGAGACGGAATTAAAGCAACATAAGTCTGAGGGTCCCCTTTCCGCTGCCAACGCAGCAGCAGCAGCTGTTCCTGACCCCCAGCTCGGCCTGCCTAGTCTTCGCCAACTTCATCTTTTCAAGTCAATCTATCGCCGTCATCACATGATTCGTCGAAGCTGGACAAGTGGAGAAGTCGCACCCGGTCACGTCGCCTTTCCTGCCCATCCTCGACACGTCATCACTTGTTTACAGTTTGATGATGATAAAATAATAACGGGCAGCGACGACACGTTGATTCATATTTACGACACAAAGACGGGCAAATTACGTAAAAAACTCGAGGGTCATGAAGGTGGTGTATGGGCCCTCCAGTATGAGGGAAACATTCTTGTTTCGGGATCGACCGATAGGTCGGTTCGTGTTTGGGATATCGAACGAGGACTATGTCAGCAAGTATTCTATGGCCACACTAGTACTGTGCGATGCTTGCAGATTCTTATGCCCACGGAGACTAGCCGAGATCTAAGTGGACAAGCTGTTATGCAACCCGAGAAGCCGCTGATTATCACTGGATCTCGAGACAGCCAACTCCGAGTCTGGCGTCTCCCAGAGGTTGGCTCTCGCAGGTATATTCAGACGGGGCCGCCGGCGCAGGAGTCCGACTGTCCCTACTTCATTAGGGTGCTCACGGGCCACACACATTCTGTGAGGGCTATTTCGGCCCATGGCGACACCCTTGTCAGTGGCTCTTATGATAGTACCGTGCGTGTCTGGCGTATCAGCACCGGTGAATCGCTGCATGTCCTTCGTGGACATTCTCAGAAGGTGTACTCTGTTGTTCTTGACCACAAGCGAAACCGATGTATTTCAGGTTCTATGGACTCACTTGTCAAGATTTGGGACTTGGCAACTGGTGCTTGTCTCAACACCCTCGAGGGCCACACTCTTCTAGTTGGCCTCTTGGATTTGCGAGATGAGCGTCTCGTGTCTGCCGCGGCAGATTCGACGCTTCGAGTTTGGGACCCTGAGAACGGCAGGTGCAGACACACGTTGATGGCACACACTGGAGCCATCACCTGCTTCCAACATGACGGACAAAAGGTCATTAGCGGCAGTGAGAAGACTGTGAAAATGTGGGACGTCAATACGGGCGAGTGTGTGAAAGATTTGTTAACTGATCTTACTGGCGTTTGGCAAGTCAAATTTGACGAACGGCGCTGTGTGGCAGCTGTGCAGCGCGACCAGTTGACCTATGTAGAGGTAACATCAACCCGGAGAATTTGAACCACAAGTCTGACAAAGATACTGACTTTTGCCACAGATTTTGGACTTTGGTGCTATTCGAGACGGACAATGTCGTGAAGAACTGGGACGGCGAATTTTGTTAAACGAGGTCGAGGTGGGGGATATTCTTGATGGGGGAGTGTGAGACTGATGTGTCTGCTTGCCACCCTTCACACCTGAACATAAGGCGACCGGAAATATACAGCATGACAAGAGTAGCGCTGATGCAGTAGATGATTCACGTTAATTGCATCGAACAAGAAGGTTATGACGAATGATGCGAGGCAAGGGGTTCAGTATTATTCTGTTTATGCGAATATCAGAGTGCATTGTCAACGGCTTGCGGCGGGTCACGATATTGGCGTTAAAAAGGGTTTTGGGGAGAGGGTCATGTTTGTTTACGCCGCGTTTTTATATTTATTGCGTTTTCTTCTAGTAAGGTCTGGTATGCAAAGGCTGGTGTTTCGGGTAATGAATTGACGGGAGCTTTTGCTCCTTGATGAGCGGCAGTAACATCAGTCCATGTGACACGCAAAGATAGACAAAGTGTGACGACGCTTTCACGAAGCGTCATGCCGAGAGTGCGAGAGTGCGAGAGTGCGACGGTGGAACGAATTCCGGTGGTGCCGCGGACTTGGCCTCCAACAGCAGAGCATCAATCAAGTTGGTCGATAATGATATGGGCTGCGTTGGGCTCTGAGGTCTAGTCTGCCTGTGTTACAGCAGTTTTTGCCTGGTAGCACCGTAGAATAGAGCGCCACGAAACGAATTTCCTTTTCTGGCATGCAGGTGGATTGCTAGCCTGCGCATGTGCGGAATCGTGACATGGGAAGAAGAAGGCTGACTTGATGGGGGCTGCAATATTCGGGGCATGGGAGTCAAGTCTCGCTCCGTGGCTCCGGGGTCTATATATTTCAGCTCTTCCTCCGTCGGTTCCCTGCTCATGGGTCGCTGTTACTCGGTTCCTTCTAGTCGAGGACGTCGAGCCCTGGGTTCGTTGACCGTTGTTGGCTGCTGTTGACCTCGCCGAGCTGACATTGCATGCACGACGTTGGCCGAAGTTGGCTGGCAGACGACACAGGCTACTTTGCAGAATTGCTGCGGACTGGTTCACTTGCTCGCCCGGAATCACCGGATTTGGAAAACATGGGGTTCTTGAGCAAAGCTCTTTCCAAGGCCGGGAATGTGGCTCAACAGGCTGCCGCCGATTATCAACATAAGCAGCAGCAGAGGGATTATCCTGCTCAACAGTACGGTCAACAGAATCCGTACCAGCATCTACAGCCTCAGCAGCAGCATCACCAACCATATCCGCCGTATCATCGGCAGCCTGCTCCGGCGCCTGAGCCAGGACCAACTTCATGGCTTCAGGATAGCGGCACGTCAGCAGTACCGTATGTGCCGATTCCTCCTCAACCAGTATTGAGCACATCGAGCCAGCCACCAATTGCAGCTTCATCTTCTAGGCCAGACCAATCCGTAACAGCACAGGGTACCCGTGCGATTGTCGTACAAGCCTCGGTCCATCATGTTTCGGGAACACCAGAGCCACATCCATGTGGTATCACACCCATCGTGGAGTGTTGCAACACAGAGGTGCTGTTCCCACTCGATTGGTTTACTCACTCATCCGCCTCGTCGTTTACAATATGTAGTCGCTGCTATGTCGACTACGTCTACAACTCACCGTTCCGCTGCGAGTTTACAGTGGCGCGCTCTGTCCAAGGTGAATCTCGACGATGCATGTTCGGATCCCGTCGGATGAAGGAGACTCTGTGGCCTCAAACCATCTTATCAGGAAATTTGAGCAACGCGCTAGAATGCATGAAAACAAGACAAGACCTTCCAGCCTGCCCTGAAAGTCAGCTGCAGCAAAAACGCAACCGGTATCTATCCAACGATATCCCCGGCGCCACTATCTGTGAGGCATGCTTCGAGGATAACCTCATCCACACGCCATTTGGTTGCCGATTCAAGCTACAGAAAGCGGACACGATTGCCGAACAGTGGTACTGTGACTTGAGCGTCTGGTTCATCCCGCGCACACTGGAGGATAACGTCGGAACAGGAACGTGGAATAAGTTCTGCGATGATGTGAAGGCTCGTTTACAAATGCCACAATGCCCCAAGCTGACAAACACCATTGTCGACCAACGGGGCTGGTATATTGCAAGCAGGGGACCGCCAGGACTCCAGGTCTGCCATACTTGTTTCTGTGACTACTTCTTTGGCACCCCTGCGGCGGACTTCTTTGCTCCCGGGAAACCGGAGGGACCTAACGGCACTGCCATCTGTGTGATGGGACACTTGAATATCCTATTATCGACCATGAGGGCCTCAATCAAGCAAGACTGGCAGATATTTTGGGAGGCCATGGATCAACTTGGGGCGAATCCCATCTGTTCTGGAACTGGCACAACCAATGCCGTGTGGTTCACAACCAAGAACAATCCTCCTGATTTCGCGGTTTGCGGCGCTTGCGTCGGCTCCATCGCCACAGCATTTGGGGGAGCTCACCACTTCATACCAAAGCCGGGCACCTCGAGAAGCGATACATTTGTCTGCAACTTCAACACTAGAAAGCCGCGGTGGCAGCAATTTCTGGCAAACTTCAACGAGGTGGTTTTGACCGGGAAGCCAGATTCGCTGGAATTAGCTGCCAAAACATGGGCTGGCGTCCCCTTATGCCCACGATATGATCTCAAGAAACCGGGCAAGAGAAAGTGGTGGGGATGGGACGACCTGCAAATCTGTGAAGAGTGCTACATCTCCTTTGCTAAGGGATCCAGATTTGAGGCCAACTTTCCCATGCAAGGACTATTCGTAGAGAAGCCACGCATTTGCGACTTGTACTCCCCTCGGATGCGTGGCCTATACACCGAAGCGTGCCAGAATGATACACTGCCTGCTTTACTGGACTTTGCTCACAAGAGAAGGCTTGTATTCCTCGAGACAATACCGCACTGCGAGGAAATTCTAATGGCGCAGTTTATGAAGGCGCAGCAGGCCAAGATGCTGGGAATCACGGGTTCCTTTTACAAAGCAATGGGCGGAGCACAGGCTGCAATCAACGGACATGATTACAACGTGGGAAATGCCCAGGTCGGCTACGGATGGAAGAATGAGACGGAGTTCACGGGCGCCATGTATGATCACCATATGAGGCAGGTCGCCGGGGAAGTTGGGAACGGAGGGCCAGAGATGATGATCCGGGTTTTGGAACAGCGGTGGAAACAGGTGGAATAGTCGGACTGCTCGGGGCCGTATAGGTGCCCAGATTCGGTTCATATGACCGCCCGTATGAAATGCAATATCTATTCACAGACGTGCTTCTAACCCCGTGGCAAGGGTGCTTGGGCTGGGCGCTGGGCGGATTTTCGGATTTCAAAGCCTGTGTCTTTGCACATACTATACTTGGGCACGTCGTCGAGGCATCATTAGATCATGAGCTCATCTAGGCCTTTGCCATGCAATCCCCGACCGCTGTGCTTGATAAGTCACCAGCAATGGTGTAGTCCGAGGATTGACGGCACGTCCGAGGCAGAGGTGGCTGCATCTCTTGAATCAGCGGCCTACGTGGAGGCAATAAATGGCTGAAAAAGCCCGTACGCTTCGGAGATTAATGATGCATAAGCGTTTCCAATGGGGTTCTATCGTAGCAGCCGAAAAACGGGCACATGTACGGAGGCTACAGATGTGTGCAAACGAAGATTGAAGATGACTGACCCCCTGCGTTGTTGAATGCGGGACGTCCGGTCGGAACACTGCTAGGCTGCTGGGCAGGTACTGAGGTACCTAGTGAACTGTCGAGCTTGATTCAATGTTGCTTGGGAAGGCACGATCGATGAAAACACATCTGGACCAGTCGGCATCAGGAGACATCTGGACGCTCTGAGGTGGCTGCAGTCAACTGTAAGCCCAACGTGATCACGTTCCTCGGGTCAGCTTCGCCCAATTCTCCCAGGCCAGAGGGTGCGACATAAACGCAGGTTTTGTACGGAGTAGCCATGCTTCGTTTCTGCTCCCGTGTAACGAAGCACCACGACGACGTGGCGTAGCCAAGACATTGGATCACAGACGGATCGTCAGGCGGTTGGGCAGCAGCTGCATCCACGCTGCATCCCACGCAGGGCGATTCTCATGCAGATGCATCTATGCCATCCCTTTCCCAACGTCCTTCAAGCCTGTACACAGGCTTTGCCCGATATATTGCGTCGGTCGTTGCCGTCGTGTACCTTATTCCATCCTGAACGGATGAAGCTTGCTGACTCGGGCTCGGAAAACAGGATGGAAGGGGGACGTGGACAACGCGAGGCAGCCAGCCACACGATGTGTTCTCCCCGCGCCGCAGTTCACTTTCAGCATCGCCACCATCCGTCAGCGTCGAACAGAGTCAACAATCAGTACCCTGAAAAGCCTTTCACGGGTTGGTCGGTTCAGCCCCGTGGCGCCGGTTTTCGATTTCTTCTGGCCGAAGCCGCCCATTGAGAGACGGGACGCCCCGCGATTCGCTAGTTCAGAGCCTGGCAATGGCCAGTCAAGCTGAGAACAGAGGCCTCCCCAAACGGTAAACCCAAAACGGAACCAACTGTGGTCAAGGCCGGCGGAGAATCACCAAGAATATCGGCTGGGTACGGAAGTAGAAGCCATGGTCCCGAGCTGGTACTTTGTACCGATCCAAGGCCCCATCTTGGATGGGCCAGCAGCCTTGACTAATGTGATAGGACATGACCCTCACCACTTGTCACGTCTCAAGTTGCAGCAGCATGTGGGAGTGGGCGCTTCCCTCGTTTCATGCAACAGCGCCTGACGACAAGAACCAGCCGGGAGCCAATAGAATGACCGTGGTAGAGGCGATGTGAGAGTGAACAGCCAGGCCACAACCACAGGACAAGCGCAGCAGTCGGTCCACTTGAACGGCTTTGACATGTCTTTGTTAGATCCGGAGCCTGTATTAAAACCCAGTCCATCCTGGGAGTGAAGTCGACGGGCTCAATCCAACACTTATTTTCGCAAATACATAACACACACCAGCGTCGGTTCCTGTGCCACGGTGGAGAGCAGTGGGTTCGCACTCCAACTTACTTCCCAGGGTCGACTCCGTAGGCGATCTTCACCGACACTATCGAGGTGGGGTCAAGACAGCCAAGACTTAAGACGATAACCAGCCTCTTCTACCGCCATTCCTGAACCCTTGAACTGTATTGCTATAAGACTACGCCGTGCGGTATCTTGACAAGGCGAGAAAGACCAACTGGCGTGCAATAGCACCCTTACAACAATATGCCTCTCGAGCAAACTATCACGATTGTCAACAACTCTGGCAAGATTATAAGCACTGTAGGTCACCAATATAGCCAAAGCATATTTTATGAAGCATATCGCTCTGTACATGGGCAATGCACATATGCACCCTTTATGAGGCAGCTTTGATCTAACTCGACACAGGGAAAGCAATTATTTTCCATCTTTAAGGAAGCAAAAGCATCTTACGATGAGAAAAAAGCAGAGATTAGAGGATTGAAGCGAGCTGAAACCTTCGACCAGTCTCAGATTCCATACCGGCATGATGGCTACTCACGACCACGAGGGCATGGAAGTCATAGCGGCCGTAGTGTGTATGAGCCAGAGTACTATACAGAATATGACTACGGCAAGAATCCTGGATCATACGATGGTCGACGACAATCGTTCGACGTCTATAGTGAGGCAGGCTCCCGAAGGAGTCATCACACGTCCCGATCGCACTCGAAGCACTACCATCACAGCGAAAGAAATCGGCCAGCTTTGACCGAGAACAATCTGAAGACGCTGAGCGAGATCTCCAGCACCACACCTAGCAGACCTCCTATGACATATCGCAGTCCTTATGCCGAGACACTCCCTAAAGATATGGCGGTGTCAAGAATGAACCTTGCCCAATATGATATGAAGAGTATTGTCGAAGATGATTGGAGACAGTCTGCCCTCCTCCGGCGAGCGTCTGAATCACAAATCTCCAGAAGGGACGAACCTAAAGACAAGGAGATCGACATGAATCTGGCGTATGGAAACATTCCTCCGGACTTGGAGTATAGAGTCGACCTGGATCCTTCATCACAGGGCGAAGAGCATAAGGCCAATCAGCTGGTTCGCAAGGTTGAGGGTCTTTTGGATGAAGCGCACTGTTTGCAACACTCTGCAACATCTATCATCAAGCATCTTCAGCAAAAACCCGACTCGGCTGCAGCAGTCGCTCTCACTCTCGCCGAGTTGTCCTCCGTAGTGGGGAAAATGTCTCCTGCATTTCTTGGCTTCCTTAAAGGCGGCTCTCCCGCCGTATTTGCCCTGCTCGCGTCACCCCAGTTCCTCATTGGCACTGGCATTGCCGTCGGTCTAACGGTCGTCATGTTCGGAGGGTGGAAGATTGTCCAGAGAGTGAAGGAATCCCAAGTCCCTCGAGAGGCCATTGCATATGAAAGCGCCCCCATGGATCGACCTGCGCCGCTACGCACGCAGAGCGATTACAATGCCAGCTTTGATGAGGCGCTAATCGTTGATGAGGAGCTGAGCACCATTGAAACCTGGAGGCGGGGCATCATGCCCTTTGGCGTCGACAACGAAAGCGCCGACATTGAGCTCATCACCCCTGAGGCAGAGCGTGCCCAGAGAGAAAAACATAAGGATGATTTTGATCTTCGCTCATTCAGAAGCGCTCACACAGCGGCGCGAAGCACCAAAACTGCAAAAACTACAAAGACCACAAAAACTTCAAAGACGGCCAAGTCATCAAAGACGACTAAATCACAGAAGACATCAAGTAAAGATAAAGAGAGAGAGGTTCCGGAGCGTCGAAGCAGCAGAAATCCCACCGTTGAGAGCATCAATGGTGACTCTGAATTGGGCAGGCATAGATCCAGCAGGAAGGAGAGAGAAAGAGATCGCCCAAGGGAAAGGGAAGTCAGAATGATTGAGGATGGGCGAAGCAACAACATGGACATTGTATTTCGGCCAAAGGCACAGCGACAGGGCGACAATATGCTGAAGGCTCTATTTAAGAACAAGGATAGACATGAGAGCAACGCTGAGTATGTGCTAGCTTAGGCGTGGACATGGTTAATCCGAGCATAGAAACTCGAAGGGGGCGGCGTTCCGGTATTGTTCAATTCACCATGAAAGAATTTATGGAAGACGTTAGAATCGACTGTAATGGATCATTAGAGGGAAGAGAATTGGCGTTGGGGAGGCATTCATTGCTCAATTTGTAACATCCAACATAATTTAACAGTGCCCTCATTTATACATGTCGACATCTAGAATTTCTGGGATGGTATCATAACTCTATTGACATGTTACGATTCTCATTTATTGGGTCAACTTGAACGACGTGCGTCTTGTTCATGCCTTGGCCGCGAAACGAATAGGTAAAATGCCAACCGCTCGCCGCCGCAGCGTGCTCTCCCTTGTTGTTCAAGACAACCACGCCGGCCTGGATGTCAGGAAACCTCTTGACCATCCGGCGCACGGCGTCCTCGGCAGCGGCGGCCGGCGACATGCCTCGTCGCATGTTTTCCACCGCCTGGTAGCACGGCAAAAACCGCATCATGAGATCCCCGTCACCGGTGGCGCCGCAGCCCCCAACCAGACTGTCGACGTACGAGCCGCTGCCTGCGATGGGACCGTCGCCGACCCTGCCCGGGATCTTGTATGCTTTGCCGTTTGTAGTGGTCCCCGCAGCCATGCTGCCGTCCTTGCCTAGAGCAACGAGCGAAATCGTATCATGGCCTCGTCCCTTGATGTCCCCTCCGTCTTGGCCTGGCGCCGTCTCTGAGGCGCCATTCTCCAAGGGGGTGTAGGGGCCGCACGAGCTCTTGGGATCGGGGACCACGCCGACCCATGAGTTGGGCTGGCACTGGTTTCGCTTCCACTGTTCGCACATGTCGCGGGACCGGTCTGTGGCCAGGTCCTCCTCCTTGAAGCCGTTCTGGGCGGCGAAGCGGGTGGCAGAGTCCCCGACGAGCATGGTGTGGCCTGTGTATTCGAGGACGTGTCTCGCGACGGCTATGGCGTGCTTGACCCGGCGCAGGGCCCCTACGGCGCCGACGTTGAGGGTGTTGCCGTCCATGATCATGGCGTCGAGGGTGGTCTCGCAGTTCTCTGAGGGCGAGCCGCCGTGGCCCACTGTGCCGTCGCATTGGTTGCTTTCGCAGGCGGCGCCGCCGATTTGGACGGCGTCCAGGACGGAGCGGGCGTTGGTGAGGGCGTCGTGTGCGGCGTCGGCGGCGACGGTGAAGGGGCCGCCCCAGGTGTGGATGACGACTGGGGGCGCGGTGCTTGCTGCGAGGGGGGAGAAGAGGAGGAGGAGGAGAGCATTGTGCATGGTGTTTGTATGATCCTGCGGGTGCAGGACCCGATGCTGGCTGTTGTCAATGTGATGGAGGTGTGCAAGGTCGGTGTGGGAGATGGAGGTTTGGGCCCTGGCGTTGGTGTTGAAGCTGATGAGACTAGATAGCAAAATACGTACACGGAGTGTTGAAAAAAAAGAAGGCCTAAAATGCTAGTATGTTCTTACTTCTTATATCGTATGATGTATTTTATGTAGATGCTATAGAATGCTGATGGTGTCTAGACGTGAACTAGGACTGCAGGATGACGATTTGGAGACTCAAGGACGCTTCTATGCTTTCAAGTTTCTAGTTTAAGGGATGATGTTTCCCTCGCCTCCCTAAGCACGATTCTTCCCTCTTTCAACATTTCTTAAAAACCTCTGCACTGTCAGTCGGCATGATGGCTGCAGGCCAAATATGTAACTTGTCTGATTCGGCGTTGGTGCCCAGTCGGGCATGTGTGTCAAGGACAGAGACAGAGTTACAACGCATCACAAGTATCGGAGGTTCCTCCACTTTTGGGAGTTCTGAGTCCGCCTGGATTCAATGTTATTCCCCAGATTACCCCATCGCTAGGCTGGTTACGGAACAAGTCAACCTGAAAAAGATCCATGTCTGCAGCTTACGCTAAACAAAATGTCCGGTCAGATTACGTGGGGCTTTGGCGGCCGTATATAATACTTCAGCCGCCCACCATGAGCGAGCTCTCCATCTCTCACTTGTTTCATGTCTTTGAGAGGTCCTTTGAACAAGTAGTCTAGCTCTGGAGCGAGGGCACCACCCAGCCGCACGAAGCTATTCATACATATATACACATACATACTGTAGATAAATTGAACGCATCCTGCGCCATTACATGCTATAAAATGGCAGCAGCCAGCACAATTGTAGTCTCCCCAGAGTTGAAACAGCCCCCAGCTGTTGCCGACTTCCTCCAACACGCCGTCGACATTTACCACTTCCTGGTCTCTGTACATCAACCTGACCAAGGAAATGGTAACGCGTTGGTTCTGGCGTCACCCCTCACCTCGCTGCCGATCAAGCTGAACAGCATCGTCGCTGCCCTTGATCAACACGTTACCAAACATGGGCAATGCCGCGGCACTCTTCCGTGGGCATGTCGCAAGGTCGGCCAAGATCTCTTGTTGAAGCTCAGTCGTGTAAGAGCCCACTTTGCTGGCACAGATGTCGTGACCCGAGTTGCGTTTCGTGAGGCGTGGCCAAGAGTTGACGTCGAGGCGCTGGGAGACCGTCTGCACCAACTCGTCGGCCGTAATCCCAACGCAGCCATCTCTTTCAAGTAAGTTCCTGTCGGAAGAGTCATTGTAAACTAGGAGGAAATCTCACAATGAATAGGACTTGTAAAATACACCCCGGCCCAGAAGCGAGCCCCATCACAGATGAGGAACGAAGAGATGGTCAAGGTGAAGTGTACGGGACCAAAATGGACTTTGGCGAAAAGAGCGTCATGAAAGTGCCACGAAAGAGCAAAGTCGCAAATGGCCCCGTTGGGTTATTACAGCAAAACGTCCCAATGCCCAGGGTGCAGGAAAAGCCGAAGCTGGCCCCTGCAAGCCTGTTATACGACTTCATCCTCGAAAGTTTGGAGTACAAAACCATGCATGATAGAGAAGAGGAAGTTGTTGAAGCCCACGGCAGCACTTTTGACTGGATATACAACAACGCGAACAAGCAACTTGGACATCAGTTGACGGCTTGGCTTTGCGGCGATGGTCTTGGTCCCATATACTGGATCACTGGCAAGCCTGGTTCTGGAAAATCAACCTTGATGCGCTTTCTGTTCGAGCATGACTTGACCAGCGAATACCTGGAGACTTGGGCAAACGGCCAACATGTGTGCATGGCGGGATTCTTCTTCTGGACCAGCGGATCGCGGGATCAGCGTTCTCAGACGGGTCTGCTACGATCACTCCTACACCAGTTGCTATCAAGCAACAGGGAGCTGATTCCGGATGCGTTCCCCGAGCTATGGCAGAAACTTCGCGTCATGGCTACCAAGGAGCGCATACAATTATCTCTCGACTGGCCAGTTAAGGATTTACTATCGTCTTTCCAGAACTTGATGGATGCTGCCCTGCCCAGCAGGAAGATTTGCCTTTTTGTGGATGGTCTGGACGAGTTTGACGGGGACCACCTGGCCATGATCAACTTCTTCAAGCATCTCGGCATGGGCCAGCATGGACACTCCATCAAGATGTGTCTGTCTTCTCGTCCGTGGTCCGTTTTCGAAAATGCATTCGAACACGCTGTCCCGCACATGCAGCTTCAGGATCTTACCTATGTCGATATGCTCAACTACACTGCAGACAAGCTGCTGGAAAACATGCCAATAAGAGGATTGCTGGAGAAGCACCCTGCGTTGCGGGAAGCCATTGTCGACGACGCCGTTCAGCGCGCCGACGGAGTGTTTCTCTGGGTGAGGCTGGCTGTGAATGAATTGATTGCCGGATGGAAACCCGACTCCGGTGCAGATGGCTTAGTGTCCATACTTGAGCGACTTCCGACTGATCTTGACGACCTCTTTGCCAAGCTGCTCTTTGAAGACCGCGCCCAGTCTGAACTGGCGGAAACCGCCATGATTTTCGAGCTTGTTCGCGCCCGGGAGCTAGTCGCCGACTTTGTAAGAGACGACTCCGCGAATTCGCTGACAGTTTGGGAACTTGCATATTCTCTGTTGGAAGAGGACGACCCAGCGACGACAGCATGGCAAATTGAGCAGGCAGAAGATCAGTTCATACATCATCGCTGCGATACCACAGTCTGGCAGGTGACACACCGATTCGCTCGCCTACTAGACTTGCATCACCCTACCCGACAAGGAAACCCGACAAGGCCTCGCTTTTCAGACGACACCACGCGGGATGCCAGGGTCGGTGCAGCTCAAAAAGTGACTTATATTCACCGCACAGTCCGCGACTGGCTCATGGCCGCACCCGGGATTCAAGACCGGCTAGTTTCGCAGTCGCCTCGGAATTTCGATCCTCACCTGCGTCTACTGCGGTCGTACGTTCTCCGGCTCAAGAGACCGCTGGAGGAAATCGAGCATCACCGCAGGTTGGACGATTGGTGGCCAGACATCGCCCTCGCGCTGACACACGCTCGGCACATCGCCAACGACCCAAGCGGCCTGCAGCGGTCCTTTGTCAATGAGCTCGACAAGACACTGAGCTGGCACTGGCTCGACAAGCCCCAGGACCCGTACGACCACTGGGCCAGAAACGCCTTTGGCACATACGAGGTCCGCATGAAGGCGTCGCCAATATGGCAGCCGTTTCTGTGCCTCGCCACCAAATTCGGCCTTGCGCGCTACGTCGCTGAAGAGGTTGCTGCTCGCAGCAAGGCACAAGGCGGGGGGCTCTCGAAGGAGCAGCAAGAGTTGCAGCGAGACGACGCGACGCCCCTGTTGGCGTATGCAACCGAGTTTACATGCTCTCGCATGAAGACCATCTTTCCGCTCTCTGACCCGGCGCTCGTCGAGTTCCTCCTCCGGAACAGGTGTCGCATTAACCCTGGGCCGAACCACGAGTACGCAGACTTCATGACCCGCACGCCAAGAACGCCGTGGTTGGCGTTGCTGCGTCACTTGCGTGATGCTCGCCGTAGAGGATTCATAGCCTACTATGACGTCGATACCGACGGTACTGCTCGGTGGGCGGACATTGTTCGTCTGTTCTTGGAGGTTGGAGAGGCGGACCGTCAGGCCGTCATCGCGGCCGATAGGTGGGATTCAGAAGTCACGGCCCTGGGCGTGCTGGAGTTGTTGGACGAGACGTATGGCGCTGTTGAGTTGGCAGAGCTGAAGGAACTCGTGGTCGGCAAGCAACAGGGCAAAGGGGAACAAGCTCAGTACGCGCTACGGCCCAAGAATATCTGAAAAAGATTTGCCATTTCATCTCGTATCGCGCATGTTGATTAATTCCGAACAGTTACTGCCAGATTTGAAACACGTACCATGTTAATAGCCGTCCTTTCTGCTGACCTCATTCGTCAACTTTCTCCCCTGACTGAACCTTTCCAAATTGTCCTCTAAAATCGCCAAAAACCTCTTCGCATACGCCGTTGTCGCTCCGCTTACATGGGGCGTGATGATCAAATTCTTGGTCGTCCACAACTTGTGCCCGTCGGGCAAGGGCTCTGGATCTGTGACATCAATGGCCGCACCGCGAATGACCTCCCCCTCGAGGGCTTCAACAAACGCATCCGTGTTTATCATCTGCCCTCTTGAAATATTAGACACGAATGCCTTCTTTTTACCGAGTATGTTGAACTCTTGGTGCGATATGAGACCGACAGTGCTTTTGGTGAGCGGCGCTGACAGGACCAGCAGGTCCAAACCAGAGTCCAGGAAGTCATGGAGCTCCTTTTTGGAACTGCCCGAGAACCATTTACTAGGGAAGATGCCCTCGGGGTCACCCAGCCCCGGGGGTGTGTAGGTCTCGTCGCGGCGAGATTCTGGCGTTTTGCGAGGATGCAGAGTATATGCATGCACATCCATGCCTATGGCGTTGCAGATGCGAGCTACTTGTCGGCCGATGCTGCCATATCCCAGGATTCCCCTGGTTTATTTTTTTCGTTAATATCCCAGTGATGAGCGCAGAAGGAATGAGGCCACTCACACACGCTGTCCCACGGTGTCATCTGGTTCGCTGAGCCTCCGCCATTGAGCATTGTGTTGCAACTCCAGATATTGGGGTACTAGGTGGTTGCGCCATGTCAGTTAACCAGCCCGGCCATCATGGATGCAAAAGGGGGCCTCGGTCTCAAACTCACGCTTCTTCTTATGGGCCAAGAATGTGCCAATCACCCACTCCGATATCTGGGGTCTAATCACAACACATCATCAGCCTACACCTCCCAGGTCCCGAGCAAGGCGCGCTCACCCATGCACGCCGTTCGCTGTGCAAAACGGGATATCACTATTCTTGAATGCCGGAGCGTCCAGGACGAAATCTGCGCCCGCACTCAGCACCTGCACAAATTGCAGCTTGGGGGCCTGTTCCAGCGTCGGGAAACAGGTCCCGGTTACTAGTATGGTGACGTCCTTTTTGTCCTCCTCTGGGATGTCGTTCCAGTTTCCCTTGCCAAAGGGAGCCTTGTAAAGGGCGATGGAGAGACCTGGAAAGCGAGTATGCAGATGGCCAAGAAAGTCGTGCGGGAATGGCCAGGGCGTGATGGCGAGCAGCTTGTGGCCGTTGAGGGTTGAGTTGGTATTCACTTGAATTAGGGTCATTTTGGAGGTTGTACAAGACAATGGAAAGCTGGGGATCTGGTACTGGAACTAACGACGGCTCGCGAGAGAGTTTGCAAGGAATTGAAGCTTGACAGGGACGAAGTCTGCAACTTGGAACTTCTGTCCACGAGGCGGAGTAGGATGTTTTAATCATGGTTTCACTTCCCAAGTTAGATTGCAATACTCGCCCCACATATAACACCATTCAAAGTCGAGAAAACGTCAACTGCTTCAGTATTTGCCAAGACTTCCGCGCCCCTGTCATGCAATGCATCGTTTCTAGCTCGGTGAATATTTCACCTTGCCTCACCATCTTGGCCGCTGTGCAGCAGTACAGCCAATTGGATTCGTCGAGGACCCGGAAGGGCCAAAGACGTGTCGCTTCAGATTTACGGAAACGAATCCATAACTACAATCAGTGTATCATCTAATATATGGCCAGTATATGGAGCCACCATGTCTTGTAAGTTCTGCTATAATGATGCACACGACGCGTGGCAGACGAATTGCACACTGCGGATATGTGTGTCTCGGTAGCCTCGTTGCACATTGTCCCCATTGCCGGCCATAACCAAACCCTCCCAGAGGCTAGTTGGCCCAACATTGCCATTCACGATTCTCATCTTCGTTGCTCACATTTCCAGGCTTCCCAATGTAAATGCAATCCTCGTGGAGCGGCGCTGCATTGAAACCGAGGAATGCAAGGTTCTCCGCCCCCCCTGGTGTCAAAGTGGCTGCGGGGAAGCTTGACGCCTCATTTTACTCAAGACAGAAATCCAAACGTCAAGTTGGTTCCATATCTTGGCTTGAGTGGCCTATATACATATCCCCATGGTCGAGTATTATTATTTGAGACAATATTCCGCACGGTCAAGCTGGACCTCCGATAACGGCTTCAGAAGTTGACCTGACGCTTGTTCTGTGTAACAATCGCTTAAATCGGGCTCCGATCGCAAGCCCAAGATTGTTCATCGAGAGCTTCACCCGCCATCCCCCATCACAGTGCCTCCCCAGCACCGGCAGACTTACCGCGTCGTTGAGCTTTGGCGAGTCACCATGGTCCGCATGCAGGTCCAAGCCGATACGCAACCATCTGCCCAGTCGTCACCATATGTTGGGGGCAGGAAGGGCGACAAATACCGGTTCACAGTCCTCGCCGACGGTGTGCTGCGATATGAATGGGCCCCGGATGGGCAGTTTGAAGACCGCCCGTCGGCATTCGCTGTCCATAGAGAGCCTCAGGGCGTGCTCTACTACCAGGTGCGAGAGTCGGATGCCTGGCTGGAAGTCATCACGGCTCGGTTTCACATGACGTACAATAAGCAGGAATTCACACCGTATGGCTTCTTCGCCGTCGTCTCTGGATACACAGGTCATACCTGGCGCTATGGAGAACAAGGGCAGAATCTCGGAGGCACCTGCAGAACACTCGACGGAGCCGACGGCCGAATTGCTGTTGGCCCAGGGGTGGCGTCTCGTGATGGCTTCGCTAGCATCGACGATTCTGACACAATGCTCTTCACCGAGGATGGCTTCGTGGCCCCGCGGCGAGCTGGAACTGGCCGTGTAGACGGCTACCTCTTCTGTTACGGTCGGGACTATCGGGAAGCAGTAAAAGCTCTTTACCAGATATCTGGCTCGCAACCCCTCCTTCCACGATGGACACTTGGAAACTGGTGGAGCCGATACTACGAATACACTGCCGAGTCCTATTTGGAGCTCATCGACATGTTCAAGAGTATTCGTGTTCCACTCGCAGTCGGCGTAATAGACATGGACTGGCATCTAGTCAAAGATCCCGTCGTTGCTGCCGCCGGCGTGACGGGGTGGACCGGATACACCTGGAATAAAAGCCTGTTTCCCAATCCAAAGGCATTCATCAAGGCGCTTCACGACCGGAAACTCAAGACTTCGCTCAATGAGCATCCGGCGGAAGGCATCGCCAACTACGAGGACATGTATGCGGCCATGGCGAAAGCCCTTAATTTTGACGCGTCCAGCAAAGAAACGATTCCGTTCGATTGCACAGACCCTACATTCCTCAGAGCATACTTCGACATTCTAATCAAGCATCTGGAAGACGACGGCGTTGACTTCTGGTGGATCGATTGGCAGCAGGGACCGTATTCTCGACTTCCAGGCCTCGATCCGTTGTGGCTACTGAATCACTTTCACTTTCTACACAATAAGCGACTTCAGGCAGAGAGAAAGCCCAGCGAAGGGGATGGAGGTCGACCCATTATATTTTCGAGATATGCCGGCCCCGGAAGCCAGCGATATCCCATCGGATTTTCAGGCGATACCATCGTTTCATGGGACTCGCTGGCCTTCCAGCCCGAGTTCACAGCAACGGCGAGCAACATCGGTTACGGCTGGTGGAGTCATGATATTGGTGGCCACATGCTGGGGATTAGAGACGACGACCTCACGTCGCGCTGGGTCCAGCTTGGCGTGCTGTCTCCCATTATGAGACTACACTCTACAAAGACGCGATGGGTATGCAAGGAGCCGTGGAAGCTGCCTGCTGGCTCTGGACAGGGTCCTCGAGATGTTATTACCAAGTTCATGCGCTTGCGGCATCGGCTGATTCCTTACTTGCATACCATGAACGCTCGTGCTGCAGAAGAGGGCTATCCATTGGTTCAACCCATGTACTGGGAGTATCCAGATAGAGATGAGGCATACAAAGTGCCCAACCAGTATTACTTTGGTACAGAAATGATTGTTGCACCAATTACATCGCCACAGAATGTGGCTACAAAAACCGGCAAAGTCAAGGCGTGGCTGCCTCCGGGCCGATATATTGACTTCTTCACGGGTGTTGTGTATGACGGCGACAGGTTCTTATGGCTGAATCGGACCCTGGACAACGCACCTGTGTTGTTGAAGCAAGGGGCAATTGTACCGCTCGATGCAAACCTGGTGCCCGGAAATGGGTGCGATAACCCTGATGGCCTTGAAGTAGTGGTCGTGATCGGAGCTGATGGCAAGTTCGAACTTCTGGAAGAAGATGAAGACCGCAGTAATGCCTCGACTGATAAACCAGTCGCTTGGCGCAGGACGCCCATTTCATTCACCCAATCCACAGGAACAATTACAATCCATCCATCCGGGGAGGGCAAGGCGCCGAAAGCTCGAGACTGGAGCATTCGACTGCTGGGATATAAAACCGCCCAGTCTCCAGAGGTCCGCATAGATCAAGCAGTAGTCAAAACGAGTACGTCGCAAGAAGGCGGCGGGTTGGGTTTGCTGATTAAAGTCGGCAAGATTCCTCCCGGCGGGAGCGCCTTCATCAAGTTTGGGCCCGAGGTGAAACTGGCCATCAATGACCCTCTGGCATTAGCCGACCCGGTTGTGTTTGCTGCTCAAATTTCATACAACACCAAGAAGGCCATCGACAGTATTTTGAGTCGCAAGGGTGTGAGTGCTGCGGTGCGTGCGTCGGAGGTTGATGCGACCGACATGGATCCCGACCTGAGACTTGTGTTGAAGGAATTTCTATTGGCAGATAGTCGGATGTGAAGAAAGATCCGAGGAAGTCACTTGTCTGGTTGCTCTGATGATGCAATCCACGCAGCGTAGCACCTTCCCTTAATGTATTCTAATGACAAAAGATTCTTCGCAGGCTGCGGTTTACAATGTACTCAAGTACGTACACATGTACTGATCTGCGGGGTTCTCCCATGGTCCGCCTTCGCCCTGTTCAGTCTCCATATCACGAGCAACACAACATCCACCTGCCCACCACGTCCTAGTCTCACAGTCAGCAGCTCACACATCGTCATGGATTGGGAATGATTGTAACCATTTCAACGTGATCCACCACAGGTGTTGTTGGTTCTGGGCCCGCAGTGTCGGGTACCACTGCCATCCACCTTAAGATTGACATTGAGGGCAGCTAAACGCGTATCAGTCCAGGACTTACCTTGTCTTCGCAGTGGAGGGAGGGTCAAATATGGTAAAAAAAGGAAGGGCCCATTGGTATCGTCAACGGAAAAGGCGGACCTTGTTAACCTTGCATAAGTTAAAAGCTGAGGGCCAACGGAGAAGTACAGCCAATGGCCCAACTCAATGCATATCCGCGCGCCCAGCACGGGCTACCGCAAACAACCATCCGATTCCAGATGTCGTCAAGCCAACATTTAAGTACCGACTGGTTGCCCCCGAATCTCGAATTCCTACAAAGCAGGCGGCAAAGCCTGTGAGACAGTATCCTTACCTGGCCATCCGGGGACGCAGCCACCTCCATTTCCGGCTCACTCGAGGCGTTGATCGTTTGGCAACCAAACTTCCTACACCATCAACATGAAGATCCGTAACTTCTATATCGCGCTGGGTCTTGGGGCCAGCCAGGTGGCTGCGCTGTATCCTGGTGGCCCACGACTTCCGGGAAGCGTCAGACCTGTCCCAGTTCCAGACGAAGACGAGGAACCCGCGGCCGCGCAGATTAGCAGCAACATCAAGGCATACAACATGTCCGTGCCAATTGACCACTTCCACAATGAAACCAAATATCAGCCTCACTCCAATGGCTCCTTCAACCTTCGTTACTGGGCCGACGTATCCCACTACAAGAAAGGGGGCCCGGTCATTATCCTGCATTCTGGGGAGTTCAGCAGTGAAGGGCGCTTGCCCTTCCTTGATCATGGCATTGCCTCCATTCTCACCCAGGCCACGGGCGGTGTTGGCATTGTCTTGGAACACCGTTACTATGGAACCAGCTGGCCAACCGATAGCGCTACTACCGAGAACTACCGTTTCCTGACAACAGACCAGGCTCTTGCTGACACGGCTTTCTTTTCCAAAAACCTCAAGATTCCGGGACACGAACAACTCAACCTAACTGCTCCTGAAACTCCTCATATCCTCTATGGTGGCTCCTATGCAGGAGGATTCGTCGCTATTGCTCGGAAGCTCTACCCTGATGTATTTTGGGGCGCCATCTCCTCATCTGGCGTCACCGTCGCAATCGATGACTACTGGCAGTATCACGAATCGACACGTTACTTTGCTCCCGGGGAGTGCTCGCCCACCATTCAGGAACTGACCGCCATTATCGATCATGCCCTGCTCAAGGGGTCCCCCAGGGATCAACTTGAAATCAAGGAAATTTTCGGGTTGAGAGACTTGTTTGATGATGAATTTGCCAGTTACCTTTCAGACCAGTTGCCTTCTCTCCAAGGGACCAACTGGGACCCGGATCTGGACGACCTGGGCTTTGGGACGTTCTGTGCCATTATTACCTCCGATTCGCTTCTTTTTAAGAGCACAGAGTATCTGTTAGAACGTGTTCGATATCATGTCGAGGCGGCTGGTCATGCCCATGACAGCAGCAAGCCATTGACAATGCGCATGCTCAACTATATTGGGTACATAAAAGACAACGTCAAGCGAGACACGAGAAGATGTAGAGGAAAGTCGCTGCGAGAGTGCTTGTCAGTCCGCTATGAAAAAAGTACAACAGAGATCAATGAGAATACTTGGCAGCGCAGCTGGTTATACCAGACCTGCACAGAGTGAGTGCATCTTCATGACTGTTAGCGCCAGGTCTAAAGGACGGACTAATCACTCACACGGATGGAAAATAGATGGGGATACTTCATGGGCGGAGCTTCCACCCCCAAGGACCGTCTTCCTATGATTTCGCGAGCGCTTACGGCCAAGTTCGCCTCATACAGATGCGAGAGCTTCTTCAACATCAAATCTCGCCCGAATGTTGGAATTATCAACAAGCATGGCGGCTTCAACTTTAGCTATCCCCGGGTTGCGCTAATTGACGGTAAGCAGGACCCATGGCGAAGTGCAGGTGTCCATGCGATTGGTTTGCCCAGCCGGCAGTCAACTCCGTCGGAGCCCTTTGAGCTCATCGACTGGGGTGTACATCACTGGGACGAGAATGGACTAGACGTGAAGAGCCTCGGTCCCGACAGGTGGTCTGTACGGCCCAAGGCGATTCAAGACATACAACGAGACGAAGTTGAGATTGTGAAGCAATGGCTGAGGGAGTTCGAGAAACCGCGTCACGCTAGATCTGGACTCGAACTTTGAGGTCTTGTCAGAGAATTAGACAGTATTTCCATAGAATTGAGCGCTCTTTAACGCCGAACACGAGAGACCCGCCATTAGTCGGTTTTGCCAACGGGGGGAAGCAACACTTTATTACTTTGAGTCTACTGAATCAATTAGGCCATGGGCCCCAACAGGTTCTCTTGCCACGTCTAGGACGAAGCTAAATTAAGACAAGTTGTCCAGAATCCATGTGGCAGCCCCTTTCGGAAGGAGCGATTAACAGTAGGAATGGGACGCAGAAATTACTAGGGAGACTGCAAGTTGCTATCCTGCGATGGGCGGTGCATGAATCACTTGACGTGATGGATTCGTGTGCAAATACGAGCAAGAACATGCGGCACGAATATGAGATTCTGTCCTATGTCGGGGCTTTCACTCGAGCTGCTTTGGTAAAGGAACATCAAAGCAGCCACAACTCGATGCCAGAGATTGCGGCCCAGGATCCGTGGCAGAGAGCGAAGATTCTTGCGTTTTTCGGCAGTTGAGTTGGCTACACTACATTTTGTCCCACAAGAAATGCCGTTTCCCTCATAAAGGCCCATAAAGTGGTGCAAGCACAAGGTAAAACTATGCCACAACCCCAACGGCCAGTGTCGTGGGCCACCCCCCCTGAATCATTGTCGGCAGAACAACGAGAACTAACCACCAAGATACCTCTATTTAGGCGCGAGACCAAGATCAAGAACCGAAGGACCGGCCAAACACCACACCGTCCAGTTCCATGACGTGCTATCCATGACAAAGGAAAAAGAAAGAGGCCACGGGCGACGACACCAAGATGTGTACACGGCTTGAAAGATTAAGCAACTCGTGATACCCCAACGTGGTGAGAAACCTTGCAGCGATTCATCTGATAAGATTATCTGATCCCACATCAGCAGGATCTAAACCCCACAAGGCAAAGCAGCATGCCCTTCGCTCACCTTGGTTCCCCCACGATATGGTCTCCGTGGTATCCTGATGCTGACGAGGCGTTCTTCAATTTGGCTTGGCGTCAGCAATAGTCCAAATATCCTGAGCCGCGTCATCAAAGCTTCGTTTGTAAGCTGTATATTACGTAGTTTGAGCCGGTCATGGGAACTCATTCGCTTCGTCATTGTCACACAGCTTGGACACCTCACAGCTATTGAGCCTGAGCTGCTCGCTCAACATGGCTGAATTTCAGCGTCTTGCAAACTCCGATCCGGAATAGGTGGATGCAAGCAATCCTCAAAACCGAGCCACCCGCTGAGACACTAAATACAGTCGGTTCCCGAACAATCTGCCCCCCGGCACAAAAGTAGTTGGCATGAGTCGCGCCGACGACCCTGTTACTGCTCAAGATGACCTCACCATCACCAAACTCGACGTGCGGGACGGCAGTTGCATCGCTGTCAGCCTCTATCACTGCACACCGGCAGCTGATGAGCGTCTCCCATTGTGAATGTACGTGCATGGCGGAGGCTTTGTGACCGGCAGGCTCGAAACAGACGATTCGACATGTCGCGCCATTGAGCTCCGAGTGGGCATCGCCGTCATCAATGCCGAGAGCACAAATTTCCCATTAGTTTTCAAGACTCGTTCGACATTTTGCGATGGGTACACATCCCTCTCACCACACATAAATTCTATTGTGTACGGAGTACTGGTTCTGCCAAGTGTTTACTGTTTTGGAAGACTGTATTCCAAATGTGGCAATGAGATGCATGCAGATTGGAAGTGGGAAACAAACAAAACCAAGTGAGCAGGCGTTTGGTGGCGACACGATTTTCAATGGCAATGCGTCCATGCAGTCAGACATCGCCAGCGATCGACTAACGAATTATGTCAGGTCTGATTAAAACATGGATCATGCGAATATAAGCTAGTGCGTCGTTGATCTTGGCTTCATCCATCCAAGTCCATTGCCGCTCATGGCGAAGAGCAGTGGTCACCGAATGCCGTCATACACGCCCAACACAAAACAGCTTATTGCACAACCTCCCTCATCCCCAGCTTTTCCTAGCCGAATCGCCGACTTGGCAAGCCTGCTGGCTCGTCTCTTGCGGGGCGTTGTGTTTCCCTTTTGATGGTTACACATGGTTACACCTCAGCCGCCTCACCGTAGGCCAGAAGATTCTGACAGCATCGAATACGAGAGGTCGCACAGAGCAGAACGCGGCTGGCTCCAAGTTCATCATTGTCAGGCCAAAACGGGGAATGAGCGTTTTGTCCAAGCGATCGGCACCAATTGGGCTCTGGGACCGAAGCCATACGACTAATAACTACAGAGTAGTTTGTGAGAGCAAACAGATTTTATCAAATTTTTTATTCTTCCCTACTAGCCGCAGTCATGGTTGGTCTAGGAGCGAGGTTAAAGATCCTTCCTTGGACACCTGTCTCCCGGATCGTCAGCTTCTCCTCTTTACATCGGTAATCTTTCCCCAGCTTGGCTTTCTCAGTTGGTTGTTCAAAGTCATTTCCTCGTATTTCTGCAGCCTCACATCTCCCAAGGACGTGGGTGGCTGCGTTTGGCATGTACTGTTCCGGTGCAAGTCAATGATGAGTCTCTGGATGACGCTCTTTTTGCTCAGCCAGAGTATGCTATGACGATGTCTTTGCAGACTTGTGCCTTCTCAGCTCGGATGCTCGGCGACACAATACATGGACATGGAGAGGAGCGGTGACATGGCATGAGAATATATAAGGCCTTTCAAAGTCGGAATAACCGACTATTGAAACATGAACATTACATATGTGCATATATGGCATGTCATTAACCTCATCTATTTAGTGATCCAGTTTTCTAAATTCTTGTCAAAAACGGCATCATTCTCAAAAGGTTTCTTCCAGTTCCATCTGGTTACTGCCACTGATCATTATGCTGTCTCTTCTGCTTTATGTTGGCCTAGCCAATGCTGCCGTCGTGCGTAATTCCGAATGTGATTTCCACATGAACGCTGCCGGTTCTCACGGCGGACCTTTGGGCGAGCTCAATGGTGGCCAGATTCGATTCGGCAATATTCCACAGACTACTTTTCACATTGACGGTGACAAGATTTGGGATAGGAACGGCCGTGGCTGTTGGTGGACTCGTGAGTTTATTTTCCCTACTTTTTCTGTCTTGTTGATGATTCCAAGTCCCCATATAGACGACGTTCAAGAACTAATTGGTATGCTGTAGCTCCCACCCGAGTCCTTCAGTGTGATACCAATCAGCCACCTGACTCTGGATTCACAATTGGCTGTGATGGAAGGGTCTCTTATCACGGACAGACTACCTTCTATCAATGTGAAACGGGCGACGACAACCAGTATAACATTTACCTTGGCCCCAACGAAGGCATCAACTGCGGCGAAGTTACACTGACCGCCGACGGTTGTCATATAGCATGTCCTCCTCCTCCTCAACCAGCCAAGAGCTGTCCTGCCAACCTCAACGGCGCATATGAGTTCCCTCACCTCATCGTCTCCGTTGACAAGTCAAACCCTGACAAGGCAGCCGGGACGTCCTTCTTTGGCGAAGTTACTTCCAGCATATCATCCATCTTTAATTTTGATATCCCCGCAGCTGATGCAGGCAAGACTTGCACCCTGGTCTTCCTCTTCCCCAGACAAGACCAACTTACTACATCGTCTTTCAACTTTTCAGGAGATGGCAAGATTGACTTCTCCCTGTTGAACTCGCCCGCCACCCAAGGCACGACCTGGAACAACCAGCCTGGAAAGAAGACCGACTACGGTATTACCACTGTCGCCCCGGGAAACAGCTACACAATCGCTTCGTTCCCCTGCCCAGCTGGTCAGGCCATCGGTTTCGAAATGAGCGACTGCGGTGACACCAACTTTCGTTATTTCCAGGATTACAATCCTTCGCCTATTGGTCTATACATCACCAAGTGCTAAAGACTTGGAATCACATGGTGGTTCAACAAGAATTGAAAGGAGTGGTTTTTTTGCAATTTTATTTGCGATTTAGTGATATTCTCCAGAGGAGATGAATGACTTACAGAACGACTAAACGACACCTTCATTTGGAATCTTATACCGCAGTTGGTTGAACTGTAGTGGGTCTGTTTAAGGGCGTATCAATGTCTATCACATATTCCACTCAAAATTAAATAAATATATTAATAATACTCAAGAAACACTGACGCTTTTGCAAAGCTATGCACCCAACACCATACTCAGACCTTGGTGGCAGAAATTTTCTGGCGCCCGTTGATTCGGACAAGTCCTGTCGAACAGCAGCCACAGGGTAGCTAGCCAACATGCTGTCTTGCAGCCAAGTTTCAAAGAGACATACGTACCTGTGGCTCAAAGCAAAGACATGTGTTGATGGGGATTAACGAGAAATATCGAGGGGCCCCTTTTTTTGCATCAGATTTTGTGTCGTACCAGTAACGGATGCTTCGGCATCGATGTATCAAATTATGTGCCATTTTTAATTTCTCCGTATCCGATGCCTCCTGTCTTGTCTTGCCCGCAACAACTCCCAAAACACAATGTTCTCTACGTTGATGCTCGATGAGTTCCTGCCCATACACATATCGCCGAGAAGCTGGCACACAACGTACCAGATGTAGCAGCATCTGTGACAACCTCGCCGGCTACCATTACAAGTCGAGTATCGACCTCGGGATCGATAAAGCGCCAGTGCCAGTTCGGCGTCCCCTTAGTGGTTCGTGGAAGCATTCTCATGTCCAATCCGGGCGTTAATGCAATATCTCAACGTCATTATTCCATTGCACTAATAAGTATATAGGTTTTAGCCACGGTGGGAGCCGGAACTAAGATGTCGACCGGTTAGGCCACAGCTCGTCCAAACTTTATTCTCCTTGAAAGACGGCGGGTCAACATTGCTCCTGATGCTGTACGATTTCAGTCTACAAGATCGTGGACACCACCATTTGTGTCGCGATGACTTGGAGAGAGAGACGTGGGTTTCGCAACACGGTAGGCTGCGTCCATCACGGCAGGATATCATCAAATCAGTTGCCCTCAAAAGGCTTTTCCGAGATAGCAAATCCCTGACTATACGCACTTCTGGCCAAGTGCCTCATACAATCGGGGGCACTGTGAGCAAAGTTTACTTCTCAAGAACAGGACCTACGTCCTAATTCAGACTCGCCCGTGTCTGGGATAGCTCAAATTGATATCAGATGATCCCAGATGACTCAACAGCTTCCGGAGCTAAGCTGTCCACTTTCTGGTGAGCTCCAAGTTGCTTCATCAGGAACAGAGACACTTTCTGGTAAGGTCTGAACTCTCAGTGTCGCTATTGTCAGAGTAACATCCAATGAATGATGACCCCTTACCTACCCACAGCCTACAGGCCATGGAAGCATGCTCGTCTTCTTTCCTCCCCGATTGACTTTCCCGGGCTAGGAGTCAAACAGAGCTTGACGGGGGTATTTAGGCAAACGCCGCAGTCGTCAACCGACCCTGAGCTTTGAGTTCTTCGTTATTCCAGCAGCGAAGATACCCCTCGCGCGCCCGTTCTCTTCTATTGAGAAAGATTTCCCCCGACCTCATCTTCAAAACGGGCACAAGGCTCTATCACACCACATTAATCACTGTCATATATCCAAATCGCTCCATCATGGACGAATCTACGTGTATTTCGGAGCAGCAAAACGCCTCAACACCCACAACAACCCAACCATGCCGCGAAGAAGATGGATTGGTAGCAATCCCTTATTCAGAGACGACTGCGTGTGAGCCGCCAGTCCCCATGGTGCCTTTAAAGAGTCCCGAGCGAACTCCGCGAGATTGTTCAGAAGAACCGCCGCCCATCAGCCCGCCTTCTTCCTCATCGTCTATATATGCTGGATCAGCCATTCCGACAGTATTCGAAATGCCGCAATCCGCCGAAGAGCATTCGTGTCCCCTCCCGTCGTCCATGCTACAACCAATGTCAGCCTCCATCTACGAAGTCACATGGGAGGACGTATTCCCGGTAGAAGAAGTCATGGATGAAGCAACAGGATTGCCAATTTACATTGCCCCGTGGATAATTCGAAGCGAATCAGACGACGACGATAACAGAAGAATGGCGGACTGGACGCCGCCCATTGTTCCGATTTCCATAAAGCGCCAGCCCGCGGACAGCCAAGCCGCCAAAAAGCCCTCAACGCATAAATGGAAAAAAGCCCGCGACGTCGAGCCGCTGGCAAGCCACCCAAAGAAGAAGCGCAATTTTTGGATGTCGTTTCGAAGAAGCAAGAAGGCGATTGCTGCGGCCGTCACAGGCTCAGTGGCATCGTTGGAGAGCAGTGAGAGTTCTCCAAAGGACAAGCCACAGCGGTCTGCCTCTTACCTGGGCCGCAAGGGCACCGTTCGTGAGAATCGCGAGTCTGGTGCCGTCGACGCCGGCGCCAGTCCGGCCGGAGAGCCCGATCCTGCACAGAGTCACCCAAAAAAGTCCTTGGTCATAAGTGCCGCAGAGCAGGTCAAGCACACTGTTGTATCAATTACTCAAGTCGACGTTCCGACGCCACCGACAACGCCGAAGAATGAAGAACTTGATCCTGTCATGGGTGCGGAGATGGGCCACAAGATCACTATTGCCATACCGGAAGCGGAGTTACTGAATGACGAGTTGAGAGCCCGACTATGCTGTTAGATTACTCACCCGACATGATTCATTTTTTTTTGTATCTCTCCTGCTGGGGGGGTTTTTTTTTTTTTTTGAGCAGAATGACAAAGGCAAATATGGCGGAGGGAAACTGGATGATACCCGAGAAGGCGAAAGGTATATGCTCTGAATTTGGCCAGCGGATGAAGTGCTGGCACTTACAAACCGACAACTCTTGTTTTACTTTGTTACAGTACATCCTCACTCTTTAATAAAAGGTATTATATTTCCAATGATTGGCGGTTCTCGCGCCACCAACAATTTGCCAGCAAGACTTGTCTCCGTGCTCACGAGTCACGACTCGCATGCAGATGGACAGTAGTTTACGCCCAGTGGTTTCTAACTAGCTACTTGTATAGTCGGTCTCTGGCAAAATCTGTCAGCACATCGGCCTCGTATAACACAGTAGAAGACTAGCTTTAGGATTGCGCGTTGATAAGGCATCTGGGCGTGGCCAAACATCTTTGTCCAAGCTGAAATACGACAAGAGTCATCATCGAGTGCAACCCCGGGACAAGGACCCTGTCCAACTCGGCCATGTCCCCGGCCATATCCATGTCCCCCGCATGAGTGTCTCACAGCCATCAGCAGATTTGTAAATCTCTCTCTTTTTGATGAGAATGTCCGCGTTCCGAGCCTGGGCGCGCCTTGGGGTTTGTGCAGCATGATGCATCTTATCCCGCGAGGCAGCTACAGAACCAACAGGCGTCCGCATCAACAAAACCATTGCTTCTGGTCTCGACCAGTGGGCGACGGCGACTTGCTCATCCGAATCGGAACAAAACATGCGTCTTCTGAATGCCCACACCCTCCTCCTAGAAACCTTCAACGGGCCAGAGGAAAGCATCCCTCCCTACGCCATCTTGTCGCATACCTGGGACAGCATCGAGATTACATACGACGATTTATGCACTACGTCAACAGAGCTTCTACAAGGCCTGCCAGAATTCCAAAAAGTCACAGAGAGTTGCCACCAAGCGGCGCTCGACGGCTTTGCTTACGTATGGATCGACGCATGCTGCATCGACAAGAGCAGTAGCGCCGAGCTCTCCGAGGCCATCAACTCCATGTTCAAGTGGTATCAACAATCCTCAACGTGCTACGTCTACCTGAAGGACTTTGAGGTGCCGGGCGGGCGAGCCCTGCCAATCCAACGACACACTCAAGTCACAATGCTGGTTGGGAACAACGACTTCTGCTCGTCTCGCTGGTTTGATCGCGGCTGGACGCTCCAGGAACTCATTGCGCCGAGAAGGGTTGTCTTTTTCGACAAGAACTGGGTTGGATTCGGGTCCAGAGACGAGGCTCTCTCCAGCGCCATATGCGACCGCACCAGAATACTCCCACAGGTCTTCACTAGCCGGCACTGCATGTGCTCGTCTGTTTCGAGTGTCGATGCATTGCCCCCCATTCGCAACGGAAAATGCAAAGGATGCAACGCCAAGGACAACCTACCAGATATTCTCGGCTCTCTAAACGCAGCCATCATCATGAACTGGGCGGCACGCCGCTCCACCACCCGAGTCGAGGACATGTCCTATTCTCTCATCGGCTTGTTCAACGTACATCTTCCGCTGCTGTACGGCGAGGGTGGCAAGGCATTCATGAGATTGCAGTCGGCCATCCTGGCGCGGAACAACGACCATTCCCTTCTTCTGTGGAGGGAAAAAACAGAAAGGGGCGAACAATCGCTTAGACGTCCGGGTTGTCTGTCCAGCTCTCCCAAGGGTTTCGAGGCGGTGCCGCCCATCGTGGCTCAGAGGGAGTATTATGATTTCGACAATGAAATGGTTCCCCGGCTGGCCGTCGGCCTTGTTGAAAGTATGGAGCCAGTAGAATTGACAGAGACGTTGCTCAAGTTGACACTCTGGTTGTGCCCTTGCAAAGTCGGATATCCGTTTGGCGACGGCTCGGATGAAGAGCTTGGTACGGAAGAAGGCTGGGCCCTGGGTATATTGAATTGTCACAGCGCTTCGGACTATGTTGCCCGCCCGGCCATTCTCATGTCACACATGGGTGCAGACCTATACCGACGAATTTCTCACGATTCAGTCTTTGTCGTGAACCCACGGAGGATGCAGGAGAGCCCAGCTGCCATAACTCTCTCGGTATATCATGGTAACCCAAATATCCAAGATCCTGGGTCGAACTGGACGGCTATTCGGCAAGTTTTTGTGGATGAGTGCGTCCAGAAAGCCGTCAGAATTCTTGTACGTCCCAGCGGACCGAGCCTGCTGCGCTCAGCGCCTCGAGGATTCGACCAGACAATGTCGTCAATTGATGCCGTTTGTTGTGTAATTAATCAGCCTCTCCGGGGTAATTGCGTCCTGACTGTGAAGACCATGGGAGGGTATCCGAGGATATACTGTCACGACTCTTGTCCGCCCACAGTGCCTATGCTGCGGAGTTTTGTCAAGTACAACTGCAAAGGGGGCTTCGGTCTTATGGCCGGCATCCACCTATTCGAGATTGGAATGTCAGGTTCAACGGCAAAGATGAACATGTACCTCATCTGGGGCCTGCATCACGACGAAACCAGACGGCAAGGCCAAGTTGGGCAAAACACCACCGCAAGGCCCTGGTGTCGTATTTTTAGAGCGTCGGACTTTACCGAGGAGGTTAATGTCCCTATTCACGAAGCTGGAAAAGATGATTTGCAGTATCAAAAACAGCTGCATGCGTGGTTGGTGAAAAGGAGCTCTGACCCGTGCTGGCAAATCATTACTCGGCAAGGCTCTCGGAAGCAAGTGATGCCAGATCTAAGTAGTGACAATCAACGCGAAGGAGACAGAATCTTGGACCTGCTTCCACACTCCGACGTGCGCGTGGGTGTAAGCGCCCGCATAAATACGACACAGGGCTTCGGGGTTACGTCGAAAGATATCGAGATGACCTTTTTGACTCCCGATTGTAGGGGATGGCGGAGTGAGTTGTTTGACGGAAGCCAGAGAGACCAGGAATCAGCATAGCTTCTCTGGCGCTTAAGTCTCTGGGAATCTGGGTGGTTCTGGCTTGGTCCAACGAACATCGAATACCTGGGTTGATATTCGGTATGCCTCGAGCAAGTACTCGGTAGAGCTACGAGATGGAGCGGATTCGGAAATGTGTAGACGTTCAAGGGCACCAAAGCGCCGTAATAAAAGACTGAATCATTGTAGTCGACGCGTACTCGGTATGAATAGCTGTGCTGGCAACAGAAAGCAGGCGCAGCAGATGCGGCCTGAGCCTGCATGTATCGAGCAATAGAGTCTGGTAGGCAGTTTCAGAGATTGTGACAAGTCGTCAAAGTCGGGTATCCCCATGCTCAATTGTTCGGCTTACGTTTGCTTGCTCCCAAAAAGCATATGTATGGATTATCCGAGTGGGATTCGGTCCATCAAAAGCACTCTTCTAGCGGTTCATCAGCATCGAACATTTAGAAAACGAGTAGCGATCATGCCAACTTGTCAAGGGTATGAGGTTCAAGTGTCAAGACAGCCGGGCAACAGTGGCTGTGCTAACAAATTCGTCTCGTCAGGTCGTCCAACATGTCATCCCTGTTCGCTCGCTTTCGCTTTGGCTGCCAAGAAGGAGGCGACCCACGTGATAAACCTGGCATTCGTCTCACCATCGACGGGGAAATTAGAATCTGACAAAAGCCGCAAAACGCCCGCCGTCGCCGTTTCGGAAAAAAAAAAAAAAAAAAAAAGGAAAAAAAAAAAAAGGAAACATCTCCAAAAAAGTAAGCCCCGAAAAAAGAGAAGGTCGGGAGAGACTCTGTGGCCCGGATTGTCGGCTGCGGCCGTCGTTGACGCCTCGTCAATCTTCAAGGCCAAGCCTAGACATACGCGGCCGTAAACCTGATTGACGCGAAGCGGGCAAGCAAAGACAAGAGCGCGGCTCTCCGGCAGAGTGCGGAGCTCGAGTTTCTCTAGATTCTCATCATTACCATAACTTTCCCCGTGGTCAAGGAGGCAACAACGATGGACATGTCTACGCGGCGAGACGCGGCAAACGACAGCTCACGAGGGCCAGCGCAGCCTTCAAACGCAAACACATCGAACTCGCACGATTCGAACTCCTCAGGGGCCAACCGGCCAATGACTCCTACAAAACCAAAGGGCGTCACATGGGCAGAGGACCAGTTGACGTTTTATCGCGAAGGAACTCCACCTCCCTTGGACCATGACGGTTACCAACAGGACAGCTTGAGCACAGGCCCGCATGCTGCTGGCGCGTACTCGTACGATTACAGCTACGATCACGTGGCTCCTCCTGCTCCTATCCCACAGGCAACAATATGCGGCCTCGGCAAGCGATTGTTTTGCATGATTGTCGCCGCAGCCATTCTAGTTGTCGCAATCGCTGTTGGCGTGGGCGTGGGCGTGGGAGTGGGTACGAGACATGATTCAACATCAGACGAACATGACTCCTCCACTATTACTACGTATGTCTCAAGCGCGGGCCCCCTGAGACGAAGTGTTTCGCAGAGTATCCCGCTGCGTCTAATGGAGAAAAAGAAAGGACCTAGTGTATACTAACAACCGTGCCACACACACAGTCCATCGGTCCATACCGTCACTCCAACCTCGATAGCGGCCAACCCCACGCAGACGGCTCTGCTGGCCTGTCCCGCAGCGAACAATACCAAGTACGAAGTCCTGTCGGTTAGAAAGACCTTTTTACGGGTGTGCGGAGTCGACTATACCGGCAGCGAAGGGGCGGCCGACTTGGGTGTTGTGTGGACGTCCAGCATGCAGGACTGCATGAATAGCTGCGCTGGATACCCGGACTGCACCGGGTGCAGTTGGGGCATGATCCCTGGGGACGCTGGCAGCGATCACAGATGCTGGCTGAAGAGCGAGTTGAAGACGCCTACTGCCGTTCGGAGCGGCTGGGAATTTGCCATTTTGCAGTGACGGACCAGGTACACGGCATTTGGCGTGTTTGTACTATATTTACGACGACATCTGCGGCACGATGGAATGATGATGCTGAGAAGAACATGTAATGCATAATATATCCCAACCCACATGTACCAAAGACAATCTAAACTAGAATGTTTCAATACACATGACATATTTCAACCAACGTGTGCCAAGGACGACATTAACTATGATACGTTAATGCATCATATCTGGGATGCGTTGGGAGGCGGTATGGGGCAGCCTGGAGGTTCTGTCCTTTGACCTGTAGGCCTTGACATGGAGATTGATATCTAGATGAATTATATGCCTAGAGCTAGGACATTTTCATGCATGGATAAATGCATCACGCATTGCGAGTCGTGTTTGCATGGTGCTTCCTTCGGCATGTCACGGTTCTCTGGTGTAGGTACGACCGCCTGTGGTGTTTGTACAATTGGGCCTGCCTGATGCAGAGCTGGCATGAACAATGGGACAGGTAAAAAATTAATGAATAAATGCAAAACATGTTTCAACTCCACGTATACGGCAGAGCGCAACCAAGTTGGGTTGATGGGTTGTGCAAGTTAAAGCAGCATGTCAACTGGTTGATTCCGCAACGACCAATCACCTCGATAGAACCACAACTCACACCAACAATACTTTGTTTTAGAGACGGGTCCTGCGATCCAATTGGATAACAAGCCACATAGTACTCCGTACATACATCATATTTTGGTTCCTGACAGCCAACCCCGTGCACGGACACTAACTACTCGTCGGACCCCTCACAAAACGGCCCAGTATGACTTGGCGTTGTGTGCAAAGGCTTCCCAGCGCGAAGGCTCTCAACGCCAAGCTTCCGCCACCCGTAACATTGCGTAATCTACGTGGGATGCAAAAAGAAGAAGAAAAACAACAAAGCGTTGCATGATGGGGGCGCACACTCCAGATGCACAAGTCAGTGTCTTTGACTCTCCTCCTGAAGAATTGCTCCACCTCCTTGCCTCACAGCTTCCCGCCTCGCTCACGCTTCTTCGACGGCTTCAATTTGCCGTCCACCGCAACTGCACAGGGCCGGATGCGCGTATTATTGTCTCATCTGATACCGGCCAGATTGGAGATGGACCAACCAAGCCGACATGCTTTGCTGCCGCATATGCCGAGCTCTCCACGGGGCCGGATACACAGATGGTCATGTACTCGTCCATGGAACAGGGTAGGCCGAGTGATGAGGAACTACCAGTCCACGAGGGGCATATCATGAATCTTGTCCGGACACTGGCGGAGCTACGTAGAGAGTACGGCGGCAAGCTAGCCTACGGCAACAGTCTACTTGTAGGCAATGTGCATTCAGACGTGCACGACATCTTGACCAAGACGGGAAGAGTGACAGCACGGCGGGACTACGACAAGTGGCTGTTTAGGATGGAGCATGTGCCGGAGCTGAAAGAGACTCTGGATCTGGCGGGAATGCATTGGGGGACGGCCTCTCTGGAGGACTGCAGGCTTGTTGCTTCGAGAACGGACATTCCCCGGCCGCCGTGAGTCTCTTCTTGCAGACAGGATGATTTACGAAAATCCAAAAAGCGCAGCCATGTTGATGGTTTCTGCTCATATAGGGAGTTACTGGTGCAGCTGCCGGGCTTGATGTTGAAGCTGCAAGACGGAACGCCGATTGCTTGGGCCTTTATTGGTGTGACTTTGTGTCTCTCCTCCAGGGCAACCCGGGATTGTCGCTGACACCGAGACAGGGCTACACGGCTCGTTGATAAGTCTTCATTGCGAGGTGAGCCGGCACTGTTGCCCGGTGGCGGGTGAATCATGGCCACACGCTGGTTTTCTCACATGGCACGATAGGACGGCTACCGCAGACGAGGCATCGCCAAGTTACTGGCAGCCAAGCTCCTCCGCCGGACAGGGGTTGAATTCTCCGATGCCAAGTATGCAGGCCACGAATGGTCTTGTGCTGAAGTGGCGCGGGATAACGAGGGCAGTCGAGCAATTTGCAAGAGTTTAAACGCCACGCCGCCACGCTGGTCTGTATCATGGTGAGTGTAGTGCTGCATGCGTAACCCCTTGGAAGCCCGTGACTCAAGACACTTTGTTCTAGAAAGACTTTTTTTTTTTCTAAAATTTTTTCTAGGGTGACGCTAGACTTGTCAGAGAGTGCGCACAGTTGAACCCTCGAAATTTCAGCTTGAGCGGTGTGAAGTTGCGAGTCAAGGCAACAAGAGTCATTGACTCATGCATGCTATGCTGTCAAGAGAGGGCAAACAACAACAACAACTGGTTTGAAGACAATAGTACTACAATATATAACCCCTGAAAGTTTAGCCATATGTGTGACATCAGTGGATGGGGCCAGCTGTAAGGTTATTCGTTAACAGCTGTTAGAGTGGGCTGTCAAAAAAGCTGTCCCTTTGACTGTGCTGAGGTGCATTAGATGTAGCGAATTAGGGTTCTGGCCAATCAGAAACCTGATTACATAGGTACATTAATCTACTAAAAAATAATATAAAAATTAAAGTCACGATACTTTTCTGACCTACAAGGAGTTATACTACCTACATACCCAGGTACTAGGTAGGTATATAACCTCTAGGTACCTAAATAGTTACAAAAAAAGTACCCTGCAGGTATCGCAGAAAAGTGGAGACAGCTACATCCAGCGCACCTTAACACAGCCAAAGGGATGGGTATTATCAGCCTAAAAACGGCTCAAATCATAAGAAACAATCCGAAACACGTAGGGCATCAATCTGAAACACACAAACTTTGGAGGGCTTTCAAGGCTTGGTGTCACCTGATGTTGGTCCTTGGCAAAGTAAACTTTGGGCTGATTATCCGCCGCAGCCAATCAGCAGTTTTGTCGGTTCGGCTCGGAGAGCAAAAGAACTTTGGATTCCTTGTTGACCTCCTTTCGGGTGGGATCGTACATGTCTGATGCCATCGCAAAGCAGCACACGCATGGCTTACACGAGAAAGACAACAACGAAATGCATAATGGCATCATCCCATTCACCCGCTACTCAGCCTCTCTGCGGAATGAAATCGCAATCGCGCAATCTCGCTCTCTCCGGGGATTAGCCTCGTTCGCATACCAGAGTATGTACGACTACCCCACGGTCCACAAGCCAGGCAAGGTGTGCATTTAGCAAGATGCCGTTATTTTTCCGACGGCTCAGAGGCTGATCTGCCCATGGGACATGGGATACGGGACATGGGATATGGGACATGGGATATGGGACATGATGGGACATGTCAGGACGCTTGACACCCAAGCTGCCCATGTGTCCCTCGGACAGAATCCGTATCCATGCGCGCCGCAGGGCTCTCTGCTATTGCACTGTAGTACTACTACTACTCTGTATATACATACAGAGTATACAAAACAACAATACTCCGTACACGACCAGGTTCGAGGGCTACCCTGCTAAAGGAAGAGGAGAAGGGGGAGGGTGTCGTCAAGGATGCCCGCCGCTGTACCCATGTACGCACATGAAAAAATGCAAGAGGAATGGGCAGACCCTTGCCACATCGGCATTGGGCGACTCGGGATCCAGCGTGATCCAGTATGGGGTAAGTTACATACATACAGCGATGAGCCACGCACTTGCCGGAGCCGAATGCCAAATCAGTCGCGTATTCCCGGCAGTCAGGGGGGGTAACCCTTGGCACGTTGCGAGTCAATATACGTACGCCCAAAACTTATCAGAAGACACCAGATCTTATTCATGCAACGTCCCGCACTGACGCGTTATACGGGACAGCCGCGGCCCTGAGACCCAGACTGGGGCCGCGGACTTCGGCATTTGTGGGAGGAGAATCGGGCGGAGAGGCTGGGTCCTGGGACATAGTCCATGAGGCTCTGGTTTCACATATATGTACCAAGGCGAGGGGGCTTTGACAGCCGCAAGAGAAAAGGGTTTCGCGTTTCTCCATGCCAACTCTCGAAACCCTCGAAGCTCTGTCAGCCACGTGGAACGGACGGCAGTCGAGGCTCTAGGAAGGGTCGCATTGATGGTGGAATTAGGGTCCGAAATCTGGAGAGGGGCTGAAAATCAAACCAAAAAACTCGGTGACGACTTGGGTGAGTAGCATCGTCGGCATAGGGATAGGGATGGGCGCATCGCGAGGTTGCATGCCAGGGATGGCAGTGCTACCCAGAATCGAGAGGAATGAATCGAACCTGACGTCGCCGGAGAATATTTCCATTCTAGGGGTAGAAAACGGGAGAATACAAGAACAAGAGAGGAGAGGAAAGAGGAACGGAAAAAAGCCCAGAGGTTGCCGTCACATCGCGCCATCTCATCAAGCGCTCTAAAAGAAATTAGCACGCCCGAGGCTCAACTCTGAGCGTCAATCGACTCTCGTCTACAGAGTTCTTGTCACCTACATTCTTATCGTCCCGACCAGAGCCGCCGTCGTCCATGCCGCGGCTGTGTAAATTTCAATGCCCCGACGAGCACCCAAGGGCCGGAATGCCGTCTCGCCAGCACGTCTCGAGTCTTGGAGTCTCGACACAAACATTAGCCCGCGCGGGCCCTTTTCCCCGTAGAGATCCTAAATTAACAGATCCGCCTACGACCCCGTTGCGAGCACGCAATCATACAACCGCCCGTCTCTGATAATGGGGCCGATGGCTTTATAGCAGCTGCCGTCCCTTCTCGCCGGGGCGAAGACTGACGAGGCGTTCCCGTGAGACGGCGGCAAGCTGAAAATCACCTCACCGCGCGGCGGCCTCCCGGCTCCAGGTCGGGCATCGTTCGACTATCAGGCCGGTGCGACTGCGGGATACATGATTAGCGCGTTGGCGTTGGACGAGGTGGTTCGTCTTTTCGATGGCAGTGGGCCGCCGGCTCGCAGGTATCGTCAAATAAATGTATTTATGCATTCGAGGCCCGTCATGAGCATGAGTCTATGACCCCATCTCGGCTCTGCCCTGCGCATGAATATGCCCCATGTGTACTAGCACCCGTCGCCGCGATGGCTCTGCTATCGATTTAGACTTGATAATAGACTTGGATGAGCCCTTTGTCGCTCGCCAAGCAGGCGAACCACGGTGTGCGCCTGCACCCAGACGCCTGCAGCTGGTCCCGAGTCTGCCGCCAAGCTGGCCTGGTTCGAGTTGACATGCCTGTCCATCGAATCAATGCTGGTCCTGGTCCTGGCTCTCTCCGATTTTCATGTCCATCCATCTATGTATGGCCTGTGCCTGTGCGAGTGCGAGTGCGTGTGCCAGAGCCAGAGCCAGTGCCAGTGCCAGGGCTCGGCGAACTACCCCGTGTTTCATCGCCCGAGTTGAGATGCGTCGATAGTATTCGCTCAAGATCGCTCCCATCCTCCCACTCGGTGAGCCGTCGCCAAATGATGCGCTCAAGGCCCGATCCGTCGATAATAACGGGCGAACCGCGGTCGCTGCGGTCGTCGACGTGGTGCTGTTGCGGCATGCACGGTTTCCACGGCTCGAGGCTGCTTGTTGCACAGTGGCAACTTGCTAAGTCATTGCTTGGCAACCGTTTTTTGTGTACATGTACTGTGCGACTACCATGGCATGACACTTGCAGCGATGTTTTGACGCCGGCAGATACTATACGAACAATCATTTCATTCCATCAACCCTGAGAGCTTCTAATTCTACTACTACACTACTGCTAGCCGAACAACCCCAGCCCATGTTACAGGTATAGCTCCGTGAGATATGCCTTGGCCTCATCCGAACTTCCACCCACAAAGCCAAGGTACATGTCTGGTCTGACTACTACCACAAACGGATCGTCCTTGGATGCCCAGTCTGCCGTGTAAGTCCTGCCCGAGTCGTCACCCCCAGCCGCCGACTCGGACGCAGGGCGAATCGTGTAGTGGGTTACAATGTCGCTGAAACCAAAGTCGGGGGCTGGCGCTCCGCCAATGTGCAAAACCAAATACTTGCCGTAGGTTGTTTCTGTGTAGAGCCTGGTCTCAGCCCCATCCGCCTTATTCAGGATCATATCGGGGCATCTGTTGCCTGCCGTCCAGATGCCGTGCTCTGAGGCCTGCACCAGAGGGGAGCCAGACTCGCGATAGGTTACTCCCATGCCTTTGTTCGCGCACACTCCATGTTAGCTCGTCTTCTTCTGCCTCGTCGTGCATGCTCTCGCTTACCAGTGATGTACCCTGCATTCTTCTCAATAGTACCAACATACTGCTTGGCGGTGTGGACGGTGTCTCTGACCAGAGCCGCGGCAACGTCGATGACATCTCGCGCCGTGCTTCGCCTCTCGGTGTCGTAGCTCCCGATGATTTTCTGCGCGGCCCCTGGCTGAAGGTTCTGGTCCTTTACGACCTGTGCCAGACGCCAAGCAAGATTGAAGGCATCCGACATGCCCGTGTTGAGCCCCTGGCCGCCGTTCACTGAGTGAACATGGGCCGCATCACCTGCGAGAATGATACGGCCGGACCCATCTTTGGAGATAAAGGTTGACGCAATTCTCTCCTTGACTGCGTGGGCCGTTAGTAAGTATCCCGCCATCTTTACGACTCGGGCAGACGCGGAAAAACATTTAGCAGGTGGATAAACATTCGAGACGTACCGTCAAAGGTGCTGTACCACTCGGTCTTCTTGAACTCGACCCTATGGGGAGCCATGTGCTCTACAATCGACTCTTCAGCTCGTGCCTGCGTCACCTCTCCGTCCAGGAGCACGTAAAATCGGCACATGCCGCGCTCTCTGGGAATCCACGAGACGCGAGACTGTCCATTCAGCTGAAAGGTGATGATCTCTGGGCAGAGAGGAAAGTCGGTGTCAATAAAGGTATCCAAGACCGCCCACAGCATTTCAGGCTTTGTTCCAGTAAACGTGGCTCCGATTGCTTGGCGAACCATGGACCTTGCGCCGTCAGAGCCTACGGCGTACTTGCTGCGAACCCTGAAACCGGAGTCCGTCACGGTTTCAACGCCCTCGTCGTCCTCGGTCACGGACACGACTTGTTCCCCGAAACGCACGAGGCCCTCGCCAAGCTTGCTGGCAATGAGCTTTTCCACGACTGGCTGCCCAACCATGAGGAAATTCCTGTGCAGCGTGTTCTCAAGGCCAACCCACCATGTGTTCTGGCGCGACTTGAACTCTCCATCCGCAAAAGTAGAGCTGGCTGCGGGCACAGGTAAGCAAGGGGTCAAGTTTGACGCAAGCGACTATAGGGGCGGGACGAAGCGGCTCACTGTTGCATTTCAGACCGATAGGTAGGAGCTCATCCAGGAGCTTGGCTACTTCTAGGTACTGCTGAGTTCGCGCATTGAGTGCATCAGCTCTTCCCAGCTCAAGAGTGCTGGGCTTTCCATCTGCAGAGCGGGATTAGAGACTTATGCAAGTGGTTTTTCATGTCAAGGAATCATACCTATGATGCAGACAGAAACGCCAAGGCGGTGGAGCAAAAGGCCGGTGAAGAGGCCAGTTGGCCCGCCTATGATGTGTTAGTCTTCGAGTTGTTTATGCTTTCGGGACAGAGTAAACATGTTGAAAGGAGGGTTGGACAACGTACCGCCAATGATGCACACATCTGTGGTTGCAACTTTGGCTGACATGTCTCCGTTGGCGTGCATTTTTGTCTGTCTTGTCTTGTCCTTTGTCTTGTCTTTTGTCTTGTCTTTTTCTTTTTTCTTTTTTCGCCGAGTCTTATCAAAATAAAAAGTCAATAAGTCTTGAAGGAGATGCTGGTTGAGTAGGAGCAGATGTGTACATTTACATTAATCTATCGAGGCGAGCGGCGGTCCCTGACTAATGAAATCATATGATATGATTCGGAAAATTTGTATGCATAAGGATTAACAGCTGCGGCTATGACCATTCATGAGTCGCTCAGTGAAACACGCCGAAGAGCAGCGGCAAGCAGTTCCAGCTTTCATCCCTGTGGCCCCAGCCCGGTCTCATCTCATAATAGGAGCTTTGAATGGACAGTAGACGATTCATATTGCATCGTACTGAGCTTCGGCGGGCCCGGCTTCTGAGACTGGTCATTATTCGACAAAGTTGCGCGACAGGCTGTACTTACAGCAACTAGTCAAGCGTCGACTAGTGGCAGGGTTCAAATGTTGTCAGACAACCAGGATGTCTTCCATCCACATCAAGCCCATGCCCGGTGCCCAGTGGAATCAGCAAACCCCACCGCGCGCGGCTCTGATAATCGGCACTCCTTACTGCCATCCCACTCGGTGATCTCGCCAAGCAACGAGTAGCACACTCTATATCCAAGCTTCCTGGGAATAAAGTTGCGTAACGTCGAGGCTTCAACAGTGGGCCCCCCCGGGCACGAGTAAGTCGACCGGACCAGGTAGATTAAAGCCGCCTCCCAAGCCACGACAGTTTCATCTTTCCCGTCGCGCGCCGTGCTGTGCCGCTTGGCGGCATGTCATTGCACAAATACTCTATGTACAGTGTATGCCCGGCGCATAGCAGGACACGCAGCCCGGCGCGGAGATGCTGTCATGTCGGCTCATCGATGGCGGAAAAATCCCACATCCACCGAAATGAAGAAGCCGGCGCGCTTCGTTGTCCAAAGATTGTCGAACCATTGAATGTCATGGACCCTGGAGGGCCGATGTTACACCACCAGCGCCTGTCATCCGTTCTAGCGCTCGGTTTCGCCAAATCAAGCTCCTAGACTAGAAGGATTTTCGAATCCTGCATCCCAGAGACAGCCGTCGTTGGCGCAAAGACGTAATCATACACGGTGTCATGGTTGCTTTGAGCCAGCCGATTCGGTCCATCACCCTGAAAAGGCAAGTCCTCAGGCGTAGGCACAGACTAGCTATGCAGCTGGACCTTAACCGAAGTAATGGAAACTCCCCAAGGGCTTCATCCCATCCTCTTGGCGCCTCTTCCTAGATACAAGGTGCTGGTTAGGGCTGAATGCTCGAGGCTGGTGTCGTTCGTGTCGTTCGTGTCCTTCATGTGGTCTCGTCCCATGGCCCTTCCCGCGATGGAACTGATGATCAAGCAATCCATGAATCCCGCCAAGTCGATTTCCTAGATATCCACATAGTGACATGATGGACCTGGCCACTCTATCCTGATCACTGACCCATAAGTTCCTCACGACGCCGAGTAATCAATCGTGAGTAGTGTGATGGAGTGCTGCTCTGGCGTGTCATTTACCTGCTGGTCCCTGTTTCAACGCCCCTCTGCGGAGAGTCGGTTGGGGTCAGTCTTACGCCCTTCATTTCTGTGTGGAACTGTTAGCAACTGGTAAAACTGGTACCGGCAATGATCAAAGCTGGAATCGGCATTGAGCCTATACCACCTACAGCGCTATTCGTAGCCATCACCACGAATCACGTAGCTGTTAGACCTGACCCCTGCACCCTTGCTCAATATGTATGCTCAAGGCAATGCTCCGTACTCTTGAGTCTTCACCCCTATTTGTTTTCGGTGCACAAGACCCGTAAATTTGCAAGTCAGTCAAGAGCTCTCTCTCTGTTGCTGACGAAACACTGCTGATGGCAGCCCACCATGCCATACCCCATGTGGTGGATGCAGTCAAGAGGCATCAGACAACGGGAGGTTAGTATGCGATCCTTCGAACTCATAAACGGCGCTCATCCTGCACTCAATCCTGCATCTCAACCTCTTCATTCCATCCTTCAACATCATCCCAACAAGTCCTATATCCTCTCACCATCTATCTGCTCCTTCTTTCTCTTATACCATGCCCAGTGCCGTATCACCAGCGCTTGAAGCCGCCTCTGCGGAGGCCAAGGGAACCAAGAGTCCTCGAAGCCTCAACATTGACGACTTCCCACACTTGGTAGATGCATCCGCTCTCGACACCGCATCAAGAATTCTGGGTGTAATCGACCGATATCGTTTGCAAAAGTCAAAAGATGATCCAGTTGGAGCAGGCGAAGGCGGCTTGAAGTTTCTGGCCGTCATTTACAGCCACATCAAAGCTGGCAAGGCTGTCCCAATGTGCCTTCCAGCCTTCCCCTTCAAGTCTCCAAACAGATCAGCAAAGGTTCTCGGCAAGAATCCCGACAGGGCAGAAGAACTTGCTTTAAGCCACCTTAACGGATTATGCCAAGCCATTACAGACATATACCCCCCTGGGGCTAAACTCACCATCATCTCGGACGGTCTTGTATACAATGGTGAGTTCTATCCTGCGGCCGATCTTTGCATTTGTATGTTGTGTCTCGAGGCTGATCAACGTAGATCTTCTTGGTGTCCCTGATAAGGATGTCTGGTCATATGGTGAGAACCTTCGGCTGCTGGCCAAGGCAAAGGGCTTCACCCAGATTGACTTCTGCCGACTGCGAGACCTTGTGCCCATCTCTCTGCCAAATGAGCTGGATGAGATGACCTATGTCGCAAACGCATCGAATTTCCGCCGATCCCTCCTCAACACTTTCGGCAACCCAAATTGGGAATGGAAGGAAGTGTGCCAAATTGAAGATGTATGCCTTACATACAGAGGCTACATCAAATTCCTGGAAACCGACTTGGCAGAAGTCTACCCGCTTCAAGAGGATCGAAGCAAGTCTAGGTATAAGCGCGGAATCGAGTATATCGCAAAACAAATGATGTATCGCGGAGATGTGAGTTTTTTTTCATCAACCTCGGACCACTGGGTTTTCGGTGCACGTTGACTAACAATTCGGAAAGGCATTTGCAAGCGCTGTTCGACAAAAGTACAAGGACCATGTTCGTCTGTCGATTCATCCTTCCACTGGTGCCAACAAACTCTCAGTCAGCCTGCTTCCCACCACCACCATGTTCACAACGCCATGGCACTGCACCGTTGGTTACAAGCTCGATGGTACGGTGGTCTCTGGTATGCGATCCGATTTCGAAAAGGACGAAACGTACGAGTTGGTCTTGGAGAATGGACACCCTAGCTATTATCGTGAAAAGTCGGATCTCTTTTCTTGGGGCACTGAGAAGGGTGGTGTGACTTTCGAGCCGATATATCCAAGTGGTTGGTTGTTGAAGCCAGCCGCTGGGCCGGGTTCCTTGACCATCAATGACGTTGATGCGAAGAAGGTTCGATCATTGTCTGAGATCAGCTCTCCAGTTATCATGCGTGGATTCTTCAAGAATCCCAAGAAAGAGGCTTTCATCGAGAAGTCCAAGGAGTTTGGTGAGCCTCTGCCATGGAAATTTGGGCTTGTTCTTGAGGTCAAGGACCAAGGCACAGACACTCGCGGCCTCAACAACGTCCTTTCGGCCGAGTGGATGCCATTCCACTACGATGGACTTTTCAAGACCGCCACACAGGTCAATGACAAGGGCGAAGAAGTTTGCGTCTCCGTTCCTCCCCAGTAAGTTGTTGAATTTTCCCAAGTATAGCGGTCTGAGATAAGTAGCTGACAACTCCATAGCTTCCAGTTTTTCGTTGGCGCCACCTCCTCCCCCAGGGACACTGGCTTCACATTGTTCTCCTCGTCAACCATGTTCTTCAAGTATCTGCCCAAGTGGCTGACGGTGGAGGACCTCGCGAAGAAGACGTGGGCAGTCTCGACATCCTCCTTCGACGCAACCAAGCTGAAGGGGCTTCCGTTGGTTATTTCTCATCCTACGACGGGCAAGCCATGCCTCCGATATCACGAGCCATGGCCGCAGACCAAGACGCAGTTCGAGGCTACCCTGGTCACCCTCGACGACCATGATGAAGCGAGCAACCAGGCCATTTGTGAAGCCATTGACGCCACGCTTCACGACAGGCGAGTTGCATACTACCACATTTGGGAGAAGGGTGACCTGGTTGTGAGCGACAACATCTTGATGATGCACACGCGAAGCGACTTCACCGCTGGAAGCGATCGGGAGCTCTGGCGAATCCACTTTGACTAGAAGCGTTGAAAACATCGAGAAGTCATAAACATGGTGGAGAAGTCGTAAATATGTTCGAGAAGTGTTAGCGCGTCTTCATTTGCTTCGAATTTGATCTGTACTTAGAAAGTTGACTTATTTTGCGATGCATTTGTTTTCCTTTGGAGTAAGGATACGAAAAGAATTCAATTGAACTATAGTTATCAGTATACATACATACAATCCTGATTTCTAACTTGTGCATATCCTTGCTCGTGAATTGTGGGTGGCGGCGCGACACAGTAGTAGTATCGCAACTCACACAGTACCATATATATCTAGTAGACTACTAAGTACCAAGTATCCATCGTGAACATCGCAAACTGGTCCAGATTCACGACGGCGTTGGCCTGCTACTTTTATCTCATGGCTGTCACTAATTGACTGCGAACACATCTGCACGAAGTGCCGAGACTAAGTCCAAGAAGTGTACATGATTAGCCTGTCACTTTGACGACTTTTGCGCACCACAAGTGCACGACAGGTACAGCTGAGCAGTCCAAGGCACAAATCATCATGTCGACATTTGACGGAATTGTGGCCGAATTTCCAGAAATACGAAGTAAGTCTTTTGGCGTATTGCTGGATTTCATCTTCAATATGGTTTTAATATCTTACCAGTCGACTTCTTCAGACGACAGCCGGATCAGCCTCCACCCTTGGCATGTTTCCTAAGCCACGTCCATAGCGACCACCTAGCCGGACTGGAAACATTGCGCTCCCCTTTGTTAGTAGGAGATTGCCCTCACAAGCCTAGTCTTCAATATTCTAACATGTAAAGTGTATATTGTTCTCAAGCAACGCGAGAGATTCTGCTGCGACTTGAAAGGTACACATGCAGAATCAACCATGCCTGTGGCATTTTGGAGGCAAGACAGCAAACATATAAGCACCTACGGAAAGTCCTAGTATGGATATCATCGTTTTATTCGCCCGTATTCCCGCTCATCCTTCTGATACATTCTCTTTTTTTCAAAAAAACAGAAGTCACTTCCTCTCGAAGCACCAACGGTGATAGAGCTGCGCCATGGACTTAACATCCAAGTCACATTGTTTGACGCAAACCACTGCCCAGGCTCAACCATGTTCTGTACGTAGCAACCGCCATCCCTATCCGACGTTTGCTTATACAAGAAAACAGTGATTGAAGGCCAAGGCAAAGCCATCCTCTACACGGGTGACATTCGTGCAGAACCGTGGTTTCTCAATGCACTTGCCCGGAATCCAGGCATCCTGGAGTATACATGCGGTTTCAAGACCCTCGACAAGATATACCTCGACACTTCATTCCTCGCAGATATTCCATTCCAAACAAAATCTGAAGGCATAGCTGATCTTCTGGCAAAAGTTCAAAGGTACCCGGAAGACACCGTCTTCCACTTCCAAGCATGGACCTTTGGCTATGAGGATGTGTGGATTGCCCTATCTAAAGCATTAAACTCTCGTGTGTGTACAATTCCAAATTTCCATACAAAACGTTTTCTGACTATTCTAAAGATTCATGTCGACGACTATAAGCTGCGAATATTTAATTCCCTCAAGAGTCGTTCCTCTAATCAACCCTTTTCTCCAGAATTTCACCTCGCAGCAGGTGCTGCGGTTTTGACAGGCCACATGTGCGGAAATACCCAGCATTTAGGTTGCCTCACCTCGGATACCAGTGTCCGAATACATAGCTGTGAGAAGGCGAATATGTGTTCTGTCGCCAAACACCCCTCAGTCGTTTCGATTCGACCAGTAGTCTGTCGACTCCCAGGGGGTGAGAGCATGATGGAGAAGGGTGTTGGAGGCGGGGGAACTGATCTGTCTCGGGAAGCTGAATTCGACTGCATTACTCACGAAGACGTTTATGCATTATTAGAGTCGTAAGTCGTTCCACTTGTCCACCTCTGACTCGTGCGGCTAAATTGTCCAGACTGCCAGCTTGGAATCAGGTCGATTCTGAAACAAGGAAAGACATAAGGGCTATGTTGGCAAGCATGTCTTCAAGCGGCCGGGATTTCGCATTGAACATGTCCATTGAAGAATTTAGCGAAAATCTCACTGCGGACATGAGCTCTCTGATACAGTCTCTTGCCAACAGATTGTCCAGCAAGACTGGCGTGGCGAAAACGCCTGTTAATGAACGATCTGATAGTCTCCCCAGGGTTATCCTGTTTCCCTTTGCGAGGCACTCTCCCTATGGAGAACTGTGTGAACTAGTCAAGGTGTTCAGTCCAAAGGATATTTGGCCATGCACGGTAGACAAGCAATGGATAGAGAAAAGTAAGTCAAGCGCCGCAATTTTCGCAGTTTTGCAGACTCTGCTAACGCGTGCAGCAGTAACCGTGGAGTCTCTGTTTGGTAAATATTGCTCGAAGCAAATATTTGAACACGACAAGCAAATGGCGCCGTTGATTGCCCAGGAACACGAGAAAAGATCTCGTGAACTAAGGACACCAATGGTTGATAGCCAGTGCGATACCAGTTTCGAAGTCACTCCACAAAGCAAACGCATACAAGAACAGGCAGTCCTCAGCCGACCACAGCTGCCGAATGCCTTGGTAGAAGGTGCGCAGGCACAAACTTGCCATCCGGCACATGCTTCATCATCTGAGGAGCCTAGTTCAGTAAATTCCATATATTCAAACCTTCACTCGAAGGCACGTACAGGTGAGGATCATGTTTCGCCATCACAACATGAGGCAGAGCGCGGCGAGAAGTCCAGCACAGCGGCACGAAAACGACCATATCAAGAGCTGGACGATCCCAGCGAATGCAGCCAGGACAGCGCCAGGACAGACTCACAAATGGCAGGCATAGCTATCGACTCTGTTTCATCCCTAGGCGGCTCTGCTCTACGACGAGATGCGTATAAGGCCATGTTAAGCAATACAAATGAAGGCGGTGCTTGGGTACCGATCTCTCTTCTCTCCACGGACGCTAATCACCACGAAGAAGAGGTAGAGCTATAAACAATTCGTGCTCTAGGTTGGCGAACTGTAATTACTATATTCTATTTTCACTCGTCACTAGGTGAATGGACACATTTCTGAAGAGCCGGGACATGTGGAATAAAGTAAATGTCAAGTCCATATTAGACATGTATTCAAGTCTATGCTTGCTCTATATGCATCCATAAAAGCCCCTTCACAGGCCCAGACCCAGTCCCAAATTATCACCGCCCAAGAAGATGCCGCGTACCGAATTATCCCTCTCCTTCAACAGCTGCGCAACATCTACTCTGCCGCCTGTAATGTACCGTTCGCTCACGCCCAAATTCACCCTCTGACTCAACTCTTGCCTCAGCTGAGCCTTTAGTACACCCATCTCCGCCTTGGTCAAAGCCTTCGCCTCCTTCTCCTTCCTCCGTCGACCGCCGCCTCTGCTGCCTCCACCCCAACCACTCGACTCGGTGGCCTCGAATTCCTCAGAGTCATATTCCACACCGAGCTCCTCGGCCGCGTTGCGGAGCCAAGCATCGTTGCTGTGGGCCTTTTCCTTGGCCAAGATTGCATCTGTGATTTTCTTGGCCAGATCCAAGCGTGGTTTAAGACGAGAGGCAATCTTCCGGTCGATGGGCAGGCTCTCAATGATGTGCTGTTTCTTGCCAGATGAGGCTCGCTCGGCGTGGACTTTACTGGCAAGTCTTCTGGTCGGGAGGACTTCATCCGGCGAGCAGAGGATGATGCTGACACCGCTGCGGTCGGCGCGGGCTGTGCGGCCCGAGCGATGGACGTAAGTGTCTGCGGCACGCGGGACGTGATAGTGAATAACCTGGTCCACTTCCTTGATATCGAGACCTCGCGCAGCAACATCGGTAGCTACGAGAATGGTGTTTCGTGCTGCGGTGAACTTTTCCAGGGACCGCAGGCGAGCCTTTTGGATCATTTGTGAGTGCAAGGGCAGTGCGTTTTGGTTGAGGTGCTGGAGGAGGGGGGTGATTCGGCGAACGGCGGAAATGGAATTAGTAAAAACCAGTGTTCGACGGCCGGGGTTTAATAAGAGCACTGTATATAGATAGAGATCCTGCAAACCCGGAAAGTCAGCTTCTCGATGGCTCGCCCTCCAGAACCTCGGACTCACCTTTTCCATCGCTCCGCACTCAATCAGACCCTCGCGAAGATTATCCGCCATCTGGCTCACAGGATTGACATCGATGAACTTGGGCTCGCCCCGGAACTTGAGACACTTCATGAGATACGCCATCTTTTCCTCGTCACTCCCAGTTTTGGCACTCTTGCCCTTGCCTGCGAGTTTTGTCTGCAAGTTCTTGTCAAAAGTAGCCGAAAATACCAACGTTTGCCGCTCCCTGGTTTCATCTTCTGCATCAGAAGTGTCAGAGTATCCATTCTCTTCGGGGTTCTCTCTATCCAAGGCGCCAATAATATCTTCCGCCTCCTTGAACTGTCCGACTTTGAAAAGCCTATCCGCCTCATCGACCACCAAGAACTTGATTCGAGTAAACTGTTCTTGGAGCTTTGCATCTCCATCAAGCACCTCCCACAAGCGACCTGGGGTACCAATCACGATATCTGCCTTCTCCAACTGTCGTTGTTGCTTCTGAATACTCAAGCCTCCGGTAACAACGCAAATATATGGAGATGCGGGAAGCCCGTCGCATACGGCTTTAATGTGATCACCAATCTGCTTAGCTAATTCTCTTGTCGGGCTGAGAATCACAGCCATGGGACCTTCCCTGTTCTTCTTGTTCGGCTGGTCATCATCATCCCCCGCCTGGTCTTCTTGCTCCTCATGCGTGTCCAGCCATTTTTCGACAATGGGAATACCAAAAGCCAGTGTTTTTCCGGAACCAGTCTGCGCTTTACCAATCACATCTCCGCCGGCAATAATTTCCGGTATCGACTTTTCTTGAATGGCAGTCGGCTTCGAGAATCCCAACTTTGCAATCGCCGACACCAAGTTGGGCGACAAATTCAACGCCACCCAGTCGCCCATGTCGAGGTCGTCGGTTTCGGCTTCTTCGTCCGCCATTGCTGCCAGCGCCAGGAACTCGTTGCCGGCCCCATGTGAAGCGGACTTTTGTAGCTTTTTGTCGGCAATCTTCTGTTGTTTGGATTTCTTCTGCGTGCCGTTGTCGCTTTGTTGTTGCCCCTTTTGGGTCTTGCTGGCCTTGCCCTGCTTGACTGCTGAAATCGTTTCTTGAGATTTCTCGCCCTCCAAGCTATCTTGAGAATCGCCAGCTTCGCCGGAATCGACAGGCTCGCGCGCCACAATGTCGTCGCCAAACCCTTCAAAAGACTCCTCTTCATCTTCGCTATCGGACACTACGGGCTGACTGTTCGTTTTATCGCTCTTCACGACGAACTGGACTGCTTCGCCATTCTTCACCACGTCCACGCCAGAGAGGACCTGAAGTCCGCCAAAATCTTCACCCACTGATTCCCATGCCAGGGCCGAGGGATCGAGTACGGCACGTCCAACCGGAGTAGGTTTCGTCTTGTTCTTGAACTTTCCGCTCGTCTTCGCATGTGCTTTCGGTCGGGTGCCTGCCTTTTGCAAGTTCTTGTTTCGCTTCGGTTCAGGCCCAGTGGTCGGCGAAACCTTGCGCTTCTTAGACTGTGGTACCATTGGGGGCTGTGATAAATTAGCTCGGCCCCCGAGCGGCTATTTTGCTGCTTGGCGTTCAAGATTGGCCTAGAATAATTGCGAGTTGAATGCAATAGTTTTGCGGCAAAAACTTGGGACGGGACGGATGTCTGAACTTGCTGCCATGGAGCCCACTTCCAAAAAAAAGTTGGACAATGAAGTGACGGTGGAATTTTTTTGCGCCAGCCCAGGCGTGAATCGGCATAAGCTGAGCCGACCTCCGACCCGCCGCCATCCGCCCAATCGCTGCCGGCCACAGACCTCATATCTACCTACCATGACCAGACATCATCAAAAGAGAGAGAGCAACCAGCTCCCAAATTTCAACTCACACATGTTGCATTCATATGCACTTGGTCTCTCAACAGAAAGAAATATAACGATATTATATCATGCTATCGGTACAGTGTGCTATAATTCCGGCCCTTATTTTGAAAGATGAGCCCCGAGTATCCCCTTCCAAAACAGCTTCAAATATGAGTACAGAGAATCGCAGTATAAGCTCCAGGTGTTTCACGTAGCCGCTTCATCCATCTGTCTTGTTGTCATATTTTATAACATCAATACCCCTCTGCCCTTCGTCTCATGCTATTATGTTATTCAATGTGCTCCACGAGCTCTTTTGGCGCCGCCTCCAGCCTCAGAATCTCCTCGAGGACGCTTGGTTCCAGGTTGGAAGTCCGCAACGCCCGGGTTCATCCCTCCTCGACCTCCTCTATGGCCTCCTCTGCCCCGTCCACCTTGACCGACCGCACCTCCATCTTGGTTTCCACTAGCACCTCGCTGCGAAGGAGGAACATATGGGCCACCTCTTCCCCGGCCACCCCCTCGTGGCATAGGAATGTTAGATCGAACAGGTTGGGCCTGTTGGCCTTGTTGTTGCGATTGGTGTTGCTTAGCCTGTGCAGGTTGTTGCGCCCGCGTCTCTGCAGCTGCTGCTGGCTCAGTCTTCACGGCAAAGGGGTTAGGCGCGTCAGACTTGGTCGCATCTGCCGGAACAGCAAACGGGTTATTAGTCGCCGGCGCCGGCGAAGGAACAGCACCAGAAGCTGGCTTAGATGCGGGGGTCGCTGTTTGTACAGGGTGCTGAGCGACTGCAGTAGCAGCAGCAGCAGGCGTTGCGGCACCCGAAGCTGGAGTCATTGGAGCTTTTGCTCCCTTTGCTGGCGTTCCAGGTGCCGCCGTCGCTGGAGGCGGTTGTGCAGATTTCGCAAGTTCCCAAACTTCCACAACTGGCTTCTGTGGCGTCTCGTTTGCTGCAGTTTCCACGACACCCAACTTAGCCGTGGCCGACTTCAGTTTGTTCTCGGCCATATTAATACGGAGAGTGGATTTCTTAGACTCCATCAGCTGAGCTTGCTCCCGAGCTGATGCAATCTTGGCTTCAAACTCGGACTTGATTCTAGTACTTTCTGTCTCCAGCTTTTTCTTTATGTTAGCAGCAATAATGTTCTTAACAGTTGCGTTGGTGGACAGGAACTGCCGGATGCTGGCATCGTCTAGCTGAGAAAGGTCCGGGGCACCGCCCGCGGCCACATTCGGTGTAGAGGGCGCTGCGGCAGGTTGTTGCTGCTCTTCGGGTTTGGCTGGTGTTGCAGGCGGTTGGGAAGACACAACGGGCTTCTCGCCCGCATTTTCCGCCTGCCAGATGAGCTTCTCCTGTTGGAAAAAAAGTCTGAGATCATCTTCCTTCTTCTTGAACTCCTCTTCCATCTTGGCCCGGCTATCCTTGAGTTTGCCGTTAAGAGTATCACGCATTCTATCGGATCGCTCTTTAATAGTTTGCTGGATTTTGTTCTCCGCCTCATTGGCTCTCTGTTCTAATTCGGCAGCCTTGGACTCTGCAGCAATCACTCTCTCCTCCAATGCCTTTCGCTCTTCATCAGACAGACCAGCGATTGTGCTGTCACCCGTTCCTCCTGGAGCGGCATCCTCACTAGTTGTGCCATTGGTCCGAACGGCCACCTCATCCTGCAACTTCTGAGTCGCCTCGTCACGCTCAGCAATAGCATTTTGCAGCTCTGCACGAAGCTGTTCAAGCTGGTGTTCCGCCCCAAGTTTTTGGGCGTTTACTGCTTCCAGTTCCTTGCGAGCATCGGCCAGTTGCTTCTCTAATTGACTGACGACGTCAACGGATGTCGTATCAGCAGCTGGGGCCTGTTGCTCAGGCTGATGCTGTTGGATTTGTTGTCGAAGCTCCTCCACTTGTTGTTTGAAAGATTGAACTTGTTGCTCAAGCTCCGACTTCTCTTTTCCAACGTTTTCGGCGAGTTGCTGGGCACCTTGGAGATCACCACTTGCCTTGTCAAGTTGCTCCTGCAAATGGTTGACACGCTGAGCAGCTTCATTCTTCTCGCCGGTGAGCTTTCTAGACCGCTCTTTGAATTGCTCGGTAAGCTTGGCGCGAGTTGTTTGCCAAGCTTGACGTTCGCTCTCCAGTGTTGAGTCAAGTTCGGTAATCTTCTCTCGAAGCGGCTGCTCGCCCTGTTTGAGACAATCACGCTCAGCCTCAAGGTCAGAGATGGTTTTCTTGAGTTGCTCCATCTCAGCTGGGTCAACACGCCCGTATTTGGTGAGGATGCCTTCAGTCCGCTTTTGCCAGCGGTCACGGTCCTCCTGGATCTGCTTGATCTCCTCCTCAAGATACGACTTTTGCATATTAAGATTGTCAATCTCAGCTTCGAGCGGTTGAACTTTACCCTCCATCTCCTCAATCTTCTTATTCTTCTCAACTATCTGATCCTTCAGTTGACTGTTCTCGTTGCGGAGAGCGGCACTGCTTTCGCGGTACAAATTGAGCTCGTGGAGTTTTTCCATCAAGTCTTGGTGTGCCATTGATGAACGGCCACTCTGCGCAGATTGTGTTCGCTCTTGGTCGAGTTTCAAGCGAGCCTCGTCCAACTGGGACTGCGTGTACTCGACTTGCTGCTGGAGGCGTTTAGATTCTTGTGACTTTAAGTCGTATTGAATTTCGAGTATGTCCTTCTCACGACGTAGGTAGTTGTTGAGTTCTCGTAGCCCTTCCAAAGCATCTCCAACATGTACGGGCGACATGCCCTCATCGCCCTCTTCATCGCCGTTTGATCTTCTCTGCTGCAACGCTGCAACTTGGGCGGTCAAGCCCTCAAGCTGCTGGTGCAGCAGTTTGTTTTGAGCATTAACGTCCTCACGTCGAGCCGTCAACTCAGCCATTTCCTGTTCTAGGTGCTGCCGGCGATCCTCCCAGGAGCTCTCGCTTTGCGCAAGGGTAACCTTGGCTGATTCAGCTTCTGCTCGTAGGGATGCTGATTCACTCTTAAGCGCATTGTAATCGGTGCGCAGTTGCTGGACGAGCTTCGCAGCTTCAGCGTGCTTGACCAACTCCTTCTCATAGTCTTGCTGCGCCTTGGAAGCAATCTCAGCCTGGGCCCGTAAATCTTGCTGATGATATCTAGTGGCCTCAGCATGCCTGGCACTCTCTTCCTTCAAACGCTTCAGCTCATCCTCCAGAATCGTCTTTTCGTCCTCATACTTTCGAGCAACGTCGCCTTGGGAATCACGCAACTGTGATAGCTCCGTATTTGAACGAGACAGCTCCTCGGACATGTCTTCGATCCGTTGACTGAGCTCTTTGATTTTATTATCCTTCTCTTCAATCATGGCCTCCATCTCCTGTCTGTACTGCTCTTGAGAACCGCGCAAGTCTGCGAGCAATTCCTCATTACTCTGACTTAGCTCCCTGTATTGCTCAGCCTGCGCCTTTGCATTCTCGAGTTGGGTATTGGCCATGTCAAGATCCCGTTTGAGGTCAGAGATATCGTTGTTGAGGTCGTGAAGCTCTGCCTCAAGCTCTTGCTGTCGTTGACTTGCGTCATCTAGGCCAGGTCGTGGCGTAGGCCGAGGCTGCAAGCGGCCGACACGTTCTTCGGCATTTCGCAGTTCAACCGTCAGCTCATCAACTCGAGCCTGCAAGTGATCTCGAGTTGTCTTGACGCCAACATGTTCCTCGCGGATCTGGCCAAGGCTTGTCATGAGCTCATCAATTCTCTTCTGCGCCTCTTTTGATTCGAATTCCTTTCGGAGCTGCAGCTTCTTGCTTTCATCTGTCTCATTAGAGAGCCTTCTCTGGACATCAGACAACTCGCGCTCGAGGGTGTCAATCTTGGCTTGCGCCTTTCGTCTGGCTTCAGACTCAGACATGTTGCGTTCATTTTCCAAGGACTGTTGAGTGGCGAGAAGGTGGTTTAGTCGGTTCTTTTCTTCGATCAAGTTCTCGTTGTCCTTGCTCATACGGTCCTGTATGTCTTTCCAAAGATTTTTCTCGGCCTTCAAGTTGGCGGTTTCGTTTCTCATACTATCCAACAAGCCCTTGGTTTCAATGAGTTCCTCGGCAACCTGCTGTGTGCGAATGTCCTGCTTTGCGGCAGTCTCCGACAAGGCCTGGACCCTCTTCTGAAGTTCAGAATTTTCAGACTGTAAGGCAATGTAGTTGCTCTGCAGCATCTCTCGTCGTTCAGATTCTAGTTTCACCTCACCCTGCAATTTGACGCGTTCTGTCTGAAGTGAATTCTTCTCCGTGGACAAGTGATCAATTTGAGTGCGAAGATCTTTGCGGACACCATCTTGGGCATCTCTGAAGCTGTCGTACTCTGATTGTAATTTTCGGAGAGCCTCGATGAGGGACTCGGCCTGCTCACTACCCTCTATGCTAGCGAGGGGTGCGCGCTGGCTACCATCTAGAGAGCTACGCATCATGGAGGCCTCGTCGACACCCGCACCGCGCTGTTGGAGAATTCGTCGGAACATGTCTCGCTCCGTCTTGTAACTCTCCATCGTATTCTTAATCGATCGGCTCTCCTCAGTCATGTTCTCAAGCTCGCGCTGCAGCTTCTCGACACGATCATGATCCTCCTTAGCTTGATGTTTTGCGGCGAGAGCTTCTTCACTCTCAAGCTGCTCGGCAAGTTCACGGGTAATGCGCATCAAGTCTTGGTTCTTTTGCTGCAGAGACTTGACGTCTTTGAAAACCACCAGCTTCTGGGTAATGAATTGATGTGTGTCGGAGAGATCAGAAAGAGCCTCTTCTGTGATCTCTCCCCTCTCCAGCTGCTGCAAGCGGTACTTCTCTTCCTCGCTCAGTTGATCCATGCCCTTTTCAATAGCATATACATTGAAAACAAGCATCTGAATCTGGGTTCCCAGATCCCGAAGTTGTGTTCGCAGAATGTTTGTCTCAGATTGAGCCGTCGCCAGGGCGCTTTCCGCCTTGCGAGCTGCCTTTCTCGCAAGATCTCGCTCTTCAAAGCTTTGCTGGGAAAGCTCGGACATGCGTGCGATTTCGCTGCGTAGCGTATCAGACTCAGCTTGCAACTCTTGAATCTCGGGTGCCTTGGCTTCAAGAGCCGTCATCATTTCGTCAAGCTCCTCCGAGAGTTGATGATTCCTTCGCTTCTCGCTGGCCAGCTGTCCTTTGACCTGATACAGTTGGTCAATAGCTTGGGTAGCGGTCATTGCCGACTTGCGAATGGAGACGGGGGTGCCGAATGGCGAAGCTGCACGGCCCGCCAACGAGCCATTCGGACGTGGTGTTTGCGGCGCTGAACCGGGTGGAGGGCCCTGTTCTATACGAGCCTGGGCTTCGTCAAGTTCGCCTTCGAGTTGACTGATTCTCTCCTCCATCTCCGTCACGTTTTGCCGTTCTTGTTCCAGCTCCATACGAACCCTTCTGATTTCATTTTCGTAGTTTTCTCTTAGACGCTCTTTCTCAGCCTCAAGGTCCCGCACACGTTCCGAGTGCTTTTTGCTCAGCTGGTCAGACATATCAACAAGCCGCCTCTGATCCTCAAGTTCTTGCTTGTAGCTTTCGATAGTTGTGGCAAAGGCGCCTTCTTGTTTCTGTAGCTTAACAAGGGCCTCATCCGCCTTGGCCTGCATGGCATCAAGACGTTCGCGGAGCTGCTGCTCAGATCGTTTGAGAGCGTCGACTTGTGACTTGACATCCTCGTTTTCGCGCTGGAGCTCTGCAATGCGAGCGCCCTTTTCCTTTCTGTATTTCAGAGACTCTTCGCTCTTGGTCTTCAGCTCAGTCTCAAGCCATTCGCTGTTGCGGCGAGCCAGCTGAAGTTGTTGCTTCAATGACTCCTCGCGGTATTTGGCGCTGTTGAGTAGACCCTTGGCATTTTGTTCTGACTGTTGGAGAGCCGTTACCTCTCGAGCAAGTTCGACATTACGCTGGTGCTGCTTCGTAAGCTCCTCGGTGATGGTTTCGTCGCGTTTGTTGTGTGATTCGATGATGCTTAGGTTAGTCCGGTTTGACGACTGCAGAGTCTCAATCTTGTCGGTAAGACTCTTCACTTCAGCAGCGTGATCAGAATTCTTGGCCTTTAGCACCTGTAATTCGTTCTCCAAGGATTGTCGCTTCGTCTCTACAAGGTACCGGCCACCTCCAGTTAGTAAAGTGTTTTCGCAACCCGGGCTCCAGGTCCTCATTCATGATGCCAGAGCTCGAAAATTGGGAGGAGAAATGCACAGAGCTGAAGCTCACCTTCTTCCTTGAGTTTCTGCCTAGCCTCTTCAACATCCTTCAGTGCCTTTTCTGTAGTGGACTTTGAGGCTTGTGATCTGTTTTCGGAGCTCCTAACCACATTTTCCAATTCAATATCGGTCTGAAGCTTGTCGGCGTATAATGTGTCAAATTCGTGAGCCTTGGCGGCAACGGCTTGAAGCAGCGTGGCCACCAATTCCGCCGTCGGTTCGGTCGTCAGTGTTGTCAACACGGGTTGGTCAAGGCCTAAGTGGCCAGCGACATAACCCACATCGACGCCTGCAGCCGCCATTGTCGAGCCTGGCTTAGATGAACAGCAGAGGCTGTCTCGTCATCACTCGGTGCCCAGTGCCAAAACCATCCAAAGTCAAGGTACAAGAGTCGCAATGTAATAAAATCGAAGTGAGGAGAAAACACGTGAAGCAACCCACAAGACTCCGCCGGCTGAAGTCCGTGAAAGGAAGGGTTTGAACGGCGAGACGCGAATGATGTTCGAGGCGTCGTCGAGTTGTGAGGTTTCAAGATGCGGGTACAGGCTGCTAGCTTCAGAAAGAAATGAGCACCAGCTAGTTCTTGGAGCTCCAGCCTGACTGGCTGTTTGGCGCGCGCTTGCCCTCGCGAAGGCTTTGGGCGATTTCAAGAAAGTCCAAAGAAGTGGCCATTGCATGAATCCCATTGGGTGGCGCCCAAGCTAGTGGGCTTTGTATCCGAGGTTATGCCGATGCCTACCCTAAATTGTACGAAGCAAGGTTGACGGTCACCGGAAAACAAACCAGGTGTCAATGTTGATTTTACAACCTTGATTCATGCTTCCATCAAATGATACCAAATATTGATGCTATTGGTCACCGGCTAGTTCCCGGGCTACTCAAGCTTCGGTCTCTGGTTTTGTCAACTGTACAACAGTGTCAAGACTCACCTTCTTTCAAGTTCTCGGCCCCCCCAAGAGCCCTGGATGCCACCCTTCGATGAAATTCCAGTAGTCTCACGTATATCATATGCCCGAAGGCGCTTCAAGGAATTAACCGGATCGATCCAATGCCTCAATGTTCTGCGGGTTGGCCCAGCACTGCACAACCACATTGCACCGGTACAAGTCGAGGGAACCTAAAGCGCCCGCGTGAGATGTTGGGTGAGTACCACCAAAGTAGAAGTGAGGCGACAGGTTGTGACACTGAAACTGACCTGTTTGGAAGTGACACTCGTCGTTTCTGCCCCGTCTTCAATACGTCGAGACTGGAGTGTAACGGGTGGTAGGTCACATGCTTGCTGCGGACACACGTCAACAACTCAACCACATCACCGCCATTTGATCACATGCACTTCAAGTACTGAAGTTGGGCTCACGGCATATACGGCACTCACATGCGCAAAAGGATGTGATCGAAAAGAAATGAAGAAAAAGAAAAAATGATGCCCAAAAGGGCAACGATCACACTGTGTTCACGTTGAAAATCATCGGGAATATCCCGTCTACCTAAAACGTCGGTACCCCAGACCATGCATTCTTATGCGCCCATAAAGCATCGCTACGATATGACCACCTCACCCCATGACATGATGGATAATATCAACGATAAAAAACAACGCCTCGCTTACAGTCATATCCTTAAAACAAAGCCGCTAACCCAGCAAAGCCATACATGCCCTCACGTCAACGCCGTTGCGTGGAACCGCTCATCCAAATCCGTAAATTTACTAACAGGAGGGGGTATTTCTGTGCGCCGTTGCATCCCAAACGTAATCGATACATGAAGAGAAAGCCCGAGGCGACCCTATCGCCGGGCTGTAATCCGGGAAAAGATGCGAGGGACGCTGCCCCTCCTGGGGGGTGACGAGCTCAGCGAGGCGTGTCCAGACACCGACGCGCCAGACAAAGTTGTCGCGCATGAATCCTCCGACGCCCGCCGCGACGATGATCTCCGCGAGCCGGGGAGCGAGTTTGAGGCCTCGGAGGCGGTGGCAGAGTTCCACGCGTTGGCCCGGGCGACCTCCTCCAGAGCAGCTCGGCGCTGGTCCGCGACGGATCGCAGGGCCTTCCAGAGCCCGCGGCCCAGCTCGTCCCACACGACGGGGGCTTTGAACAGCCGCCGGCAGGCAATTGTGCCCTCCTTCTCGTCCAAGAAGCCGTAGGACACGAGCCCGTCCATGGTCGGAACGGCGTCGTATACCACGGTGATCTGGCCCGTTTGATCGCGCCACTCGGAAGCCTCCAGGAACTCGATGATGTAGGTCCACGCCTCGGAGCGTGACTCCTCCTCGGCCTCCAGAAGGGCTCGTTGGCGTTGCTCCTGCTCGAGCAGGCGACGCTGCTTGCGCTTCTTGAGCGGCAGCTCGAAGAAGGTGGTGCTGTGTGATCGGATAGGGATGGGCGTAGCGGAAGCGGCCATTTTTGCTGTCTGCACCGCCGTCATGTCTGTCCAGGGTCGTCCTTTTCTCTCGGCCTCCTGGGCCTGTCTGATATATCGGAAGAAGACAGCTTTGATGTGCGTCCCCCAAATAGGGACCAGTTGCGGTGGGCTGGGGCTGTCTTTATACGCCGTGGTTGTCGCAGCGAATCCAGACGGGCGGCGTATGCTTCCGTTTGGGGACGGTCCAGTCCGTTGGATATTTCGTCGAAACCTTGCTCTCAGCCGTGTGGTGGTTTGCCTTTGGGCATACGGCGATGGTTCAACTTGGAGGAAACCCTGGCGCACAGGCAAGCAAACGACACAGCAGTTCTTTGTCCAGCGTCGGGTTCGAAACGGCGGATTCTCTCAGTGTGGTCGGCACGGGGGGGCGATGGATGGATATATTTATGTTTTTTTCTTCCCCCAGCCAGCACTTGGCCAAAGCTCGGCTTGGTATTCGTAGGGCTTAGTAGTAGATGTCTTGTTCCTGGTGGTTCGCCTTGTTCGCGGAATGGTGGCGGTCAGATGATGAAGCCGGTCTTTTTTTAGCAAAGACAAGTTTTGATTCCTCGCAGCGGGACAATGAATAAAGCGGATTGTTGCATTCACAGACAGTCGACAAGTCAACAATAGCAACGGCAAGTGTTTTCTACTGAAACAGCAAACCAGGGGTGTTGAGACTCGAGAGAGATGGCAGAGGGGAGGAATGGGCCGGTTTATTTGGGAGCCCGGCCAGCCAAGCCATCGGTATCGCATGGCCCTGCTTGTGAAAGTGCCGTCTGCCCTTTGAGTACGGAGTACGGAGTAGTACACAAGAGCTGCATCAAATGTTGTTGGTTGATCCGCGCAGCCGCAGCCGCCCCCAGGCCAGATGGCCCTTTCATCCTGGCCCATGCCAAGGTCATTCACCACATGCGCATCCACACACATCGCATCTCACCCATCTCCCGCATGCCGCCAATGTAACTATGCCCTCCCACCCCCGGGTTCTTGGGGGGGTGAGACGGGGTAGGGTGTGCGTGTGTGTGTGCGCGCGCTGGTGGCATGTGCCAGCGTTTCTTCCCGGCTGCCGGCTTTGGAGCTGCGCGGGACGGCGGAAGATTGACACGAGCTGGATTATCTGGGATGGTGATGAGATGGTCTGCCCTGGTGTGCTCTGCGCTGGGCCGGGTGGCGGGCGACGGCAGCGAGACATGACAAGTCTCCTCTTCCACAACGCCGCCAGGTCGAATGCCGCAAGACCAGCGTCAATGGCGGCGGCACGGCAGCACCATGCCGGGCATGCCATCAGCTCGGTCGGTCAGTGTCGAGTGAACGCCAGCTCAAGCTGCTCGGTACTACTTGAGGCGGAGCCGGCGGGCAGCAACAGGGACAGCAAAGCAACCAAGGAGCAAAGGGTCGATGCGAGAGGGCAAAGCTGTGGTGAGGGGGACGACTCACAACTCCCAACTCGCAACTCACGGCTCACGACGCCGCCTGGTAGGCTGTAGCCCTGCGGAGCGGCGGCTTCTGCCAGACGCACAGCACGCCCTGGTTGGTGCATCACATTTTGCTCGTTCGCCTTTTGCCCAGATGCGAATGTGAGAGCACGTCAGTCACCAACGGGGTGTTGAGGCTTGCATGAGCATGAGCATGAGCATGAGCAGAGCATGAGCATGAGCATGAGCAGAGCATGAGCATGAGCACGAGCACCAGCATGAGCATGAGCATGTTGGACGAGCAGGACCGGGTTTGCGCGGACCACTGGCTGACCGACGGCACCGGGTTCTTGACTCTGTCTCGGTCAGTGAGTTTGGCCTCGCGCAGCCAGTCACGTACGGCACCGCCCTGGAGGCGCCTGGCGGTGTTGGAGCGTGATTCCGATCGCATCGGCTTGGTGACGTGTGATGAGCCGTGTCAAGTCTGGGTATGGCTTTGTTGGCCGTCGGTCACAAAAAAAGACGGCGTTGGTGACGACCTTGACATTTGAACCAGACTGACTGCCTGTGTGATGAATGGTGGCTGTTCTCATTTCTGGTTGAGACTTGAAACACACAAAGACGGTTGCCTGTACGGGGTAAGGATGCATTCCGTCCTTGCGGCCTCGCAGTTTCATCACCGAGGTGCTTTATTTTTCTTTTGCCCAAATTCCATGTATGTGAACTCGGTAACTACGCACACTCGTGGAACACACGGGGGATGAGCTCGACTTGACGTGCAAACACGCACTCCCGTATCCGGTGGGCCAGCGGCCTTGTAATTATCATGATTATTATTCATCATTATTACAGAGTACGTATGTATTATTTTTTCTCACATCTTGTTACGCTCGTGTTTCCGCACCACACTCACCACCTCATCGCCCGGCACCCAACGGCCGACAGCAGAGACACGAAAAAAATCCAGCCATGGCAAGGTGTCTGGTCCTCTCACTGTTATACCAGCTCGAGGGTGTGCTTGCTTGTCACGGCCACCGACAGGTTGCATGGGGACGCGGAAGCACTCGTGGCATGTGGCCAGCCACAGCTCAGCTCTTGCGCAACAATGGCGCCGGCCAAGTCGGCAAAACGGTCATAAATAGCCTCCTCCTCGGCTGCTCGGGGGGATCCCTGACGACCTTTGTCTGTGTGTATGGAGAGCCAAGGGAGGAGGGTGTGTTGGGAAAAAAAAAAAAAAACCTAAACTCGCTCACCGGCGTTTGGCTCCGGATGACGAGGCAACATTGAACCGTTCTCAACCAAGGGGCAGACAGAGGCTCTCCCTGCAGCGCTTACACCCATCAAGCAGCTTTGTAGCAAAGTGGCCCTGCGCTCTGGGGAGTCCAGATGACGGCGGCAGAATGACCTGCTCGCTCCGGCAGGCAAGGACGAGGTGGCGGTTTGGCGCGCGATTTGGAAATATTACTGACCAGACATCAATCAATCAATGAACGGTGTGCCGGCCGGATTGCACTCCAGACGCGATGGCTTTCAACGTTTGGAGGCTCAACAGAGGGGGCTTTGTTTGTGGCATCGCCGCCTCGTCCGATCCCCCTGTGCCCGAGGGCGGGAGCCAACAAAAGCAAGGTGTTGGGTCAGTCAAGCTGCATGCATGTGTCGCTGAGATGCTGCGGAGAAACGTCGCAAGGCGAGAAAACCGGCGGGGCGCGCGCATGGCTTTGTCCGGATGCGATGCATACGTAGATGTTGTCGTTGGTATGAACGAACCGGCTTCTGACATTTCGAGGACGACGGATGGGCATCATTCACTCACTCGGCCAACTCGGCGAATTGTCATGTGCATGATTTCGCAGAACCAACATACATACATACGGAGTCCATACATACGAGGTCCGTATGTACTTTACATACCATTATGTTACTCCGTACTCCGTACATGTACATACGTACTCGGTCCACGTCTCCAGGCGGCTGGAGCGTGTGTCTAGACCAAAAGGAGACATGGCAAGCGACGGGGGCCATTGTTTTAGTTTACGGAGTACTACTAATACTACTACTATATGTGTACTACGTACTAGTATTGACGCATTCGAGTCAATTAATACCGAGTAAATTGTGTAGCATTTCCTGCACCGTATCTGCGGAGAAAGAGGATCGCGTCCCAAACGCCTCCGGCAGACCACAACACAATACCATGGCCCAGGTCCAGGGTCATAGTACGCGGCTCATTCCGTGGCCGCAGAAACAACTCGAGGCAACAAAACATTCCGGAGAACAGAGCACATGCGCCTCTGGAGGCAGACGGTAGCATCGCCGGACCCTTCCGCGGAACCTTAAAGGCAGCCGAGACATTGTACTCCGTCCTCCGTTTACGACGCGGAGCAATCTGGCCCGTGTGCCGCAGACCGCGATACGTAACGTGCTGAGTCTGCACCGTCCAAAATGCAAATCGACTCTTGGCAGCAGTACGTAGTAGCATACAAAGTTGGCTTGCGGAGGCTGGGCTAATCTGTATGTCAACCAGGTCGTGAATCCACACCGACAGCCGGACAGGTGGATATTCACAGTTCAACCGAGCTACGTATTACTACTCAATAGTTTCGACCCTTTGTGCTCCCAGTGCCCTTGTTGCAATTGACAGGTCTGGTTACTCCGTCTCCGTATTGTGGCGTCAACTGTGCGTCGCTCGCTCGCTCGCTCGCTCGTGGAGGCTGGCTTTCAGCGTTGACCCGTTTGGAGCAGCATCAACAACAACAACAAACAACAAGACACGGGGCTGAGACACTTTGTGCCCACGCAGACAAAAATGCTATTCTGGGCGCAGGGGTCTTGGCTTTGAAAACCGCGGCACAAAGAGGAATGAAAGCTGTCGTGACATGTCTGACATGCCAGCTCACTTTTAGAGTTTTGATTCCTGCAATTGACAACATGGAGGGACCACGGAGTACTAGTACAAAAGAAGGAAAAGAAAAAAAGAGAAAAAAAAGGATACATGCACACAAAAACAGTCGGCCCAGCGTCATCTCTGTGATGCCCGTGATGCCCTCACCCTGCCTCATCTCATCGGCCCCAGACAAGCTCAGACGTGCCAGCCCTACTCCCTACATACATATATCCGCTCCAGCCCAAAACCACCAGACCCCTGCCTCGCTTGTCCAGCAGGGCCAGACCGCCGTCCGACCCCGTCAATGTAACCATGGCTTTTTGGGGGGCCAGATCCAGCAGATCTTAGGGCTGGTGGCCTCACCTGCCGTGGCGCAAGCGGCTTGTGCCAGCTCTTGACGACGGATGAGTGAAAATGGGTCGACGGTATTACTCAGTGCTACTACTACGCCCAAGCGTCTTGCTCGCCGATACACGAGCCCGCCGGGACGGAGAGGGATCGAGGCGCGAATGGCGTGGGCTTTGGGTCAGAACACGGAGTCGTCCGTCCCGAGCAGTAGCAATTCGCTGCAAAGCACGCGGCGGGCGACAACTGTCGGAAGCGACAGCTCAACTCATTCCGTCAACTGGTACCTCTGCTGCAGAAGACGAGCCCAACACGGAGAGGCTGGCCGAGGCAATTGCCGACCACGACCACGACCACTGGCTGGTCTGGTCACACTCACCGCGGGCCATGCCGGGAATCCCCTGCCTCATCGAGCCGCCGCCATGCCCATCCATCTAGAGCAAACGTCGTCATCGTCTTGACTCTTGGCGGGTCGTGCTTCCTGGCTTACGAACATGGACGGCTTGATCCTTCGTGTACCCCGTACGTATGTACATAGCATCTGGTCAAGTGTCATGATGAGTCGTTCCGACTGTCTCAGAGGAGTCAGAAACGACTTGATCGGGGCACCTCGCTGACCTGTAAGATTGCCCGTTGACGTTGCAGCGCGACGCCCATCACCATCACATGAGGAAACTAACGCGGCAATCTCGCTTCTGGGCGAGGCGAAGAAATGTCTGGTGCTCTATGTGACTGACTGAGAGCCAAACTGGCATGCGGGGGCTCACCGCTCAAGCTGAAAAAGGGCAATTATTTATTTTTTATTGCTTTTTTTTTTTGTGTCCTTGCTGTCTTATCATTGGTATTTTGCCCAATCTGCGTGTAAGCGAATGTCTACATCGCATTGCAGACTGCCGTGGAATTACCGGATATAACCTGGCTAAATGAGCATGCTGATATAACGTCTCTAATGAATACGTTTCTTGGAGCATCAGTGTTTTATATTGCCTCCTCATCGTTTTGTCCTCACCGCTGTTTAGCCTTTACAGCGTCGCATTTTCTTCCTTCGGCCTGTTCTGTTGACCGACTACCTTTTATGCGTGGAAGCTCCCCTGACCCAGTCTGTAAGCAAAATTAACTTGATTGTAAACTGATTCTTAGCTCAATCCGTGTCTATGAAATAAAAGATTTGTCTCAAAGTTCATGAGCTAGTTGACTAGATAGGACGAGGTTCCAGCTTCTAGCTAGCTTGCAAACTTGTTCAACTAGAACCTTTTTGTTTACGTGATGCTGCTTGTTTGATTGAAGCCTACGAGGCTAGATGGCAAAATGGGGGGCTCATTGACAAAGATCTAACAATACGACTTTGTCCGCTTCAAGTTTCCTTGATTGCCACGTAAAACAATCCTCTGCTTCTTACGGAAGCTGGTCACATGCGCAACCTCCAGCGTTGACATTGCCGTTCGCAAAGGACATCGGACTATTAGGAAACGGCGACCAGATTGGGGCTTTGATATGCTGAAGCACAATACACAGTGGGAGACAGAGTATGTGACCAGATTAGGTGCCTGGCTATCACGCTCGATACCATATTATACTAAGCAGTATATCAGTGAATTGTTCTTGATGCGCAACAGTATTCGGGCCAAATTTACAGGTACAACAGTACATTTATTTGGTGTCTTGGACTCTTGAGATGCGCCAAATACCTGAAATCATGAGCAGTTGGAGTGCGCACATATATCACATCCACTCTTGGGCTGGATTTGCCCGGTCAAAAGCACGTCAAGAGTGAGGGGAGAATGCTGTGATGAAGGGAGCCAGTTTTAATGCACACGGACAAGTAAGGTCCATGCATCCCAATAAAAAAGAAATCGTTCACATACTCTTTGTTCTCAACTTGTGCAAAACCGCTTCAACATCGTCATGTGTTTCACTACTCGTCCTACACCAGTACACAACGGTGAACTTGATTGAACTCCTCACAAACATGAAAAATAATTCACAAATTATTGTCATGAATGAATGAAAAACCTTTACATGTGCAGGCTTTGTATGTGTCTTTGACGTTTGTCCGCTGTTGATTGGTGACAATGAGCCCGTGCATCTGCTCTCATCCGCTTTCAAGTCCATTCTTCTCCCATCATAAACACCACTGAAACCTGTCTGCGTAGTTTTCGCGCTGTGAAAGCACACAAGTTGTTGGGCACGTGGTAGTATGCGTATCAACATGGGCTCCTGCGTCCAGACTTGTCGAAACAAGACCACAATCCTATACCAACTCGACAACAGCACATGTGCCAAGAGACGGCAAATAACCTTCAACAGACTGTATCCATATCATTTTGAAGATTCTTTGGCAGCGTCGCTTACGGACGCTTCTCTTGGCAATGATGGATGTTGTCATCAAGATCCCACTTGTCGTCGTATTTATATACAGCTGGGATTATATAGCGCCGTATCTAACCCGCAGCGATTTCACGGCCAGCACATCTCCAGAAGGCGCAGTGGTCAGATTTTTCTCATGGACAGGGATATATTTGACAAAAGTCGTAAGCCAGAACACCAGCGACCTCGACAAACTTTCCGCAGACAGAGCGACTGACTTTTCGGCAGGTGGTGACGTTCCGACGACAGTTTTACCAAGATCTCCATGAATCAAGTAACGCAGTCAGGATCCATGAACCAAAAGATGAATCGCGCCCGGACGTAATCTCGGCAGACTCCAAGTCGCAACGCCTCCATCTCTCCATCCGACGGAGGACCTCTTCCCAGCCCAGCCGCCGTAAAGTTGATGAATTTGTGGCTCGCTCCAGGCTGGAAGAGTGCCTACAAGGCTCAAAATACTGCCTTCCCGTAGCCGCGTGTTTTGAGCCCCGAGCAGCAACGCCCATGGATCGCATCCAGAGCGACAACAGCCGGGTCTCGTCAAAGTGCGAACGCTCCAAGGAGTGCCTGCGAGAACAACAAAGACTCGAGAAACCTCAGAAAATAGAGGCTCCTGAGAATAATGGACATGACCAGTTCTGGCGTCAAAAAAACCACCAAGATAAAGTTAGCGATCATCACATAAATGCCTGTCCTCCAGTTAAAGCGCAACGGCGTATCCAGGGCACAACTGACCTCGGAAACCTAGCAAACTCCGGAAAGCAGCTCGAACTACAAAGCCTCAAGAAACCTCCTCAGCAAATGGAGGCTCCTGAAAATAATATACATGACCGGTTCTGTCTTCAGAAACAGCACCAAGATAATGTCAGCCATCATCACATACATGCGCGTCCTCCGGCTAAAGCGCAGCCGCGTATCTGGGGCACAGCTGAACTCCAGAACCTAGAAAACTCCAAACAGCAGCTCCAACTAGCTGATATTAAAAGGAGCAACACATTTCGTCAGCTCTGGGAAAACCTCAAAGAGCTACTTCCACCTCGGCACACAAGGGGCCAGTCAAGAGAAAAGTTCGTCCAGGACCTGGCCGGCTTCGAGAAAGAGTTTGGCCAGGAAGGAAAAAGGTTAAAAATCGCCTTGCATAGACTCGAGGCGAAACAGTTTGATAACAAGGAATCACTGGCCCGTGAACAGGACAAGTTTGCCAAAGAATTGAAACACCATGTCAATACTCTGGACAAGTTTCGCGAGTGGCTGCGTGGCGTCTATTCGGAGAACAAATCCCACCGTGAGAATTTGCAGAAGCAGCGGCTCCAGGAGACCTTGCGGAAGCAGCAACTCCAGGAGGCCTTGGAGAAGCGGCGCCTCCAAGAGATCCTGGAGGAGAAACTCCTCCAGGGGAATTTACAGAATAAACTACGCCAGGAGGATTTGCGAAAAGAGGTGCTCGAGGAGAATTTGCGGAGGAAGCTACTCCAGGGGAATCTGTGGAATAGACCACGACAGGAGCATCAGACAAGCATGGGGCAACATGGACGGGAGCATCAGAAAACGCGGGAAGCTGACCAGCAGCCTGTGCAACTGAAATCGGCTCTCAAGCGGACAAACGCGAGGACATACGGGAACGATCCTGTGGGCAGAGTTTAAAATGGACATGCGAGGATGGCGGGCATGGAGAGAGATACAAAAGCCACGACGAAAGCGGCGGGAACGCGTCGCAAAGTCTACTGGGAACTCCCAATGAAAGACGAATAAACCTAAGAATTGGCAGGGTTAATCATATGACTAGGCAGTTTCAGGGGTTCACCTAATCGCCATAAGAGAGGTGTGTCTATGATAAGGCTCGGCAGTCTGTATTGCTTCAGACTTTGGTCGAACCTTTACATACTTGGCTTCATCAAAAGATGTCGCAGCACAGTTCTCCTGGCCGCAGATCGAGAACTATTACGGTTGAAGACGATTTAAAGAATGGCATGGGCAAAAAGACAGCTTGTTAGCCACGGCTGTTTGATGGACCGGCGCAGGAGATGGCTAAATCTTAAAACTGCCATGTCGGGAAAAAAAAGAGGAGCAATTTGGACCAAGAACATTATTCTGAGCCTTGCAGTCTAGTAGTATATAATGAAGATTGTTTGGGGCTACCTAAAGGAACAGTTTCATTCAGGGTTCGTTAAGTTGACCCGTCACTGTGATTCATAGAAGAAGAGAATAATTCGTGGTCCAAGGACCTGCCTTGGAAGAAAAAAAGCCCCAGAATTTACAATAACACATGTGCATGCAAGCTCGCACATTTCCGACTCCCCCATGTTCCTGGAAACTAAAAGCCCAATTCATGACCCATCCTTCGTTAAACAACCGCTCGACTTCCCTCGCACTTGTAATGTATGCTTACATGGCCATGATAATCGTCTGTCACCCTATGACTTTGAAATCCGCCAGTTTACATCTCCCTTGCTGCCTACTGCAGTGGCACACTTGACATTGCCGGTAACTCCCAAGCTTGTACCCTTAGAAAACTCCTTGAGACTCGTTTCCAAGAGCGTTTTGATGTCCCTGTCGCCAATAGTGAAAGGTCCCAGGCAAGGATCGGCCGGCTTGACTCCAAGCGTACAGTCTGTCGTCTGCAGAATTGGCGTGAATCCGGTAGCATCCAAGTCGCCGAGTCTGAAGGTGCCGTTTTCTGAGGTCCAGGAGCTGTAGAGGCTTGCACATTCTTTCCATTTTGCGGGATCAGTGTTTGTGGATTCAGAAAATGTTGATGGGTCGCATGTAGATTGCGTGTGGTTCGCAGGGTGCCAGGAGATGCCTGTCGAGTTGGCCATGATAGGGACCGCCGAGATAGCCCAACCCAAGGTGACGAAGTAAAGGGTCACGACCAGCAAATATTGGCTGGATATCATCTTGCAAAGTTGCCGAATTCAGACAAACCAGATCAGGAACGTTTTTGAAGAAATAGCCCGCTGCGTCTGAGTGTGTGACGTTTGGTAGAAGCGCTCACTCCGTCGCACAGAGAGACTGTAGAAGTTAGTCGATGTTTTTTTCCCCAGAACTCCTTGCGGCGCAGACAAGGTCAACAAAGCGGAAACCAATTCTGAGTCGTACAAACTATGAGGCATGCACACAAGAGAAGTCGAAACTTCTAGGGACAGTGAGCCACCATTTGTCTGTCATTCATATGCAGACAGGACCTAGGGAGCAAGCGCAGTGGAATTCGAGAGGGCGCTTTTGGGACGACGGAAACGCTGGATGATTGCCGCACTCACGGCGCAACATTCAAGATGAAGTGGTTTTGTCAATGCGTGTGGGCAGGCGTAATATTTGAAGGGCCAAGGGCCAGGAGAGCACAGGAGAGCGCAGGCCAAATCAGCTCACGCCAACTCGCGCCAGCGCGCCTTCCTTCCTGTGATAGGGGATTCGGAGGAAACAGATCTCAATCGGGAAGGAGCGTTCGGAGAGGAGACTCCCATCGCCGCAGATGTGAGCGTGAGAATGTGGCAAGCATCCCGCCTCTTTTTGTTCTTGTGTTAGCAGTTCGCATCCATAATTTCGTCAGATCATCGCAAGGATCAAGATTTGCTCATCCAGTGGGGTTGTGCTCCGTATTTGACAACCAAATAGCTACAGACTACAAACACCCGTCAGGACATTGACAGGACCTGATGGGGGGTTGCAAATCTGCTACATTTTATGCACTTTCAAGGCCGAATACCTAGTACCTAGGTAAGCATGTGGCTTCACCAACGAGGCAGTGTGGTAGCTGTATTATTCGCTAGCCTTCATGGGCCAGCCATTTTGCATCTAATAATCTTGCCAGCGAAGGCGACGGTACATGAGCCAATTGATACAAATTCACAATGATACAAACCGGACAGACGGAGAGAAAGAGAGAGGGACAAGTCGGTTTGGACGCACTGGGCCCAAGGAGGTCGGAAACTGACAAGGTTCAATGTTGTTTGTGGAGATTGCTATATTATGCGGTTTGGGGCGCAGTCAAGGACCAAAAGGTCCAGATATCCCTCTGGCCAATTTCAACACATCTTGAATAACGCGGGCCGATACTAACTAATACCAGTGACCTCTTGAAGAGAATGCTCTTGAAGCCGGCTGAAAAGTCTTGCTTCAACCTACTCCGCACTGCACAGACATGCTGGCCGGGTCACGCCATGAGTGTTCAGCCTGCCTCGATGCCCACCACATCGCCCGCTCATAGCTTCACAGCAGACGATAAATAATACATACATACATAGCTTCACGGCACTTGTTGGTTAGCTGACAAGACACCTCAATGCTGCCATCGCATCACAGCCCGTACCAGCTTTCCCCCCCGCACACCGCTCATGTTTAGAGACGACGGAAACTTCAACGATGAATGGTACATTGCCTCTTTAGGTTTTGTAGCTACCTCGCCTCAGGTACTTAACACAATGGATACATGCCGGCACCCGTTTGCCTAGCCGCAGGCTTCTGCATATGCCAAGAAACAGCCCGCACCTTTGTCTGCGAAACCCGATCTAGATGTCTGCTGGCTGGTATGACGACATTGTGGGTATGGGGGGACGTTCGGCACCCTTCATGACAGCATCTAGGTTGTTAAGCCGCTGCTTTTCGGGGCGCGAAGAGGCCGAGAGTGTGTCCGAAAATGAGTGATTACAAGTTCAAGCTGAAGAGGAGCCGAGGAGCCGACGGCTCCCTGATAGAACTGTTGTGTGTGGTCCGTGCTTTGACAAGCGTGTGTTGCTTTGCCAAGTTAAAGTTGCAGAAAGACTTGAGTTTGGATAGAGGTCATGACTGTGAAATGACGGATGAACTGCGAGGAGAAGCAACCAATGCCCGGCAGCTTTTTCGGCTTGAAAACAAGACACCACTACCCGGGGTTGCCAATTGGTAATGCCCTCTTTTTGAACCAAGGACTGATTTCATTAGAGTGTGGCCCGCCGTCCCCAGCTTGTTGGGCGGAACGCATTGCGCCGGTGCCGGCAAGAGCTCCGTGATCTGTGAGGTTTGGCTGCTCTCCGTTTTTTTTCGTCAACGCTGTGGAGAGACGACTTCGCCCGTTGGGCGCTTGTCCATCGACCCGGTGCTAAAAGAGAATGTGCCGACATGGTATATAATCATGAATGGAAGGAAGAGGGCGATCGAAGCGGGGATGTGAACAAGACAATGGACAGATATAGTCTCGTCGTCTTTGGCTCCTCGCAACCCTGCCTTGACAACTGCAACTATATACACGAAGCTCCAGCTAGGATTGACGACCCCCAGGCTCCGTATACTCGGACGTAGCCATCATACCTTCTTCAACGAGACAAGTGAGATACTCAGCCATGGCCATGGACAAGCTCCACGATCACCTAAGCAACACGAGCACCATCAAGAAGCTAGTCGGGCGTCTTCGCGGAAATAGTGTTAGTACGCCAAGCACAACGCAGAGAGACGACGGCTATACATCCAGTTCGTCGCGAGCGCCCTCATTTCGCATTCGTACGCCTCAGATATCTAGGTCACCGGATTCACACTGCAGTTCATCGACGAAGAAACGAGGCAAAAACGGCCACTGTGCGCGAGATGCTCAACTTGCCTTGGAATTATGGAATGACGCATACGACGCCTTACGAGATGATCCTAGTTGCACCGGCTTGGTGATTGCGTACGAGAATATTATATCGCAAGAGCTGCCAGATCATCTAAAAATGGGCGGCCTCAACTCGTCATTCCACGGCAAACCGGCGGATCAGCGATTAGAGTTGCTCACAGCCATAACTGCAGCCGGGCTTGAGAAGGGTAGAAGCTCCAAAAATTCTCAGGCCGAAAACTCTGCGAAGGTGGTACTAGATGCGGTGAGAGACCGAGTCGCCTCGGTAGTGGCAGAATATCACGCTGCATCGGTGGCTTGGGCAGGTTTTTGCACACTGACCCCGGTGAGTATCAGGCGGAATTCAAAATGCGTCCTATATGTGTACTAATAAATCCAATTCAGCTTTTACTGGATCCAATAGTCAACCAGAAAGATTTCAGAAAGGGCCTGGTGCACGTTGTAGGTCGCATATCGTGGTATATGCATCTGGCACAGTTGCTGCGGGCCAATTCATGGGGGGCAGAGCACCAATTCCGAGAACAGCAGTACGCAGTCAGAGAGAGGCTGGTCAACCTGTACCAAAAAGTACTCGAGCTCGAGATGAATTGCGTCTGTGCTACGGCGAGTGCTTGGAACACAGCTGCCAAGAATGTAGTCGGCTGGAACACGCTGGACAAAGTGGTGAAGAATCTTCTGGACATGGACGCGCAAGTTGTTGAGATTGTTGAGAAGCACTGCGCAGAGAGAACTCGGGAGACTCTGTTGCAAAAGTATCTAGATCTGGACATGCCTTAGACGGCGGGAGGTGAGGTTATCGTAGAGTCTACAACCGCACAGCCAATGCAGATAGCGCAAGTAGTGGGTTGAGTCTAATTTTCCCGGCTATTTTTGATGATAGATAGGCATGGAGTAGAAATGAGTCGAGATGGGAGGGGATGATATCCGTAGTCAGCAATCACTAAAATCTCTTGCCGCGCGGCATCCCCGCAGTCAATGTTAGTGTATCACGCCAACTTGGCATTGAATCTACCACCCGAATCCGTTGCATTCCACGCTTGGGTGCAGAGGTGAATACTAATTGAAATGTGACCTGCTACCGCTTTGGCCCTCCCCGCGCGGCTCGAACCAGCCAGAAAGTTCAATTGATGCATCTACATAGTTATGTTGCTTACAATTCCCTTGGTCAGCAACAACGGAGCCAATCATGTATCCAACAGCACGTACTACTTGAGAGTCTGAAGAATTCCATCGTTGTATCTCGGACATATATGCCCAGGTATACACAAGGTGCGACAATAAAGGGATGGCCCTGCGCTTTACATGGAGCAGGATAAATGCCACGACCAGAAAGGCAGCATATCTAAAGTTTCCGCCGTTTCCGTCTGCAACCCCAACACCAAGAGCATCGGGAGCGAATCTCACCACCTGGAGCTTCACCATGGCAGGCGACGAAGCTGCAACAAGTGACGCTGCGGCAGCCCAGACGAGGGCCTTGCCGCCGTTGACGGACCATGACTTCAAGATATACAACCGCATGGCGGATCGGATGGAACAATTTGTACGCTGGCCTCACTAGCAGAACCACATGATACCATACTAATCTCGTATCGCAGCACAACTACTTCCGCCAGACTTGGACGCTCCTCTGGACAGCAGCGACCACCTCCCGGCGCCCGCAGAACCTCACCCAGAAGCAATTCCTCCAAGAGGCCATCTCCTTTGCTCGCCACCTCTCGGCACATCACGGCATTGAAGAAGCGCATGTATTCCCGCTTCTCGCGACCCGCATGCCCGAGTTTGACGCCAGGAGAGGGAGCTTGGTGAAGCAGCACGAGCAGATCCACAAGGGGCTTCAGGAATTCGAGAGGTACGTGAAGGAGTGTCATGCGGGGAGGGACGAGTTCGAAATGGGCGTGTTGAAGGAAAAGATGGAAGGGTGGGGAGGCGTGCTGTGGGAGCATCTGGATGACGAGGTCAGGATGCTGGGCGCGGAGAGGATGAGGGCCGTCTGGAGCAAGGAGGAGATGATGAGGATGCCCATGTGATTATTCACATCGGGATGGGCATCTGACCCCCCGGTACGACATATCCAAGACGCGTCTGGTTGTGGCGGACATGTAGTTGCAACATTTGGCAACGGAGCCAGCCAGCCACCATATCCTTTTTGCATAAGAGCACGAGATTCGGCCAATTTTTTTCTTTCTTCTTTGTTCGTCTCTAGTAAATAAGTACTTGAAGGGGGCAGTTGTCTCGTCGCCCACGACCCAGAATATTATTTATACACACGCCATGTGCCCAAGTCAAGCAGCCGTGCCGCCAACATGAGCAAGATCAGATCTCAAGTTCCCCGAGTCTATACGATCTAGACCCCGTCGCACAAAAAAAAAGGGGGACAATAGAAAGCAAAACCCAGCACAGTAGAGACTGTCGTTGTCTCGAAGCAACTTTGATACGCCCATCCCTTTTCCTTTTCGTCATATATCCGCCCCGTCCCGTCCGTCCGTCCCCGACTACGCCGTCGACCGCCACAAGTCCACCATGGCACCCGAAGCCGGGTAAAAGGCCAGCAGCGAAACTGCCATGTCCGGCAAGAAGCCGCCCGTCGTCGAGCCCCAGTGAACCGTCAGCGGCGCCCAGGCCAGGTTTCTGTAAAAGCTCTTGTCCCAGGCGGCCGCCCACTCGGCGTCCCTGACCGTCCTGCGGCCTCGCTCAACCAGCAAGCGGGCGCCCTCCATGGCGACGTACAGCCCCCAGGCGCGGACGCTCAGCAGACCCAGGCGGCCCTGGGTGGCGGGCGCAAACGGCAGCACCTTCTTGCTCGACAGGAAGGCCACGTTCTCGGACGCCTGGTAGACGATGAGCGAGGCGACCTGGGCGTAGGCGACGAGCGTGTCGAAGAGGGCCTCGGACGCGTCCTCGGCCGAGGAGTGGTCGAGCTTGTTTTTCTCGTTGCTGCTGCTGCTGGCGGCGCGCGACTTGAGCACCAGCCTCTTGGCGGCAAAGTAGAGCCCCAGCAGGCCCCAGAGGCGGCCCATGGTGCGGGTTTCGCTAATCATGGCGGCGAGGGCCTTGAAGCGGCCGCCGAGCTGGAGGGCGAGGGCCGCGAGCGAGGGCCGCGGCGCGGTCGAGGACATGACGACGGTCGTCGCGGGCGGCAGCTTGAAGGCCAGGGCGACGAGGCGGCGCGCCGACTGTCTGATGGCGGCGCCGGCGGCGGCCTCGAGCACGGAGCCCGTCAGCCGGGAGGCGTAGCAGGCGAAGAGGAGGACCGTCTCGGCGCCCGACCGCGTCTGCATGCACCGGAAGAGGTGGGCGAGCAGGGCATCGGCGCGAGACGGCGCGGCCGCGAGCACCGCCGTGATGGGCGCCTTCCGGTTCGACGGCGGGGGCAGCGAGGGCGGAACGGCGGCGTCGACGCTCGTGTCGACGCCCGAGGAGGAGGGCTTGTCGGCGGCGCTCATGGTATGTCGAGGTGCGTGAGGTGCGCGAGGTGCTCGAGGTGCTCGAGGTGCGGGGGAGTGAGGTGAGGGATATCGGCTCGCTCGCCGGTCGCAGTGACGGATGTCGACGCAGGTGGGCAGCCGCGATGAGGGACCTTGTCGGATCGAGCCTCGGAAGAGCCGAGTTCAAATACTGCCGCAAGACGTCCGCACGGGAGCTGGCCGCTGCAGAATGGCACAAATAAAAGGGGCACGTCCGCGACAGCCACCCGCTGGGAATTGTTGAGCGCTTGTATCGCTTGTGTGACGCGATGCGGCGGTGTCCGGGGTCGAGCTGAATTCCCATGCAGCTTGCGTCTGGGCAACAGCAGCTTGTGGAGGCCGGCTTCTCCTTGTGAGTGCCTTGTTCAGAAATAGTACTCGACCATTGATTGATCCATCACGGCAAGGAGCTGGCGGCGGTGCCTCGGCACTCAATTGCATGCGGCTACTACGCTGCAGACGCCATCGGCCGGCTAATGTGACGGCGAGGCGTGGCCAGGCCCCAGGTTGCCTCGGGGTCCCTTTCGAGGGCGGCACGAGAAGAGCACCACGTCCTGGAGCTGTTGGGGCACATGAATGAAGCTGGAGTGCTGCGGTCGGTGCGACCATGTCCATCTCCCATCCCCGCCGAGTCCTAGCCCGTCCACTCTGGCCTCTCAAAGCAGAGTTGGGAGAACCGAGTGTTCTGTAACCCTAACCCTAACCCTAAAACACGCCAGACATCTCCATGAGGGGATGGAAACAAGCCTCCAGTGACCCCTCCTTGCAAAATCTTCCTACTGTACCTGAGTGCTCCGCAGTCCCTCTGAACTAGCGGTGGCCCGCGCCGTACTCCATCTTCATGTCGATCCATGTCGACACTAGAAACGAGCATAAGCAAGGGGGATCAGTAGCATACTTGCGTTTTTCAAGTCGAACTGTGCCGTTCGCCATCCGCTTCAAACTAGCAGCATCGTCACAAAACGCAATCAAACAAAAGAAATGATTAGAATTTTCCAAACGTTCCCCGAGGAGCTCTTCCAAGTAAATAACGGCCTATCAACAGCATCTTGTTTCCCAAATATTCAAGGCTAACGACACAATCGTCTTCGCTATAAGAAGAAAGTTCCTGCTATTTTCTCCTTTTCTTCACATCAACACAACTTGGGCAAACTTTGTACCAACTACAGCGTTTAGGAGCCCCTGTGCCCGACGGCCATGGACTTTGGCCATTTTTTCCGCGTTGCAATACTGGCTTCACCCGCAAGAGAATGGAACCGGATCGTCTGTGAAACTTGTAAACATATTCATGTATTGAAGTCGCTGGACTCATTTCTAACATAATCCTTCCCCTCTCCTCTTTGGGTCCCCTCCATGGCAACCTATGAGATAAAAGGAGAGAAGAAGACGAGACTTCACTACATACTCTCCGATGAATTTTTTTGATGCAAATCGTACATTTTGACCGCACGTTTCGTTTCATCCGTCTCATCCGTCGCATCCATCAAGTCCCGCCCCATTCCGTGCACGGCAGTTAGGACAAACAAAAGAAAAAAATGGCCACAAATAGTCTTTAATATCTTCCCGTGTGCCGTAAGCAGCGCGAAATATGTGCGCCTACGCCCCGAATACCAAGTTTGTTTAAATGCGCATCTCCCCAACACTGAAACGTCAGTGGCTTCTTGCTCAACCCCGAACAGCAGCTCCCAAAGCACCACCAGTGAACTGAGTACCGCCAGCTTGCCTCTGAGTGTGGCCACCGGTGCGGGCACCGCCGCGTCCTCCTCGTTGGCCGCCCCGTTGGCCACCGCGGCCTCGGCCCCCTTGCCGCTCGAAGGCGTTGGATGTGCCTTGGGTCCGCTGTTCCAGAGTTCGCTCGTTGGTCTCGATGAGCGCGCTGGCCTTGTCTGACAGTGTGAGAGCCAAGGACTGCAGGCGGCTAAGCTCGACGCCCTTGCGGAAGATGACGTTGTTGGTGACCTGGTCGAGAGAAGCGGCCAACTCCTCGTGGCTGATCATTTTGCTGACAATGGCGGCGACCTTGGCAATGTCCAGCTCAAACATGGCGCTTACAGTGTCGAGAGCGAGAGTGTCATAGAAGGGGGCGTATGTGAACAGGTAGGTGCGGAGGCCTTCTTCCTGGATCTGCTTGGAAAGCATAGTCTTGATATCCTCGGCATTGGGCATCAGCTCCCAAATCTTGATGCTGTGGATGAAAGTCGTTGACTTCTTCCACTCGCCAGCAGCAAGAGCCTTGGAGGCCTGCATGACGTGGTCTCTCGTGTTCTCAGGAGGGCCGGTGAAAATTTGTCTCTCGTGGTACTCGAGCATGCGTCTGTAGGTCTTGCTGATGACACGCTTCTTGACGTCAGGTGAAGATCCCGTCTGGGCTAGCAGGGGGATCTCCAGAAGCATGCTGCAGGTCAAGTACACACACTCGAGGAGTTCGAGGTTAATGTGCATGTGGAACGGTAGCTGGCGCTGCTTCTCTAGGCGCTCCTGTTCAGGCGACACCTGGCTGTATCTCTGCATCATTACACCTTGAGCGAGCAGCTCCTTCTGGCGACCGCTGCCACAAATCTCCTGAAGGGTGTTCTGGGCGTCATAAACGAGTCCTTTGCGGAAGGCGCAAAGACCAACCTGGACCAGAGTTCGGTTGTAAAGGATCTGGGTTAGGACATCGAAGTTGGGAATGGTGTCCTGCAAGTGGGACATGAGCATCATGTCGCGGGCATTGTAGTACTCGCCATGCAGTGCGAGGAAGTAGACCTGGCATAACATGGCTCGGGCTCGGATGATGCCGTCACTGTTGCTGAACAGGTAGTTGCAAAGAACGATGACCAAATTGTTGGCGTCACTGGACTGGCTGCGGGGGGTGATGACAGAGTCGACCTTGTCACCAGCAGCCTTCCAGCAGTTCTCCTCGAATGTCTTGATGACTTGGGCAGGCTGCAGATGTGTTGATGCGTTAGTTTTCATAACAAGAGAATAAGAAAAAGAGGCTGGATCCTGAAGAAACTATGACTGACCTTGAAGTAGACATGCTCCAGTCGTCTCATGACGATTCTATTCACGCTGTCTTGAGGGATCTCGAGGGCAGGATCCTTGCGCAAGTACTCATAGTACAGTTGGCCGCGGACGATGATGTTGTACAGGGCACCCTCATCTTGGAGACGTTCAATGTACTCAGAAGTATGAGGATCAATGCTTTGAAGGGATCGGACGAGCTCATCATCCAGTCTCTCAACATACGAGACGACACTACCAGCAACCTTGATGTATTTCTCGCCAGGCTGAAGAGCAGGGGCCTTCTCATCATCATCCCACTCCTCAACATTCTCAACAACGACATAGTCCTTGTTGTTCTCAAGAACAGTTATAAGAGTGGAAAGCTCCTTTTCTGCAGCTTTCCAGTGTTCCAAAGGCATCACATTGGATGTACCAGCGCTTAGATCGAATCTGGCGGAAACGATAGCCAGCAGAACACGGATCTGCTGGTAGGGAGTGTTAGCAATCTCGCCGAGCTTCTCCATCACCTTGATCTGCTCAACGCGATCGGTGTTCTTCTTTCCACGAGTTTCCATGACGCCACGCAGGTGTTTGAAGATACTCTCTGGGGTATACTGGAGAGTACGACCACCCTTGCCAACGGTAGCAAAGCCATCGTCGCCAAGCTCTTCGGGTTGCGCGGTCTCCTCCTGAAATCTGGCAACTTTCTTTGGCTTGACCGGCTCAGGTTCCTCATCTTCAGACTCCATGAAGCCATCCTTGTCTTCTCTGTAAGCATTCACTTCAGTCTGGTACTCCTTGCTGGCCTTCTTGATCTTTTGCTTGACGGCATTCAGGTTACGGGCCTGGATGGCGTTCATCTTCTTGGGTGTAACTTTTGCCTTGGCCAAAGCCTCGTTCATGAAATCCTCCAACTCGGCGACGATTCGGATATAAGGCTTCGGTGTCTTGCCGCCATCTTGCAGGCGGACAACCTGTCTGCTGAGTTTGTCGAATTCTGTTTACGAGACCAATATGTTAATGACACAATAATCGTTCAATATTCTTCTTCTTCTTTCCTTCCCTGTTCTTTCAGGCTGGCCATGGTGTTGACAGCACTTGCAGAATTCAAATGGCGGCTCCCAATTTTCTTCTGCTGAAACAATATAAAGAGGGGGGAAGGGAGGAAAAGATACAGCAAAAGGGAGGGGGGGCAACGGTTTTAAAGACAACACTTCTACGTACCAGCAGAAATCAATGTCCAGTCACCGTTCTTCTGGCCGTTCTCAATCTGCTTGATGGAGGCGTCAAGTTCGTCGCGCTGTTTGTCCTTGGCACTCTTCACTTTGGCTCGGACTTCCTCCTCTTCACTCTCGCTATCTGAAGCGGCATCCCTCAAGAAACGGTTGGCACCACCGGCTTCGTCATCGCTGGAGGTCTCCTCGTCACTCATATCAGAGTCGTCCATGTCGTCAGAACCTTCGGAATCATTCTGGCCGAGCTCCTGCTCCTGCTCCTCCTCGGAGTAGAGCTCTTCCTCATCAGAGGAGCTGTCACTGGAGCTGTCCTCTCCACCACGGAAAAATCGAGACATGGCGGGCTAATATTTCTCTTGGCGCTATTCCTCGGTGGATGTTTTCGCCTCGGGACGATCGAGGGTTGAAATACGGATTCGTCGCGAGGTGCGATGCGCGGGGTTGGGAATCGAGCCTGGCTCGTGAGGGTCGAAAATTGATGATTTTTGGTGGGAGGTGGGGCGCCCAACTTGGGGCTTAGCGAAGACTCAGCGTCAAAGACATATGCAAAGTGGTTACAGTTCACAGTGTGCAGCTGCACAGTCCAAATCCGCCCCCCGTCCTTGTGTCACACTGTCGCTCCCATTTCTGTGCCCGGGAAATTTTGTGTGTGCTTATGTCAGCGACCGGCGGTTTAGTTTTTCCTGGCCAGCGGCGATGGTTGCTGTCTGGTGCTGCCCACTGTGGCCGCCATGGCTTGCACATGTTGCGCTGAGTGGCCCGCTGGCCGACCACTAGACGGCGAGCTATTAGCCGTTTTTGCCCCCTCGGGCCACACACGTCTGGAAGAGTTTGGCCTGATTAGCGGAACAGCTCGGCTGATGGCGGGAGGCTCTGGACGCCCTGGGCCAACTAGCACCAGTCAATTGTCTTGTTACTAAATACTATTCCTATTGCTTGATTTCTCAGCAACACCAAAATCTCGTCGACTTCACAGCTCATACGTACATAGAGCCCCCCCGTTCGCCCTACAGTCCTCGCCATGGCCAGCGTTGGCTGTGCAAATGGCGCATCGGCCGCAAGGTCGTTCATCCAAATCGCGAAGCGTGGCTACTCAACCGCCGCTGCGAGATCATCCGCTCCTCTGGAGTTTCTACTTCCCCGAACTGCCTCGACAACCCATTGCCACGCTGCCTTTCTCTTACGGTCGACGAAAACTACCCGCACAGGCCGCGCGTCCTTGCGAGGCGCCCCGTTCAGCGGTGGTCTACGACAGTCGCAGAAGCGAACCTTCACGACGACAGTGTCGCGACAGGCCACAGTGTGTGTGCTTAACCCTCAAAAAGATGAAGATGGAAATGAAATGATGTTGGAAATTACCCCAAGAGCGGCAAAGGTTTGGCAATTGGTATTCAATGTCCGAAAGGCGCCCATGCTAATGTTTCTACGTTGCAGCGATTGTCACAAATTATGAAAAAGGACGACAATCCCAATCTCGCACTTCGCATCCAGGTAGAAAGCGGGGGCTGCCACGGCTTTCAGTATCTAATGAGCCTAGTCACCATACCACCGAAGGACACGGCAGAATGGTCGACAGTTGTAAACGAAGACGACACCATCTTCCAATTCTCGGACGAAGCGGACACGACAAGTTCATCTGAGCATGGCCCTAGAATTATAATGGACGAGCCGTCTCTGGATCTGCTAAAGGGGAGCAAGGTGGACTTTACCATGGAATTGATTGGGTCACAATTTAAGATTGTTGACAATCCGTATGCTACAAGTAGCTGTGGTTGTGGTACAAGCTTCGATATCAAGATGTAGCATGCGAACAATGAGGCTTCACGCACAGGCAGTAAAACTAAGAGTTAGTGTTGACTCAGTTCGACTGGCGTCTCATAGGATATAGGACTGGTACGGGACAATAGTCCCGTAACAAAAGGATAAAGTTACGAAACGTAACCCGAGTTGGGGTACAGTACAGTGCCTTCAGCTGCAACTTATAAGGGTGACAGGAACAGCGACTATTCCTGCTCCCCGCATATTGCAATTACCTTGTAGAACTAGATATATTAGAACATAAGCCTACTCTGACACGGCCCACATTCATATTGCAGTCATACCTCCAGTGCCAGACAGACACCGCAGCAGGATGTAGGCATAAAGCATTCGCATGGCTCGTCATATGTACATCTTAAGTCAATCACTTCAACACCAAAGGGAGATCACAATGTGGCATGCAGAACTCTAGTGTCATTCATCAAGGAATCAATTACCCTTAAACCTTGTAATGTACGAAACGCCGAGCGACCATGCCGTTAAATAAATTTTCCCATTGTCCATACCACACCAAATCCAGTCGTAAAAGCTACGCCACTTTTTGTTACTATATCTAGTTCATCTGGCGGACGAGGGCGTTGATAGCCTCCTCGCGGTTGCCAAGGTCGCCACCTTCAATGAAGTGCTTGAACTTGCGGGGGCGGAAGCCACCGGTGGGGTTGGACAGCTTGAAGGGCCACAAGAAGTTGGAGGCCTGCTTGAAGTTGGGGCCGACGGAGTAGATCTCGTGGATGAGATCCTCCATGCACACAATGCCGTACTTGCCGAGAGACTCCTCGATGATGGCGTTATCGGTCAAAGCAATGCGCTGCTTGTCGACCTTGCCGTAACCACGCTTGTAGACGAGTTCCTTGATGGTCTTCAGGTTGGGGTAACCGTAAGCAACCCAGGGCTCCACAATCTTCAACATCTCGGTGGTAGCCTTGGTGGCCTTGATGAAGACACCGTTGTTGATCTGAAGCAGACGGAGAAGCTGGAGGGTCTTGCGGGGCTTGGGGGGCATCTTGTTGATACCCTTGATACGGACGACGAAGATCAACTTGGCCTCGGCAGGGACGTAGGCAGAGTCGTTCTCCTTGGCAACGCGGTGCAGGCGGACCTTCTCACGCTCAGCATCGCGGTACTCCTTGACGTACTTCTCAGCACGCTTGAAGATGACGCCACGCTTCTCCTTGTTGGCCTAATTGGGCAAGTTAGCTTTTGGTTCGCGACTTTGAATGCATAAAAAAGCAACTTTTGGTCAGGCGAATAATCAGACCCGAAAGAAGGTATAAAGATCAACAGCATTGACAAATGTCTAGTTGATAGGTATATTGTGCATCATAATGCCAGGAAAATGCGGAGAGAGAATACATACAGCCTTCTTCTTCTGGAGAGAGGCAGTGCGCTCGGCGCGGGCCTTCTCCTGAGACTTGCGCTTCTTGAGAAGCGTCTCAGGGACGAGGATCTGCTCCTTGGTAGGGACGGTACTACACAAAATCAGATTAGTACGAGGTCCGGCATACTCAAGGTATGAACAAGAGCGCCGGTGAGAGAACTGTAGCTGTAGCGCGACATTCTCTGCTTTGGCTGACTCGAATTTGAATTTAATCGGTGAGATGGGATAGCATCTCGGGTCAACAATTTCTCGCTAACCCAAGCTCCTCATTTCCTTCGCACTCATCCGACAACAACCCCAAACAAGATGTTCAGGAACAATAGTCGCGGGCCAATGTACAGAGAAATCCGCAACTTGAGCCTTTGAGCGACAATAAATTTAAGGGTGAAGAATTGACGCGCACATTCTTCATCCCCAACACCTCCTGCATCATCTCTCAGCCCGCAAGCAATATTCCAGCCTGAATGACCAAGGGAGACACCAGAGAGAGATCGAGCTGGCAGTTGCCCACGATGTAGGGCTCAGTCAAAATCGAAAGCCATCATGGACTGCCCAGCAAGAGGACCACGAACAATCTGCAAGAGCACTCGGAACCGGGCTCGATGCCCATATCGAAAGGGCGTTCAGGGAGAATCAACATACGTGGCACCCATTTTTGCGACTGACTGTTTGGTGAAGTCGGTTAGTATTGGCGTGGATGGGAAAGGAAGAGCGCAGGAATGGCGAGTAGGTTGGTCCTTTTTCTCTTTCCGAAGTGGAGCATGAAAATTTAGGTGGAGATTTTCCGCCAAAATTCGAAGATAGGGTTAGGTCTTTTGTGCCTCACACACAAAATTCTCGTGTTTCTGCCGCCTCCCACCGCCCACTAGCAGCCCGCCCTCTCCCGCACCCACACCACTACGGCGCCAGTCATGATGGGAAGATTTGTTCTGCATTTCCAACTGCCAGTGTCGAGAAACCAGACGATCCCAAAATGGCTCCTCCGAAGAGAACCGCTGCTCCTAAGGAGAACATCTCCCTAGGCCCCTCCGTCCGTGACGGTACGTGTTTATTATTTGCAATCCATGCCGGCAAATGGCATAATTGCGTTGTTTGTTTGGAAGTCGAGGAATTGGTCATTGACCCGTTTATACAGGCGAGCTCGTCTTTGGCGTTGCTCGAATCTTCGCCTCTTTCAACGATACCTTCGTCCACGTCACCGATCTCAGGTTGGTCTCCCCCGAAACAGCAGAGTTCGAGCGCCGACGTAGAGCTCGTCATCGCGATTGGAAACAAAAAGGTCCGGTGCTAACAGGATGCGCAGTGGTCGCGAGACCATCACCCGTGTCACTGGTGGAATGAAGGTCAAGGCCGACCGTGACGAGTCTTCCCCCTACGCCGCCATGTTGGCTGCCCAGGACGTTGCTGCTCGATGCAAGGAGCTGGGCATCAACGCCCTTCACATCAAGATCCGTGCCACTGGTGGTATGTTGATATTGCCCCGCCATTGCTACTGAGAGCGAGAGAACAATTGCTAATGTGGTACATGTAAAGGTAACGGTACCAAGACCCCCGGACCTGGTGCCCAGTCTGCTCTCCGTGCCCTTGCCCGTGCTGGCATGAAGATTGGCCGTATTGAGGACGTTACTCCTACTCCCTCCGACTCTACTCGCAGAAAGGGCGGTCGCCGTGGTCGCCGTCTCTGAGCGTCATCTCGAAGGCGGGAATGGCTTGGTTTGGACTGGAGTTTCGCTATCTGGTTTCTCTTTGGCGTTGAGAAAAACGAGGGGAACGGCCATAGCGCCTGGTCCCCATTCTACTGTGCTCTGTCACATCCGATTAGCGGGTGTTTTGGCGAGCTGCTAGGTAGACGGATATGAATTCGCCCCCCGAAGCAGGCCCATGAAACAGTACTCCCAATTCGAGATCTTGTCTTCAACGTGTTGTGATGTGTGTGGTGGCTATGCTCAACCAAAATGTATTGTATTGTAAAATGATATTCTCATAAGCTAACTGTACCGTCAGGTCTTTGAAATTCCAACTACCATGTTCTTGACAAATAGTACATGCGAAACCCCAACTTTACTTCAAGTTCAGTTCACTATTCAACTCCTGGCCTCAAAGACCACATTCCTCTTCCTGTACCGCCAGTTTTGTTCAAAATGGCCACTCTATCGAGGGCGGTCTTGAACTCGTCACTCTGTTTCTTCCCTGGACAATAAGGATTGAAATGATCCACCAGCATTTTGCTTGGCACTCGTCCACCCTGTCTGTTTATGAAAGCTTTGATCATGGTGACGAAGTCTTTAGCCTTCAAGTTCCTGTCCAGTCCGGGTGTTCCCGATCGGGAACTACTACCACTGCCGCCATCCAAGCCCTGCCGGTTCGCCAAGTTGCTCATAATACCGGCCGAACTTGGGCCTCCGCGCCGTCTATTCCCACCAGGTCTTCCCCCAGATCCAACTTCGCCGGTCCATGTAACTGTTCCGATTGGTACACGACGAGCCTCCTGAGCAGCATGCCGCAAGTGAGCGGCAGCTTCACGCGCCACCTGGTTGGCTTCTTGACGCAGCACACGGATATCTGCTTTCGCTTTCTGTGGGCCATTGACAATTTGTTCATGATCATATGCGCTATTCACGGACCGCGAAAAAATGCCTTCCAGCATCCGTCTTTCGTCATGGGCAGAATCGTCTTCTTGGAAGTCCTCCATGGCTGCAACAATTCTCATTTTTGAAAGCTCCTCTTGCTCGACATCTCCTTTCTTGTGCCCAACGCTGGTGATTGGTGCCAAGCGTTGCCTTGCAACAGCTTCCCCGTCAGTGTTGGCTGATATGTCAACTTCAGCTCCTTTGAACACGTCGCTTCGTTGAGCCGCAGCCTGGTCGCCAGCATTGTACGAAAACAAATCATACAAATCGGACAAATCATATGAGCTTCGCTGCTTGGGATCTTTAAGCACTTTGTTTGTCATGAATTGCTTGAATATTTGCCTGTGGTAGATTTTCTCCTCAATCGTACCTTCGGTCATGAGTCGATAAATTTTGACCGGTTTGTTCTGCCCCAATCTCCAAGCCCGTTCCCGAGCTTGCAGATCTGTAGACGGGTTCCAATCAGGATCAAAGATGATAATGCGGTCAGCACCTGTAAGATTTGTTCCCAAACCTCCAGTTCTGGTTGTCATGAGAAAGACATGAATGGATAAATCGGTATTGAATCTGTCAATCATTGGTTGTCTTTGATCGACTGGTGTTTCTCCATCCAAACGCAAGTAGCTTATATTGCATTCGCGCATGCATTTCTCAATAATGTTGAGCATTAATTTACCTTGCGAGAAGAGCAGTGTCTTGTGGTCGTTCGGTATCATGACCTTTTGTAGCAGGTCCTTGGTGAGCTCCAATTTAGCTGAGAGCTTTGGGCTTCCAAAATTGTAGCCGGTCTTGCTTCCGAGACTCTTGTCCAACAGGTCTGGGTGGTTGCAAATTTTTCGCAGAATGTCAATTCCGTACAGTGACTGGCGTCGTCTGTTCAAAATGGCTGATACCTCATCTGAACCAAGAAATGTTTCGTACGCCTTGCGTTGCCCTTCGGTCAGCTTGCAAAACAAAACCTGTTCCGTCTTTTCGGGCAAATCCGCTGCTACGTCAATCTTCAAGCGCTGAAGCAAGTATTCACTGATGGTCTCTTTGAGTGCCTCGGCGCACTTTTCGGCTGTCATGACTTGAAGGTTCGACGCATTGGCATAACCTCCTTGCCGAATGGGTATTTCAAATTGTGTCCGAAAATTGACCAGAGTTCCTAATCGCATTGGGTATATGAAGTCAAACAGGGACCAGAGTTCGGTCAGGTTGTTTTGCACGGGTGTACCGGACAATATCACTCGGTTTGGAGTGTTTAATTCCTTGCAAGTAACAGTTATTTCGGCGTTGGGGTTTCGAATCTTGTGCCCTTCGTCCAGTACAGCATAGCCCCATTCCACTGGGAGCAATTCATCTGCATAGGTCTGGAGGCCTGTGTAAGTTGTGACAAGAACGTGACCTTTGTCCACAACTCTTCTGACTATGCTCCTCGCCGCATTCAAGGACCTGTTTGCCACTGGGCGGTAGTGTTCGACGTCGTAGTCATCCTCAAACTGAGGATTCATCATGCCACTACCCGATGAATGCAGAATCGATACTCTCAAAGGAGGCCACCATCGATGGAATTCGCTTACCCACTGTCGCAACAAGGTTGCCGGCGCAACCACAATAACTGGACGCTCGAGCATTTTGCTATGATGCAAGGCAGCGATGAACGCAATCAACTGCACGGTTTTACCTAGACCCATTTCGTCGCCAATGATTCCTCCAACGTTTTGCTTGTATAACTCTGCTAGCCACTGGACGCCAGTTTTCTGGTACCCGAATAAGGATGGGTGAATATCACCAGGTAACTTGAGTTCGTCATTGATGTAATGATCGGGATAGTCCGGTGATGGTTTCAACCACTCGTCCTCGTCCTCATCACTTTCTGCTGAAGTATGCTCATTGTCCGCCATTTGTCGACGAGCCCGCCTTGCTCTACTTCTCCTCAAAATCCAATCTTTTAATCTTCGTTTGTAAAGATTTTCATTGCCATCATCAAGTTTGCTGAGATCAACTTCTTCCTGCTCTTGTGCTCTGAGTTTGGCCTTCTGCTTGCGATTTTCTCGTCGAATAAGATCATCTTCATTCCCCTGTTGCCAAACTATGGAATCAGCAGATTCTGACCCCGACGGATGGTCTGGCTCGAAATCTGCTGATGAACTACGCTCCCGTTCTGTCCGCCTCTTCTTTCTTGGCCGCAGTGAGAACTCACTCTCTACGTTGTATTCTGATGGTTTTAGATCTTTTACAACGACGTCATCGACGAAACCCGGACGCCGCAGCAGCTGGTGTGAAGTCGGCCCTTCAGCCTCTTGGTTGTATTGCTCTGCGGCAGCCTCTTCTTCTGCCTCCAATATGGTGTCGGCCAGTTGGCCAGCTATTCCTTCAGGGCGGGCTCCTCCCACCTTAGCAAACGGGGTGATTTTTCCTGTTCGAATAAGATACTCTCGGTGACTTTCGCCAGCAAGCCTCTTGGACTTGGAATGAGTGGTAGCATCTAATTGGTTCTCTTGGTGTCGTTTATCAATGCGTGCTTGAAAATCTGCAATGTCGCCCGTAATTTGGCCGAGTTCCTCTTCCAGCTTTGCAATCTCCTTTTGCACATTGCGCGATTGATACGGATTACCAGCAACCCTCTCTAAGCGCCTCTTCTCTTTGTCCAGTTGAGATTGTAGTCTTTGTCTTGTGGCGTCCAGCTTGGCCATACGATTCTGGTCCTTCTTGTCCTCGGCTTCCATCAGTGCTGCGCTCGCCTGAATGGTGATATCTCGCTCCAAATCATTCTGATCTCTTACGGTTCCCGTCAAATTCTTCAAAGCATCTTCTTCAGTCATGACCTCTGACTCAGGTCTGTCAGCAGTCTGCTCGGTTTGCATTGCTCCCTGAGCGGCTGCGATCATCTTTTCGACCAAATGTTCGCCTCCTTCGCCATCGGCGCTCTGGTCTTGTTCCCAGTCGCGATCCATGGTAACCAATCAGAGAGTACCGGAGGCAGCCTGTTGCATTATTGTCGAACTTTTTCGAGAGCTTTGAAGAAGATCTCCTCCTTGTTTCACAGTCTATATCATTAATACATCTGGTGACGCTTCACATAGGATGCCAGTCATCTAAGGGCTGGAGCTGGGAGACGATGAGATAAAACCATGACTTTCGGGTTGGACTGTCGTCATGGTTCTCTCGCAAACCAGTAGATGCGGTCTCCCAGCGACTTCCTAATGACGGCTAGTCAAGGCGACAGCAGGAACGGTGATGGTGGAAAGCTCAAGTGCATCTGACACGAGCCATGCATGACTTGGGTTATAAATCGTGAATGGAGTGAGCAATGGTGGCAAAAAGCATGACGTGATTGGCCAGCATAGTGGGGCCCATTCCTTCCCTGCTAGGTCGGCCCTCTTCCTACTCTCCTTTCTACATGAACACATGGACTACGTCAATGCTTCATAGCTACCCTATATCAATGGCCGAGTGCAACGCGTTTTCACAAATTGCGATCTGATGATGCTGATGCAGTTGCATGTGAGTATTTTTTGGTTCAATAAAAATAATAACTCTCTATTTTGGACCCCCTTTACCAAATTTATCCAATCTATCCAATCCGTGTAGGGGAATCTCTCGTGGTAAACAACCCACAGTCAGTTTTTGAGCAAAACTACCGAATTTCATTCCATTCTTCCGATGACTACAGCCATCCCGTTCCCAAGGGTCTGTACAGTGTAGGCAAAGACTGCCATTCCATACTTCTCTAAAACCCAAAGCCAGTATTCGTCCAGAAAAGCAGGCCCGCCACACGTTATACACCGCTAACTTTTGGCAGTATCTCGTTTTTGCGTGGAGAGTTGGCGTCATCCATGTGACGAGCACAGACTTCTCTGTATTGAGAAGAGAGGCCCAGTTCTTCTAACCAACTCTCCCAGCCAAGTGCTTGCTGTCTAGTGCCCAATTCGTATAATCGTTCGAAGCTTGCAGAGAACGCTGCGTCGGGCTGAGCACAGATTTGGAAAATCTTCTGCATCAATTTCACCCAAAAGGCAGGCCACTCGGGGTCAAACGAGCTCTGGGGGTATCGAAATTCCACAGTTCCCAGGAGACTAATTGCAATGCCACATCGATGTGGCGTCGTCGTCCCAGACGTCCCCGATTTCAAGTCTTTCCGGAGGCTGTCTATTGTCTTTGATGCAAATAAGAACTGCATGAATCGAAAAGCGTCGGGCTCGTCTGGAGACCTGTTTTGCAGCTTAGATCGGATGCCTTGAATGGTCTGTATGAAGCCTCCGACGGACGGTGCCGTCTCTGTCTCATCACCCTTGCCCTTCCTCCCAAGGATTGACATACTGCCGATGGGTTCCACGGAAGGTAAATTGCGTCGAACCGGATGACAAATTCTCTGAATGAATGGCTCCTCAAGTAGGCGAATCACAGCAATCACCTTCTTGGCCAGTGGGAGATCGATTGATCCCGACGAAGGACTGCTGTGGATATGCAGACCGCAATCTGAAGTAAGGTTGATCAGGAGGCTGTTCCTCAACGCCTCAAATGCCCCTGTCAAAGTTGGTAGTCCAGCATCTATCTCTTTCTGATCCGAGATGACTGGCAAGCTTATTTCCATTCCATTCCAAGAATGATCCGTCGGAGGACGCTCGTTGCTTCTATTGGGGATATGTTCGCCGTCCACCAACCAGAACCGGAACTGGTGTTGCTGACCAAGGTGATATTGTTGACCCGGGAAGTTCTCCTTGGCCAAATTTTTGTTCCATACCCGGAACACATGCCCAATTTCAGCTTTTCTAAGGGGATGTTCAGGGTCTTCAAGATTGCCTGTGCGTGTGACGTAAGTGCCTTCGATATCCTCCACCAGATCCCCTTCAGGAAGTTTGGTCAAGGGATCCTGAAGCTTGCCTGGGTTAATGCGACAGGCGACCGGCAGGTTGCAGCTTGTCAAGGCCTCGCATACTTTCAAAGTATCCAGACTCGCAGAGTACGTCTCATAAATATCGTGGTGGCTTTCGGAGTCGGGCCAGCGATCATCGCCGGATAAGCGTGGGTGTAGGATGGCGGAAGGTGGTCTTCCAGCCAGCATAAATTCAATCTCTATACCGAAGTTCTTTGCCATCTTCTTTCGTCACAAAGTTCAGGAAGAAAAAGATCGATCTCGTGCTATTACTCGCAGGTGCCGTCGAGGGAGGGAGACTGATGGGCATCTTCCAGTCGGTATGCTGCGGCAACATCATGGCTTAAATACTGAGTCGAGGGCATTGTTCATTGCTCATGTATCCGTCATCTGTGATAGTGGGAGTGATTACCTATCTAGTCATGAATGATGTCGAGTTCAGGAGAAGTATGATGGATATTACTGCTTCAATGTGTAACAGGGTGAGGTAGTACAACCGAGCGATGCAAAGTCTTTGGGTGCTACTAGCAGCTAGGTAACCACCAGTTAGGTAGATGTAGAGGATGGTATGAATATTCAGCTTCTACTTGCTCCATGTCTCTTCCATCTGCATAGCTTTCCCACATCATTCTAGCTACAGGGAATTCACTTAGTTCGAGATGGATGTCTCTTGTCTTCCCATGCTGGGTAGTCTTTACGCCTCAGTGGTAATTTTTTTTGAATTCATTGATTTATTGACCTTGAAGAGTGGGTGAGTTCATCTGGAGTAGATTGACGGGAATCTATGATCCTGGTTCAATGCTCGTTCGTGGTAGAGCAGGGTGGGTTGTGGGAAGCAGTCCAAGTACGATGAAGGGGAGAAGAAAGGATGGTGACACATGAAGCTGGTTGCATGTCCGCAAAAGTCGAAAGAGATGTGTCATTTTGCGTCGAACAGAAGTTGAATCTCGGAGCTGGACAAGCACTTATCATTTCACACAAAGTCATCATGTCAGATGCGCCGGGATTTGGCTGCCCAACAGCGAACAATGGCGCTTCACAGATGGACCGATAGTATCAGCATTGTCAGACCACAAGTGAGACATTGAAGCCATTGAGCTCCTTCACTTTGTCCATTCACAGGCTCATGCTCATGTATGCTACTTAAGTAGGTGGTGGCGAGATTGTGCCGGATGCGAGGTCCAGAGCATGCAGTGGAAGGAGTCGACGAGTCCGTGAATGCCTGCGACGTCGGAATTCCATGTTGGGTCAAGTCTGGTCTGGCCTTGTCTAGGCCGGAAAGAAGCGCACAAGCGCCTGGCACCAGTTGACCATTGCCCGCGCTGAGACGCACCAGACCGCAGCAACGCGCCGCCGCGCCTATCAAATCATTTCGCGTCGTCGCCGCCGCCGCCGCCAAGCAGTCCGGTCTGGTTGAACTGACTTGACAGCTTCAATGCTCCCACTCTTGACCACCCTTCAACCTTTTCAATCATTGCCAGAGCCCATGCCACGAGCGCCGCCGACATGCACATCATAAAGCCCTCGTGGCTGAGTCACAGTGGCGAGCAGAAAGACTTTGAGGTGTATAGCTGTCACATTTCCCCCGATGGCAAACGACTCGCGACCGCCGGTGGTGATGGCCACGTTCGAGTCTGGTCGACCGACGCCATCTTCAATGCGAAAGATGCCAGCTACACGAAGCCGCGCCAGCTCTGCCACATGAGCCATCACTTGGGGACAATTCACTCTGTGCGGTTTTCCCCCAATGGACGGTACTTGGCCAGCGGTGCCGACGACAAGCTCATTTGCGTATACCATCTGGACAAAACGCCTGCCATCGCCTTTGGGAACAACGACCCGCCGCCCGCAGAAAATTGGAAGACGTACAAGCGACTCATTGGCCACGAAAACGATGTTCAGGATTTGGCCTGGTCCCCGGACTCGTCCCTGCTGGTGTCCGTCGGGCTCGACTCCAAGGTCGTTGTTTGGTCTGGCTACACGTTCGAGAAGCTCAAGGCCATCCCGGCGCATCAGAGCCATGTCAAGGGTATCACGTTTGACCCTGCCAACAAGTTCTTTGCGACGGCAAGCGACGACCGAACCATTAAAATTTTCCGTTATACGCCCCCGGCCCCAAACTCTACACAACATGACATGATCAACAACTTTGTTCTCGAGACCACAATCAGTGCACCATTCAAGAGCTCGCCCCTCACCACGTACTTCCGGCGGTGCTCATGGTCCCCTGACGGCAATCACATCGCCGCCGCCAATGCCGTAAACGGCCCTGTCAGCTCAGTCGCCATCATCGAGCGCACCAGGTGGGACAGCGAGATCAACCTGATCGGCCACGAAGCGCCAACCGAAGTTTGCATGTTCTCCCCACGACTCTTCCACACGGTCAAACCAGATGAAAATGCCACGTCGAATGGAACTTCTAATCCGTTGCTCGTCACTGTCGCCGCCACTGCCGGTCAAGACAAGACCCTTTGCATATGGAACACGAATACATCGCGGCCCGTTGTCGTTCTTCAAGATCTCAGCAGCAAATCGATATCTGATTTATCATGGGCTCCCGATGGCCAGACGCTTTTCGCTGCCAGCTTAGATGGTGGTGTTGTGGTCGTCAAGTTTGAGGAAGGAGAGCTCGGTTGGGTTGCTCAAACCGAAGAAAACGTGAGGGCTTTGCAGAAATATGGCGCGTCTCGCAAAGGAATGGGCATGCCCGAGGACGTGGATGGCCTGTTGCTGGAGACGCACAGCAAAGCCGGAGAGTCCAAAGCCGTCGAGTCGAGGATGGGTGCGCTCATGGGAGACCTGCCATCAGATACGCCAAAGGAGTCTACCCCGGCTCCAAATGGTACAAAGGCTGGATCGGAGAAGCATGCCACTGCCACAAATGGCGGCTCCGAGCCGGCCAAAAGCCCTGGCGAGGAGCAAGAGGATAAGGCTGCAGACAAGGCTGCAGACAAGATCGCAGACCGCGTCAAAGAGCTAAAGTCACGAGTCACGATTGGCAAGGACGGCAAGAAACGTGTTGCACCTCTTCTTGTTTCGTCGTCCGGTACTGGTCAGTCCTCGTTGCCCCAGACACAGCTAGTTGGCTCAACAGCAACCAAGACCACGCAGAATGATGCCCCGCAAACCACTCTAGATCTCAGCAAGCCGTTCGACGGACTACCCAAAGGTGGCATCGCTTCCATGCTCCTGGGAAACAAGAGAAAATCTGTCACTGGAGAGGCCGACGAGGATGAAGAAGAACCTGCGGCCAGGCGAGTTGCAATAGGTCCTTTGCCAATAGTTACCAACGGCATTGATGGCGTAGAGCCTGCCGCTCTTACTCTAGTGCAGAATGGAGTGGTCCCTACGCCCGAATTTCTGCGTCCAGCAGTTTTAAATCCATCAATATCATTTTCTCAAGTGAGATTGGCAGTCCCTCGGATTCGATCACATATTCTCCGTCCAATGGATCGAGGGGTGTTACAGCCGGATGGCACTTCCGAAGATGCATCCAAGGCCCCAGAAAGTATCATCATGGAAGCCAAAAACGACACGAACCCACGGGATCCATCGCACGTCATGGTCACGAAGAGAGGAAAGTTGCTATGGCAGGAGTTTCTTCCCCGAGCCGTTATCCTGGTAACTGCCAACAAGAACTTTTGGGCGGCAGCCTGTGAGGACGGGTCTGTTCACGTATGGACACCCGCCGGTAGGCGTTTGCTGAACCCTATTATACTTGAATCCCAACCAGTCATTCTGGAATGTCGAGAGCATTGGCTGTTGTGCATAACTGCCGTTGGATTGGCGCATGTCTGGGACTTGAAAATGCAAGCTTCACCGCATCCTCCAGTGTCACTTGGACCGATCCTCGATGTAGCCACCACGTCGTTGAACCAGCACACCGCGAGCCCTGGGCCGGGAGTCACTTCTGCTCATCTAAACACAAACGGATACATTGTCGTGACACTTACTAACGGCGACGGATTCTACTATGCTCGGGAAATGTACACCTGGCAGCGGCTGAGCGAAGCCTGGTGGGCAGTTGGGTCTCAGTACTGGAATTCGAATGATTCTTCAATATCCGCATTACAATCAACAGCTGTTGGGGCTACTTCCACGGAGACTGGAGACGAGACCACGACCGCTACCGTCTCTTCTGGTATTATACCATTCCTGGAGCGTCACACGACGAACGAGTTTCTCCTCAAGGGTCGTGCGTATGCTCTGCAGCGCATGATCAAGACTGTCATGCAGCGGAAAGAAAGTGAAGATTTGGAAAGCACCATCAGCATTGCTCATCTGGAAAATCGTATTGCTGGCGCATTGCAACTCGGAGCCAAAGAAGAGTTTCGCCTGTATCTGTTCATGTATGCCAAGCGCCTGGGAGCAGAGGGGACCCGACCCAAGGTTGAGGAGCTTCTTAATAGTCTAATGGGTGGTATTCTGCGGGAAAAGCACATCGAAAATCAGCAAGGCAAAGGATGGTACGGCGTCGATGATGAGATTTGTGGTTGGAATCGCAAGGAACTTATCAGAGGGGTCGTTTTGATTCTTGGTAAGTCGTGCCTGTCCCATCAGCTGTGGATATTATGTGCTGTGTCTAACAAGATCCACAGGCAAATATCGCGAGTTGCAACGGTTGACATCACAGTACGCACGGGTCCTTGACCTTAGCCTGGAAGAGAGCGCCGTGGACGTTGACAACATGGACGTAGAGGCTTAGCCGACCCTTGGATCCTTGGCACGTTGATCAATTGTAGAATGATGGCACGGTGGACCGTGCTTTTGTAAATTTACGTTTTTGAACCGGCACCGGATGCGACTGGGATTGTATTTTTGGTTGTTTCGAAGATTTGGGATGCAAAGATAACCCCCGTTCTGGCGTTTGGAGGACAGAGCTGAGTGACTGGACCTGCAGGCGACGGAAGGACTAGTGTCTACATGAGACGAATACATTGTTCATCGCGATTTTATTGGTGCCTGCTAATCTTCCACCCGTGATCGGAATTCCTACTCGAATTTTTTGCTATCGTCAGCAGTCGTGGCGTGGTTGACGGCAGCGCGGGCTCAGGTATCACAAAAGAGTGAGAGCCAATGATATTTGGATGGTAATATCTGAAAGACCTGTGCCTACATTCATGCCGACCGATCTTCGCCGTACTTGCCTGATATTCAGATGTCTTTTGATGAATCACGGCGGCGGCCCTTCGTCAGCTATGGATGAATGCAAAGACGAACGACTGTCGATTAGTAACATTGACCAGTCCTCGACTGGCAGCCAGCCCTCAGGCAAGTTATCCTCACGGGTTACCTGCCAACTGCCCGTCAACTTCCTGCCAGCTGCCTGCCTAGCTTCTCGCAGTTATCTGCAAGCTCGTGTCTGGGATCCATTTATCCACTTGCTGCCTGCAAACCTCATCTTCGGCTCGAGTTTTTACTCCTCTTCTACATCTTCTCTTCAAAACCATCCACCATTTCCTTCGACGTCGACAGCCAGTATCGAAGAGACGCTTCCGAGAGCTGCTTGTCGATTCCTTTTCTTCTCTATTCTTCTACCCGCCTTCAATTTTTCGCCTGACCCCTTCTGTTCCTTTCCTCTGCCCCCTTTATTTCTTTACTCACCCATAGGCCGCCGTCTCTCGTAACGACTTTCCTTCCTTTCAACTCGTATCGCAGGATGACGAGCTGGAAACAATGTATTCCCTTGCCACCCAACTTCGTATGGCTCGCTAAATTGTCACGGTTATGGCTCCTCGTTTGGCTCTCCTCACATGTTCACAGTCCCTATCCACGGATTACTCGCGCCGATGATGTTACTCCAAGAGCCGCCCTCGTTACTCTGGCCTATGAATATGACCTTGAACCTTTGCTTTCATCAATGCATCAGTTAGAGGATGCCTTCAATAGCCGATACAATTACGACTGGGTGTTTTTCAGCACTGCGCCTTTGAGCGAGGAGTTTCGTCGGTTGACATCGAACGCAACCACAGCTACATGTGTTTATGAAGTCGTTCACCAGGGTGATGTCCCTTTACGTCACAGGGAGAAAAAGGACCCCATCAGCCAAGGTCAGCCATCACAAACGTCCCAGGAAGCTGCTTCACCAACTCGTGGCGACACATTCGAACCGCCACAGACTTTCCGTCAGCTGCAGCGATGGAACAATGGACCCTTTGCAAAAGAGAAGCGGCTTCAGACATATGACTGGTTTTGGAGGATTGAGCCAGGAGTGAGTCTTCATCCGCCAAACTATAATGGATTGTATTCCTTTTTTTGTTCCGAAACTCTAACTTGGTCTATAGGCTCAGTTCACACATGACATTGGATTTGACATTTTTCGTTTCATGAGAGATCACAACATTGCGTACGGATCCAGCAAGGCCAACTTTACACCACTCCAGCGGTCACTGCTTTCACATCAGGTCAAAAGATTTTTGGAAAAGCACCCTGATCTTTTGCATGCAGAAGCAGATGTAGCCTGGCTACTTGGGCTTTCTGATAATGGTCGTAGCCACGGTGATTCACTAAGAAGCCAAGAGTCGAATTCCGATGCCACACAGATTGTAAGTGGTAACTTTGGCAACGACTAGGGGTCCCAGAGCTTTAGTGCCATTGACAAAACGGATGACGACGCAACCACGCCAGCAGAAGCCTTCACAAATTGGTTAGTTACCTTCTACAAGAGCGGAGCTTCGGCCAAATTCGACATAGGTTCGCTTTCCTTCTTTCGGAGCCACAGTCATCAGGTGCTTCTAGATCATTTTGATGGATACGATAGTCAATATGAACAAGATCTTGGAGATATCTTAGTACCAACCATTAGCGCCAGCATGTTCCTACCGCAGAAGAGTGTATGGAACCTCCGTCAAAAAGACCGTGGCTACAATAGCTGGCCACACCCCCCTGACTCAACCCCGGAGCCAAAACTCAAATTGTGGCATCGCATGAAACGAGCAGTGCGCAACGATTCATACCGAAAGGTGACGAAAAATAGACAGAAATCTTTACAAGACCGCCAAAACGGACTAACGGAACGATTTGCTCTGTGGGATGTGATAGCTGAGGACTTTGGTAGGCAGGCTACCATACCCGGGCTACGATCGGGGAACACTGTGATTGACGAACGCAACTTTGCACTCAGTTAAATTTGCATTGGTGTGTATTTCAAGGGAGGTGCAGATTGGTTCAACGAGTATTGAACGGTTTTTGCTGGTATCAATCTTCTAGGCAATAGCGCCTGATTTACATTTTGTTGTTGGTCTTTCAGAGGCACCAAAGGCGGGCACATAGAAGTAGATTTTGGGTTTTTCGAATTTTTACTCTTTATTTGATTTATATTTTTTTTGTCAAGTGCACGTTCTTGCAGTTCGCGATCACATCGCCGTGTTCATTGCGAAACTGAGAAGTTGCAGTGACACTAAGCTACGTTGACAAAGGCTTGGGAGCATTTGGAGTATACAGTGGGTGTAGAAGCATTAGACTAGACGAAATATAAAATCTTTCTTACTTCCTTGGCCTTGAGTGTATTCAATATGGAAACAATCAACGTCCCCTCTACTTTTTCTCCTCCAGTTCACGGAATCCAGCAAATCATCGTTTAAAAAGACACCACTCGCTCGTGATACAGATCGACCGGAGGGTCAAGAAGGTCTGAAGACACCTAGAGTTACTTTATGCCTCTTGTGGAAAATATTAAACTTCAAATAAACGAAGCCGTTTGTAAAACGAGTGGCGTTTCCAAGTTCTTGCAATGTTTAGAACGTTCAGCATCGCGAATGACGTGTTTATGCTAGTTCTACACTCTACAATTTCAGGTATGACTTTCCACGGAGAAGTGGAAGATAATCACAATAAGGGCATCATTAAAGACTCCGAAAAGATTAACCGACTGAAGAAAAGTTGAACGGCGCCAGAGAGATCAGGCATTCATGTAGAGCGTGCTCATGCCCCCAGCATTGTTTCGAGCGGTGCAGTGGCGTGATTTGACTGAGAGCTCAGAACGAGGCTGCTGGAAACTTCTTATACTAGTAAACGAGGAAGATGGGGGCATCGATTTGTCCAAGTCGAATGTGTTGACTATTCGGAGTACCGTGTATTCACTCGACGATTACTCGTGAACTTTGTCGGAAATCTGTGAAAGTGGCATCCGGCTATATTTCTCCTACGAGTGAATGTTGGCACCCTTTTCGAGTAGTAGCTCAGTGACACTTTTATGGCCGACCGCGGGGGCTCGCAAAAGTGGCGTTTTGATAGTTTTCATCCCGATATTGGCGCCCCTATCAAGCAGAAGATCGCTGATGGCACCGTCACCGTTCTCGATGGCTTCCGACAGAGATGCCCGACCATGCCGGTGCTTTGCGTTGAAGTCCGCACCATGGAACTTTGGCCGCCGTAGAAAACCCGTTTTGAGCTGCAGCGTGTAAGTCTTGTCTTTAAAGTCGCCAAGAATTTACTAGGAGGTATAATGCGTCGCGCTGTTGATGAAATACATTTCTCAGCAGTATTTTCTGTGAGAGTGAATATGAGATCCGGGCCTGGATCATTCGGAATAAGAAGAGCGTGGAGTGGTTCGTCCGCTGTGAGAGGACGTCTTGCGAAGAGGACAAATAGGAGCATTTTTACCCAATACAAGGCAAATATCTAATGCTTATTTTTTTAGTTTCTCGAATATGGGCCTGCATACTAAAGTTTAGATTGTCTCGCTCATTAGTCAAGTGAAATTACAAGCATGATACGAGTATCGTGTAAGCGTAACATCCGATAACACAGTATCAGGCTGTACCAGGCCAAGAACAATAAGAGACCAGAAAAATAGACCGTCTACGCATCGTGACGCGTCAGACATACCAGCGAAATTGGTGCCGCGTCGCGGCCCGCTAGCCAAAGCCATCTCGCGATAGATGGGCTTGTATACAGCTTCTATATTGTCAAATTGAAGACTATTCAAGCACTCTACTTTGACTAGTGTTCGGTGTCTGGCTTGTCTTGAACGTGTTTATAATCCACCTTGAATAGTTCATCATGTTCAAGATTGTGGTACTTGGTCCCTTCGCAAAAACATGTTCTCGAATTGTGCTCCCATTGATCCGATGGGACGCTCAAAAATGCGAAACGATAGTCATTAATAGTGCGGGCGGCTTGTTTAATGAGACAGTCGCGACAAATTTGCCTTCTTTCCCGGTTGTGTCAAGATCATATAGAAGTACAACAACTACTAGGTAGTGAAAGGCTTGAAAATTCTTCATCCAGCGTTACAACAGATGGCACCAGCTCAACATATAAAGCTCATATCCAGCCCACATCATGGTGACTGTGCCTAGAGGAACGGTGATCTAAACCAGCGAGATGCATTGTGTCAACGAAGACCAGTTCAAGAGAGACTAGCCATGCATATCATGACATACGGTCCACAGTCAGCGGCTCCATGGCATCCTTGTTTGGAAAAGCGCCGCACACAATCTATACTTGAGTAGTTACCAAAAGGGCAGTATGGGGGATATCGGGGTTCAGTGCTGGCAGCAGTCTAAGACCAGAAATCGGCAGAGGAGGCACTGAGGCCCAAAGGTTAGGCATGAATCCGACTTGAGCCTTATTATGCAGCAACCATCTTCCTGCAATCCACAGCTTCTCCTTGCCCGGAATGGAGCAAGTACATCTTGACCAATAAATAATATTGATCAATATTATGCCGTTTGGTGTTATCCGTGGTCGCTCTCTGCCGTGCACTGTACCGCCAACTTTCAAGGACTAGGCACTCCCCACCAAGAAGATCAACTGTCGTTTACACTCAAGTACTCCGTAACTAGGTAGGTACTGGTAGTAATTAGGCATTATTTGGGACAGACTGGGGGCAGAGTCGGCAGGATCTCCCGTTGTGCCTGTAGCAATAAAGGCGGCAATACACAATGAGTCCTCAAGTACCCGAGCACCTGTATCTATGCTCCAATTAGAGATAATTGAGGTAGGATTGAACCGTGAGCTTTGGGTGGGTTCATAGATGGAAGCTGCGGTACCGCGGGCCATTGGACGGGATGGCTGTGACAGGCTGTCTTCAGAGTGTCCGGTGTTGGGAATCGAGAGATCCTGGATCCGAGCCTGATCATGATGACGTGACAAAACTTGCAAGGCAAATAGAGCAAACCGAAGACGAAGCAGGGCCGAAGAATAATCCATCAACTTATCCGCAGGGTCGTTGTTCTCATTGCATTCTACCTAAGCGCCTAGGCAGGTTGCTCGGTGTCAGGACCAACCACGTGCTCGACCGTGCCGCGTGATGTTGTATGCAAGACATAGTAGCAGGCCGGAAGACGGGCGCAGATGATGCCCACGATGTGTCAAGTGGTAGTCATTATCTGTGGCATGGCCGGCGTTTGGATGCCCGATGGGGTTGAAACGGCGCGGGAGCATTGGACGTGCGTGATGATCTCAATATCTGCATCGGCCCGGGGTATATTAGCAGATGCTGCTAGCAACTTGGCAGGATAAGGCCCAGTACTAAGTAGGTACCTACCTAGATATGAGGGTGTGTACTGTGCAGTACTACGCATCAAACTCTGCAGATGATGGATGTCACGGTCCCGAAGTTAGAGTTGACATCTAGAACTCCCAGACACAACTGCCCCGGCCCCTGTCGAGCTGGAGGTGGATTCCAATGGCACCAGACACATCTCAACATTGAAGTATCTGGCCGCTCGGAGCATCAACTATGTACTATTCCCTACTTACGGAAGGCAGCACTACTACCCAGGAGGTTCGTGGCTGGCGCTAGTCGTAGGAAAGTGCGGGGGAGGCTGCTCTTGCCCATGTCAGAACCCTGAGCACAAGTACATAAGATGCCGGGGATGTACGGTACAGAGTACCCCTTGGGATGTCTGACCGACAAAGCGAGTTTCTTAAAAAAAGCACAATCAAATTCCCCAGTTGTTGGGTGCTTGGACCGTCGAGCTCAACCGTGCTGGTGCTTAGGATGCCCCTAGCCGCGAACCTCGAATATTGACGCTGGACCTCAAACGAGGCATTTTGCCAAGACTTGAAAATCAGGGACATGGACGGAACAGGGCTCCGTCGAGTGGGGAGCCTTTTCATCAGGCGCAAATCAGCGACTTTGCCTACACCCTGATGGGAGGCATCTTTCATGGATGGTGCTAGCATGGGATACTCACATGTGCACTCCAAGATAGTAGTAATTACCACAATGCAGTGTGTTTGGCGCAGAATTCACTCCAAGTCGGCCCAATGTGGCTCCTTGTCGAATCAATTACGGAGTACCCGTGTTGCCAAGGACTTGCACCCTTAGGCTCGCACCCAACTTTAGATTTCATTGATCCAATGCTGACATTTGAAGCTGCAAAGCCACATGCAGTCAAGCCAAGTTGCATTAGGCAACATCGAAACGATCCTCGCCCGCAAGCCTCGGACTCTTCTTTTTCTTCTTTTGCATTTGAGTGTTGCACAATCCTTCTTCAGATAATCTTGTAGGCCATCGATCGGCATCGGCACCGGCGTGCCCTCCTTGACTTGAGTCTTAAGCCTCCGCGCCGCCGTTCTGTCAAAGGGCAGATCCCAAACAAATCTACCTTCAGCCACTTTTCTCGGCCAAGACCAAACTGGTGGACAGCCTGGGCCACTTGCATCACTCGCATTCAAGTCGATCGCAGGGCACACTACTACCTACCTCTAAGTAGCACTGGGTACATTGCGCCGTGGCCCATTTCTGATCGCCGCCCTTGTCGTTTTCGGACTCGGTGCTCGTTCACCCACCACACCGTTCGTCAATCATTCGCTACCACTCGACACTTGTACTCTGTACTGACTCTCCTTCCCGACCGACAAGTGTCTGGTCAATACTTTTTTTATTTGTTTTATGTCAATACTGGCCACTCTCTTGCGTCTCGACATTCCTTTTTTGTCTCTTTTTTCTTTCCTTTTTTCTCAATCGCGACGAAAATTTGTTTCTCAGCGCCGCTCTCCGCTCCTTTTACCTCCGGCACAAGGCGCGCAGCTTGACCGTCGACTTCCTGTTACCCCTGCTCACCTGTTCCCTTCGCGTGATATCACCACCAGCGACGTGCTGCCATCATGGCAATTCTCGAGACCGCGGCCTCAAAGGCGGCTGGTCCTGCCACCTACCGGAGCACCAAAGGAAATGGATTCGCAAAGAACGTGTCTTTGATCTTTGTACGTTCTTCTGCTGCCGCCATGCCGTGGTACCTGGGCGCACGCGACCTGCACGAGGCGACCCTCGAGACGGTGCTTGAGCTAACTATCTACCTAGTTGACTTTCCAGAACTCGGCCCTGATACTGGTACGTTTAACGTTCGATCGAAGCGAAGCGATCCAGAACCGCCGTCGTCGTTGGCTGCTCGTGCCAAGCCTAGAATGACCTAACATGCTTGCAGGTGATGCATTACTCGAGAGTCATGCCTCCTGAAGGCGACCACCGGTATTTCACATCGACAGCTGTCTTTCTCAACGAGGTAATCAAGCTGGCCATATCTCTCACACTGGCTCTATACGAGACGTCCAAGACCCTGGCTCCGAGCACGCCAGCCACGGTCCTTTTTGAGCAGATTTACAATGGCGTATTCTCCAGTGATGGCTGGATGCTGGCCGTGCCCGCCGCTTTGTACACCTTCCAGAATTTGCTGCAGTACGTAGCTGTCGAAAATCTGGATCCAGTTCACTTCCAGGTCTTGTATCAAGTCAAGGTGCGTTGTCTATCAAATCACCATCCAACTTCAAACAATCAAAACCTGGCTTTCCATGCTGACAAACAGAGCAGATTCTCACAACAGCCATCTTCAGTGTTTTTCTTCTCCGCCGCCAACTGGGTTTCAAAGGATGGGCATCCCTCGTCATCCTCACTCTCGGTGTCTGCATCGTTTCTTTGCCATCCTCCGAAAAAACGACCAACTCACTCCTCCTGCACGGCGTCCCCGACCACTTCTTTCCTCGATCAAAACACGAAATTGGCCAAACTGTGGCTGGCGCTGATGTTCCCGAAGCAGCGCTGCATCTGAGCAGGCGGTCTGCCACCTACGAAGGCATCGCCAAGGATTTGCCTCCCGCGGACCCCATTATGAACTATTCTGTGGGCGTTACCGCAGCCCTCGTCTCTGCCGTTGTGTCCGGATTGGCAGGTGTTCACTTCGAGAAGCTGCTTAAAGAAAGCTCTACCAATGCCAGTGTCTGGATGCGAAACGTTCAATTAAGCTTCTACTCGCTCATTGCCGCCTTCTTGGGAGGCTGCATGTACCAAGATGGTGCTGGCATCCGAGAACATGGGTTCTTTGAGGGCTACAATGCCGTGGTTTGGGCAGCAATACTACTCCAGGCCGCCGGTGGGCTACTAGCCAGTCTCGTGATTCGCGATGCCGACAATATAGTAAAGAATTTTGCGACGAGCATCAGCATCGTAATCAGCTTCGTCGTCAGCGTGTGGATCTTTGACTTTGCCGTCACATTAACAGTGAGTTATTTTCCCGCCTAATTGAGCGCTCCATCTCAGCCTTGCAACTAACAAATCAGTTTCTTGCGGGCACTTCCCTTGTTCTCCTGGCAACATACATCTACAGCGTCCCAGAGCGTAGGCTCCACCGTCCTCCGGCCATGCGCATCGTTAGTTTCGAAAAGCCCGCCATCGAACAAACCGTCACGCCGTTGCAAACGCCTCGCACGGCAGATGTTCGCCGTTTGAACACTGACCCCTTAGAGGGCAGGGGGGTCGGCAAGACGACAAGTCGACCCAGTAGTCCTATGTTGCCTCGTGTGGCGAGCCGCACTCATGTCCATAAAGAAGTTTAGCACATTTTATTCAGTTTCTGTTTAATTCGCGGCAAGTATGGTATCCGGCGTCTGGGGGGAAAAGCATTGATTTAAAGCAGTGGGGATGGCTATATGAGCATTTGTGGATTGGCAAGGCTTTTTTGGGTAGGATTTTTGTAGACGGATTTAGAGGCTTGATACCATGCGACCAACCTGCTCTCAAGACCTGGCAGGGAACCGAAGCAAACGTTGATTTATATGGCTACCAGTGCCTTTAGCAACGGAAAACATTAGACTTATCAACACGTTTTCTCTCAAACTGCGTCAAGAAAAACAGTACAGGCTGAACGTTGATTTCTATTCCCTGCTAGATATCTACCTTTGTAGCAGGCGCGCACCTGACGCTCAGCTACCCCTGGTAGAAAGTCTCTGTCACAATTAACTAAAGCTTCAACGGGAAAATCGACCTTCCAGATGACGTTAATGTCGTTGATTTGCCCTTTACATCCCCAACATGATCTCACCCAGTTTAACTGCTCCCTAAGTATTACTCCACTGTTTACTCTCTCCGCCGAGAAAACAATATTTGGTTTTGATATCAAACGCCTCACATAATGACTTCATTTGCCACATCCTAAATGCACATGTCAACAGTCTACTCGAAAATTGTGGCTCGGGAAAAAGACTCTTACCCGCTTCAATTCTTTGTAGGGCAGACAAATGCAGTTCTGTATACGAACTTCATCCCCAACGACACAGTCCTTACCCAGGATAGTGATACTCTGAACCTTGACGCCGTTCTTGATAATGCTAGTCGAGTGGCTGCTCGCTGGTGTTGGTGTACCTTCTACACGGGCCCAGGCGCCTACTCTGCTGCCCCAGCCAATAATTGAGTATAAAATGCAAGCATCGTGCTTGACCTCGGAGTCCTCCAGGACCACACTCTCCTTGATGCGGGCTCCAGCGCCGACAATGACGCGGGGTCCAATGCTCACGTTGGGACCGAGCTTGGCAGTTGGGTGAACTTGTGCGGTGGGGTGTATGAAGACAGGAGGCAAAATTTTTGCACTAGGTTGGGTGAGTTCCTTGTTATCCGACTGCCATGCTTGCTGCAAATAGAGTGCGTTGGCGGGCACAGCAGATCCTGCCGTCTTGATCTGGCGCCAGAAATCCTGGGTTTCGTAGACAAAGAACTGCTTGCTGTCTGCCATGTCACTCAGGATATCTTGCTCGAGTCGAATTACTTCGTTCTTACGGCTGGATTCGTCATCGTCGTCGTCACCACCTGGTGGAAAATGATGCGATTCGAGATTATCCGAGGAAGGGTATGATACGAGACGAGAAGGTCGATCGAGGCGGCGCTTGATGGCCGATTTGATGGATGGGAAGATTGCCTCAGTGGAGAAGAGATATACACCACAGTTGATCAAATTGCTAATTTGGGACTCGGGCTTTTCGACGTAATGCAATACACGGCGAGTATGCGTGTCAGATACGATGCAACCAAAGTTGGTGGCGGCATCGTCGCTCACACGAGTACCGAGAATGACTGCCTCGGCATCCTTTTCCACATATAGCTTGAGCATCTCGGCCAGGGGAAACGAGCAGCACACGTCGGCGTTGAGAACAAATATTCGTTCTGGTTTGCCCTTGAGGATGGCATCGCGGAAGTGGTATAATCCGCCAGCGGTGCCAAGAGCCTGATATTCGCGCAGGTAGCGGATGGTGATGGAAGGGAACTCCTTGGCCGAGTCCTTGATGAAGTCGCGGAAAACAGATTCGTCGTAGTAGCCAATGATGTATACTTCTTGGATATGCTTGTTGGGCACGCGGGCAATGGAGGAAAGGCAGTGCCATATGATGGGGTGACCAGCGACTTCGAAGAGGGGCTTGGGGAGGTCGAGAGACAGAGGACGGAAGCGGGTGCCTCTTGACGGACCGCCGACCTTGGATCGTACATGTTAGCCGAATAACAATGGTGGTGTCAATTATGAATATGCTCAGTTTGTTTGTCGCCTCGATCGCAAGCTTGCCCGCAGGGAGCAGCATCAATTGTTCCCATTCCAAGGCCACACCTCCAGGGTCCTCGGACAAGCCAGAATATTATGCTGCCGTATTTGTTAAACTCACCAGAATGATGGCTTTGGTTGTGCCCTGGTCCTTGGACCGATGCGTCAAGGGGATCTGGAGAGACATTGCGGTGACGTTTGTTGGGAGTGGAAGTGGGGTGGTTCGATTGGAGACTCGTGATGGACGACGAGCAATATATCGCGAGCTATCCTCACGCAGGCGCCTGCCTTTCTTCGCACAATGCAGATCCAGCCTTAACTGCGTTATACACACGCAAAACAGGGAGGCTCTATGAGGGTCAGGAGATGATGCCTCGGTGGTCTGAATCAGCTTGATCAGACATGGAGTCGAAGCTCAGGCACAGCTGGGCAGGAATGGCGGGGGCGGATTGGCGTTGCCAGGGGGCGTCCAGCCGTCAGCCATGGAATGAATGCCGTCGCCGGTGGCCGAGATTATTTCTGCGGCACTCGCAGAGGCAAACCTGGTGCAAGTTGGACGACCCTGGTCCATTGCCAGTCGGAGTCGTTGCAGAGACCATAGCTCCAAGGATGTGCTTCAGATTACCTAGGTCAATTACGCGACGTGTGGTTCAACATTGAGGGCGCCCACAAACCCCAGCCCCCTGCTTTTTTCACCATCGCAACTCCAGCGACCATTAATTTTTGATAGTGTCACCTCGACGACAACGGCCGGACTACCACAAATGCTGCGAAAAGTATACGTAGTAGTGCACAATTGGTTTCTTGTAAAGAATTAAAAAGCCTTCTGTTAAAAATTTTGCCGTATTTATCATGGTACTGGGTCGCAGTGCTGGCCATCGCTCTCCTCGCACTATCACTTCTGATCTTGTTCAGGAGTCTGCCCAGAGCTCTGGTGGTCCAACGAAGCCAGCTGTTGCCACCTGTACAGCAGACCAGAACTCGTCTTCATATCCGCGTTGTCACCTCACTTTACACTCACTTTCACTGCGAGTTTGACTTCCTCCAATTGCACTGTTTGTCTGATTCAACCCTCCCATTTCTCTGTTTTCAATATACCCCGCCAGCCTGTTTGAATTTCTCTGTACCCAGCTACAATATTTTCCACTCCAAAGGTCTCCTTCTCTCTGACCTTTCCCCTCTAAGCCTCTTGTACAAGATCAGTGCGACGCTTATCCTGATCCCATTGAAGGGATTTGAGGATGATCTTCACATTCCCTTTCACAGATTCAGTCGCCATCAATTAACCCGACATGACAACTGCAACTCCGCGTCGTCACCGTGGAGGAGGGGGGAGCCGGCGTATCAAGCAGGACCCAGATACCTCCTTAACAGAGCCTTTCGCCCTGGACGACATCAACGATGTTGATGTGAGATCTTATGTTACGAACTACGGTCCCACCAACCACATAGCTCGCCAAGGCAGGTCTGATGCACGTAAGTCTTGGAAAACCTCACCTCTCCTATACTGATATCTGTACTGACATGATGACAGCTGCGCCTAGTGAGCGCAGCCTCGACACAGGACCAATGTTGCGAGAGATCAGGACTCGTCCTAATGCCACGAATGGCGTGTCTGTGGAAAGTCCAATCAGCAATCATGACGACAGTTTCTTTCACACCTCTTTCCAAGATATCGGAAAGAAGCTAAAGGCTTGCAACGACACCTTGGGCGAACTGCAGCAGCTGGGGGTGTCTCATGATGTCCAGTTGCCAGAGCTAGTCCTTGTTGGTGACCAGTCAGCCGGAAAATCGAGTCTCATGTCCGGTCTTGCGAATTTGGATCTGCCCAGGAGTGAGGGCACCTGCACGCGATGCCCACTTCACATTCGAGTTTCACGCAATAGCGACTGGTCTTGTCGTGTCTGGCTTCGAAAAGAGTACTCATTTCAGCCACCCACTGATCGACCTATTGTTGAGTCGGATGTGACAGACGAAGATCCATTCTTTCCATGGCGCAAGCAACCTGTTTCGGCGGTGCATGAGTTCAAGACCATGCAGGATAAGAGTCAAATTGAAGAGGTTTTGAGATGGGCCCAGATTGCCATTCTGAACGACGATAAGCACCATGGTCTGTTTATTCCAGGCTCTGGAGCCATCGCAGTTAACAGGCGTATTGAGGACGCTGCCGCAGAGACTGTCGCCAAGTTCTCGCCCAACGTTGTGGCTTTAGAGATCAAAGGGCCCGATCTGCCAGATCTGTCCTTTTATGACATGCCAGGTATTTTCCAGAATCCTGCGGATGCAAAGGATGATTACTTGGTAAATGTCGTGCGCAACTTGTCTAAAGCCTACATTCAACATCCTTCTGCCATTATTATTTGCTCCATGCCTATGAATAGTGACGCCGAGAACTCGTCTACTTTTGGCCTAACTCGAAAGCTGGGCGCAACCTCGCGAACTATCGGCGTTCTAACGAAAGCCGACTTACTGCCAGAAGCTGGAAACCACGACCAGTGGTTGGCTATCATGAAGGGCTGTACCCATCAGACAGGTCTAGGATACTTTATTACTTCACGCCCACAGGGCAAAGATCTCGATGAGCTGAAGAAGTGGGAAGAATTGGTGTTCGAGTCTCACTCTCTTGGGAACTGGCCATCGGAGTTTCATGGATTTTCCGAACGATGTGGCGTTGAGAAACTCAAGTCGTTCCTCTCTGAACGTTTGGGCGAAGAATTTGCCAAGAGGTAAGCCTCCAGAGGAGCAGTTGATGTCGAGAGGACACTGTTTGCAACAACGGCTAACCCGTTACAGCCTGCCCAATATTAAGCAGAAAGTCAAGCACCACTTGGACAAGATCACAAAGCAGCTCGCAAACCTTCCAGAACTTCCGGACAACGTGGAGCTGGAGATAAAGACGGGGCTAATGGCCTTTGCTGACTCGGCACGGCTCAAGTTGGAAGGGTTTATGAGCCACTTCAGCGTTCTGCCGCGCAATTTTCGCAACTGCCTGCTGGAGACAAAGCCCAAGTTCACTCTCAAAGACAAGTCTGATTTTCCCGTCCTCGAGATATCAGACGATGAATCAGATGCAGCATCCGTTGCAACAACTACTCCAACTGCCAAAAGGCGCACGGCGCCAACAAATATTACCCCTTCTAAGCGGCCTCGTCTGGAGACTCCCTTGCATGGGACCCCTTCCAACGGCCACGTAAAACCCGAGGAACAGCATGGACTTACTCTACGTGGGACTAGTATCATGGCTCCTCGCGCGACTATCCCCAAAAAAACAGTCTTGCCGGAACCATTTGCGGGGTTTACCAATGTTGGCCGTGGTTTCCGTACTCTGCGTCAAGTTCGCGAGGAGATTGAAGCAAAGACCAAGGCTGGCATGCCTGATCGCACATCTGATCAAGTTTATGAAGATCTGGTAGTTGAAGCAGTCCGACCGTGGAATGGACCCATGGATGCCTTTATCAAGCAGACAATGCGAGAACTTCAGTCGGAATTAGAATCTACCCTCAACAAAGCGTTGGAAGGGCTTAAAAAAAGGTTTATTTATCTGGAGGCCAAAAGGCACCTGCGGAGGTTCCTCGAGGAGCACCGCAAAGAAACAGAGCATGATCTTGCCCTCCTCTACCATGACGAAAAAGAACGCCTACTCACCTTCAACGACAAGACGTTCGAGCAATACAGGGATGATGAGTACATGGAGCTTACCCGTTTTCGCCACTTTATGCGTCTCAAGGCCGTTGGTCCAGACCCTGGGAACTACATTTCAAGCGACAAGCTCACTGAAGACAAACGAGTACAGGAAGCGAAGAGGCGAGATCAGGAGATGCTCAGGCTTGGTCGGGATCCATTTGCGCGAGAGTTGGAGGTCATTGCATACGTTAGGGGGTATTATCGCCTCGCGGCCTTGCGCTTCGCCGATGCCGTGTCCCAGCGCATCATTTGCCGTATGATTCCAGCTATTCGACGTCAACTGCCGCACTATTTGGAGGATAAGCTGGGTATTCGGGGTCCTGACGCCGCAAGTGTCTATGAGAGACTGATGGAGGAGGACGAGACAACCGCTGGCAGGCGGGAGACGTTGAAGTCTGAGAAGGATAAGTTTGTGAGGGCATTGGCCAGTATTGAGCTTCTCGAAAATGGTGCAGCAGCTGCCGCAAACATGTCAATGTCTAGCATGGCTGGCGTTAGCATGACAGAGACGGAGACAGCAACGCAGAGGGTCGAGCCCATGGAGTTGGATAGTCGCACTGAAGAAGATGAGGTGTAGCGTGCGAAATATTGAGCCTTGAACCGAAGTCTAAGATGTCCTGGTGGGGTGATGTCGCGTCGCATGGGCTGGTGAGAGAGATTGGCTGTATTCTATTTGGAACCGTCGTTGGATGTTTTTGCAATGTGGAAACAAAGTGTACATTTGACTGAGGGAATCGGTAGAGGGATGGATAATTATCGACTGTTTGTATTCGCAAGAAGGAATTGACGGGACGAAGAAGAGATTGCTGTTGGCAGCACAGAGGACTCAATGTACAGATAGATAGAGGCAAGCAAGCATGGAACCAATCGGCGAATTGGAACGCAAAAATGGATTCTGCTGCCTTCTTTCTCCCCCTTCCCGCCAAAGAAAAAGGAAGCTGCGCCACGAACAAATATGTAAACGTAGTTTGGACAACAAACACACTTCTCATCATCTCCACCAAAGAAAAACACACATGGCCCGCTTATAGTCAATAATCCTGCGGCTCGAGCATGAGCCAAAAAAGACGCATCGTGGCAGCAGGTATGGACAAGACTTATGGCGTGAATAGCTCCGACTCCAACCCGCTAAATATGTCCCCTGCAACGAGTTAAGGCAAGACGCGGTGGCGTCATGGGCCGGCTTCCGAAAAAGACATGGATATTTAGGCAAAACGCGAGACCCGGGGCGGCTGGTTTGGTTCTGGAGTGGCAAGTCCCGGCCACACGGGAGGTTCGGCGGCCGGAGGTTGGCATGGGCGCCAATCAGAGACGAGGAGCGGCGGATGACATGTCCGAATGGGGTAGGCAGGAGGCAGGCGGCAGGAGGCAGGCGGCAGGTTGTGAAGAAACAATGATGGAAATAGAGAAGCTGTCCGTGGAGGAGTGTGAAGGGGGGCGTGGAAGGGGGCTTGGTCACTCTGGAAGCAAGACTTGGGGGAACCGGCTCTGATCCAGCGCCCTCTTTTGGCTGGAGATTTGCAAATCCTCCCCAGCCACAGTGGTTAATGACTTGATATTCTCAAGTAGCCTCGGGTCTTCGGGGCAGGAATGCTACTTTACGTGTGTACCGCCTCGCGTTTCCTACTTGTTATGGGATATGGCCCGACTCCCTCATGCCAGCAGAATCGTTCTCTTTCTCCATTCCAACATGGCTGCCGAAGAGATGCCAGACAAGTAGAGAGCCAGATGACAACTCTCATGAGCGCCCAGGTAGCGGGAACCCAAAACAAGTCGACAAATCTCGTTCTGCGCTCGAGGACAGCCATGTGCGCCTGTATTTGCTGACAAAAAATGGTGCGGCGTTGGCCTCTGTGCTCCAAGGCGACGTTGGTCAAGCGAATGTCGGGTCACTGCTCCGGAAAGGTTCGACCAGAAGGACTGTGTCCTCCGTACTATTAGATTTGATTTGATACAACTTTCACGAAGTTGACGGGCATGTAAGTCTGTCTGTCCGCTTCGTGGACGCCAGCGTGGTAGTTGGCCGGATTATTACTTGCAGAGCTTGGGACATGTTGCCCGGTTTATCGGGAAGCATGCGCTGCAACGCCAAGCTGCCTTTTTGCTTATTACAGCAACTACCGAGTACATTCTAGACGACTAGAAGGCAGCTGCCGACACAAGGTTCATCACAATGTCTCACATTTCAAATCACCGGCAACCAGCCGCGTGACAATACTGCCAACAGAGTCATCTTTTTGCGACAACGGTTTGCTTTGGTTGCCTCTACTAGTGAATTAACCAACCTTTTTTTTTTTTTTTTTTTGTCTAGGCCAGGCCAGCATGAGGCTGTTCATGTCCAGGAGCAAGCCAACTTCTAGTTAAAACTACCAGCCCCTTTTGACAGTACGCTTATTTTCCACCACGGCAAAATAGCCAATTTTGCCTCATGTCTCCAGTCTCCATAACCCCATATATTGGTCGGGTGTGACTGTACGGAAATCCTCTTTCCTGACAAGTAGGACATGGAGGCTGTGGCTTGCATGAAGCCAGCTACATATCTCCGGTTGTGATCTTGCCCAATCCTCCGATAGGGAGACTAGCGGCTGGCAGGGAACCACCCGTGGACAAGCAAGTGTTTCTAAGGAAAAGATTGAGCTGGTGTCCCCGTGTTTTCGATACGCCTGGGTGGTAGAAAGGCAGGGTTCGGGCTTGGGTCCCCATGTATATCTACACGGGTGGTGACCTGGTCTGAATACTTGTTTTATCCTCAACACCCTATAAGTGCTCTCTTGAATGTTTCTTCCTCTCCCTCTTCTCCTACACCCTCCGGGATTCTTGTAAACTCATCTTTGTTTACGTCTTCTATGTGGAGACCAAGGGCCCGACACTAGAGGGAATTGTCCGGATTTTCGATGGTGATGAGGCGGTTGCGCATATTGACTTTGAACAGTTGTGCGTAGATAGGCTACACATACTGGCACATGGTTTGGGTGTTGCGTGTTTTTTTTTGTTCCCTTTTCCTTTTCCGTAACTCGGTGTTTGAGGTTTAAAGTTTGAGCTATATGTTCAATTGTGCAACTGCTGCATTACACAGCAACTCGCTCAACACTCATGCGAGTCTCTTCGCAAACACACCCGAGATACGAATGTATCAATGATGATCAACCTGTACGCATGGAGTGCTGACAACTTATCAATGGATACTCCACGGAGGTTGAGCCTCACCCTTGTGGAGTCCATGGACCATTAGTCCGGGTCGATGCTAAAAAAAACTCAAAAGTCCCCCAGCAGAAGAGTCATAGTTGTATCCGCTCGAGTGCGCGCAATTTTAATCTCTCGATCCGTAACGACCACCAGTTCAGCTGAAACGCAAGAAAAGTCTCAGACACACCTCAACATGCCACAGAAGATTTGGCAACGCACATTCGAAGCCGGCCTCGGCCTGGAGAAGACGCTTGCTGCGACCCGGAGCCCCGGTCGCCCGGTCGCCGTTGAGAGTCCGCCGACCGACGTGAGACAAACCATCCCGCCTGCCTCCGGCTCGGGGGTCCGGATGCGGCCCCGGCATTGGGCGCATACACCGGCAGGCACACGCTCCCTTGGTTGGAACTTGGCGCTAATGGAAGCATGAAACAAAAAAATAGGTCGACCATCTCCTGAAAGCCGAAGTCGGCGGCGACGGCTTCATACTCACGTCATTCACCGCTGAGGATGCCTGGGAGCTGGGCCACCTGCTGCATGCGCGACTGCTCCCGTTTACCCCTTCCCGTCCTGCTCTCATCTCCATCAGCCTCGCCAACGGCAGCGTAGTGTACCAGAGCGCTACGGGGCCCGGCATCACGCCCGACAATTCCGTGTGGGTGGCTCGCAAGCGTGCGACCGTGCTGCGCTTCGGAGTCAGCAGCTGGATGATGGGCCGCAAGTTTGAGGGCGACGAGGTGGCCTTTGCTGCCAAGTTTGGCCTGGGGCCAGACAAGTCGGGTGAGTATGCTATTCACGGCGGTGGTGTGCCCATCAAAGTGCGCGGTGTTGAAGGCGTGGTTGCCGTCGTCGTCGTCAGCGGGTTGAAGCAGCATGAAGATCATGGCGTAATTGCAGAGGTCATCCGGGAGAACTGGGCGCCCGTGGAGGGTTAGCTGATGGTGGTTATTAAGCTACATTGACGTTCAAAACTGTGTGTCGGAGGGCCAAACTCTTTGCTGAATGCGCCACTCCCTCACCAACTGGCAATTACCCCGGGAATGGCCTAATGGGAAAGTTCAATATGACGACAACAGCGACATGATTCAATTTTGGGCCAAGTGCTGCCATGAGAACCCAAGTTAAAGGACGTTCTTTTGTCACTGTTTGAAGCTATGTAGTACTCCATACATGGATCCGACTCCCGTTTTAGCTGGATGCTTAGCCCCAACGTGATAAAGATGAGCAAGCCATTTCGACATTCGGCCAAGCATCTGGCATTAGTTCTCTGTTGAACATTTGGGTTATTGAAAGACGTACTTAATTGAACGCTCCCTTTGGGGAACGAGCTCAACCGACGTAGTCGATATGTTTCTTGTGAGACAAATATCCGTTGGTCAGCTTTTGGGCTAATCTCACTTGTTACCAGCTTTTGCTTTTGTTAGGGAGGGGCGTGCCCCATGGACGCAGCAGAGCTTCCAGGGTCATATTGGAAATAGCCATGACGCTATTCGGTGCCCGTACTGTTGAAATCAGCGAATGGGATGTCTGTTGAAACTCAGAGAGCGGGGAGAACATGCAACAGGCCGTTTCTGGCAAGTCGAGCCACCGCCTGCCTTTCAGCGCGATGTCTTCCTTGTGCGAATATGGAGGCTTTCATGCTGCGGTGAGGGCTGTGGTGCATAATTGACAGTGAAAGTTACAGTAATTTAGCATTGCTGGGATGGTGTCTGAGCAGTGACAGTTCCGCGGACGTAGGTGTGCATGTCGGGTGACGAACAAGAGCAACGCCCATTGGATATTCGTCACGGCCCTGCAGGCAGGGCCTGAGAGCAAATTACGACGCCTCATGAGGGTTGTGAAGGGTGTGTCCGGAGTCTTGCTTTGTAGTGAAAGAGTGAGTTGCGAAGGCAAAGGCCGTGGCCACATGAGAGCTGTGACACTTGGCTGTGGTGTAGAAGAATGAGCGGTCAACATCGACTGCTGCAACTTGATATCCCGTCGAAACTCGTATGTCTTGGCCCAGCCAGATGACGCAACTGCGCTCAATCATTTGTATTCTAATTACAACAGCAGCCATGGATTTAAAAACCGTAGTGTCAATATGAACAAGACCACAAGCCCCTGCATGACTTTTAGTACTAACCAGACTGGTTTAGGACTGAAGATAGGTGGCTTTCGTAGCAACTATTGTGTAACAGGCTCTTGAACAAACTCAGCCTAGAGCTAGTATAAGTCCCGAAATCGGTTGATATTAGCACAGTTTGAGCAAGGGAGAATGTTACTGGCCACGGTTCCAAGGCGTTGTTGCTTCACACCTTCGCCATGCCAAAATCCAATGCAATCGAAGGGTCGATTGGGAAGTGCTGCACCAGAAGTACGAGGTACTACGCAGTGTATATGTAAAGGCAAGCCTAAGCGCATATGAAATAGTCAAAAATACAAAGACAGGAATTCAGTTCAGGCTTTTCTACTGCAGCTCAGACGGGCATCGTTGAAAGGATCGCATAATGGCGAGGAGATGATGATGTGTGGTTGTGGTTTGCCGCAGAGATGGACGGCGGTGGGCCTTCCCGTCAGCACGGGCCGTGGTTTACCCGGACCAGCCACAATGGGGAAAACTGGCAAATTGCTGGCAAACCCGACCCACCTTCTATGTGGTTATTGTTACTGAGCTTCGACCTTGGACACAACCTCCGTCAGCTGGGCCGAAGACCGTCATTTGCTATCGGCGGCTTTGCCTCCCTGCCAGCATTGTACTCATTATTGAGTATGATATTGCGAAGGTGAGCGCGTGTATCGGGCAAAAACTCCTCAACTCGAACCTCCGCCTTCCGGTCCTACGGCACTAACCCTCCAGCATGGGAGCCTGCCAATCGTGCCTAGGCCGGCGCGATAGGGACGACTATGAAGAGGTATGGTGTCTCCCGCGACTTAGGAAATACCCTGTGGCTCTATCATGAATGCTAACGCTTGATTTAGAGCGACGAGAACCGTCTACTGTACGACGATGGCAATGGAATGGGCTACGGAAGCTTCAACGACCCGGCCATGACTGGCGACGACACTCTTGAGGCACAGCGTGAGCACGAAGCCCTGCAAAGAGTGGTGGCTAAAACATCAAAGTTGGTAGAATTATGGTTCTGAGGATGGCTGGAATGGCTTGAACTGACTTGTGTAGTAATATGGTGGACGTTTTCGAGATTGGCCCTCAAGATTTCGTTGGCCGAGGCGGCACGTCCACGCCGTTTGCCTACGCTGGACAAGGCGCCAGAGTTGCTCGTTACCAGCACCTGGTGTCGAAATTGAGCACTGAGGAAGATCTTGCTACCCCTGGAGTCAAGATTGATTGGCTCACGGACGACGAAGACAACCTCGAAATGCGGAACAACACGACAACCAGTGTCAAAGCCATCGACGATGGTGCAGTTGGACCACTTGTCGGCACATTCGCGGATGCTGCAGCGGCCATGAATTAACAGTGAATATCTTGAACCGCCACGACCATGGCCATGAGCGGCGGAACATTCGATCAACGCCCATGCTCTCTTTTTTTCAACTTCGTGTTTTATATCCCACCATGCTGTAGATTAGGCAGTCTAACGACTATCTCTGGTATCTATTTCCGTACTATTTGGGTTGGGGGGCTCAATACCCAAAAAAAAGCCGGGGCTTCTTTTCTTTTTCTCTTCTTTTCTCTTTAATCCTGGGCCAGGAGCGGCACAAATTTCGAATCATCCTTAGCTGTCCTCGAGGACTGAGAGTTGACTCAGATGTCTTCTCTCTTGCTTCTCTTGTTTGCATTTTTGACGGCCAAGTTTTCTTTCTTCTCTTTTCCTTCGCTTCTGGAGCCGAATGGGTTGAGACACGAACACATTTATCCACATGTTTTAGTACGTATGATGGGGAGGAACCAAGTGTACAAAAAGCAGCCACCATGCAGACAGACGAATGGCATTTATTTACTTAGACAAAGCAGAAAGCGCCAAGGCCGAATCGCTAGATTCAGAAAGGAAGCCAGCAACTGCGTCCAAAAACGGGACCTGAAAGACCGTTATCATCCCTGGCCCTGGACATCAAACCTGGTCGCGGGGTACCATGCAGGCAGCACTACACCCTATTCTACACCGCAAAAAGCCCGTTGGGAGTTAAACACGTGCTCAACTTACTAGTGGAGTCCGACTAGCTTGTGAACTGTCGTCAACGCCATGCCGTTCAAATGGCCATTGGCTTTTGTACTCCGTCTTCGGCTCGCACCGTTTCTTTAGTTTCCCTGCCCCAGTGAGGGGCGGAAGCAAGGATCTTGCCGTGCCTCTGTCCAAGCTGCCGGGACGGCTCGCACTTAACCTCGCGTTCAACCAGTCATTGCTGCACCGGATTTTGGCTCGTACAGGCAAGGAGGACCACTTAAAGGGCAGAATTGGGGGGTTGGTCCGAAGGTTCGTTTGTGCTCATCAGGGATTGCCATCAAAGCCCTTCCGACTCAGCCACTACCAAGCCCGAGCCGGACAAAGAAAGGGGCCAAGGGGTACTCCGTACGGAGTATGGAGGTCGAGCTTGGTCAAAGAAAACAATGGTGCGCTTGCGTCCCTTGTTAGACGGCGTCCAGCGAGCCACGGCAATGACATGACCTTGTCATGGTCCATGGATAGATGTCGACAAGCCCTCAGCTGCTCCACTCCACTCGCAGCAAACCCGCAGCAACGTCTCCAACGCGTGAGCGTTGGCGAGCCGTAACGACCTTAATTACCTCAAGATTGAGTCGCGTCCAACGGCCGCAGTTGTGCATGATCAAGACATTCAACTGTCAGATTGGCACAAGATCTCTCCGGACTCCGAGCGGCACATCACCCACCAAGCTGAAGGCGCATATGTACGCGGTACCATCATCCGGTGCCTGCCAGAGAAGTCGACAGAAAGCCGGCTATAGGCCCGATAAGCGAGGAGAGGCACCACGCACACACCGTTGCCCACACACGCACACAGGAACGGACAACAATCCCCGCGGCTTTTCAGAGTTGAGGGCAACGGGCGTCCAACTGGGGTCGGGGGCCCTCCTCATGTTGTTGTCTAGGGCATCGCTCGATCCACTAGAAACCAAGGAAGCGGCATCTCCGATGGTCTATATTACAGGCTTTTCCTCCCACTGAATTCTTTTTTGCAGCTCTATTACGGACTAGCTACACCTCTGAACGGCTCATGGCTGGCAGGCCAATGGTTGTCTGCTCTTGGCCACACTACTCCGTCCTGGAGCCTGCTTGGGTAAACACACGCGTATAGACCACTCATCAGTCCACAAATTCATCCCTGAGTTAGCTGCTGGGAATCAGGACATGATGTTGCTTAGATCTTTTGCATGGGCGAAGCTCACTTGGCAACAAAAGGATTTGACAAAAGTATCGAGACAATTAAACCGCAGCACTACAGGCAGGTCACGCGGCATAACCCTGTGGCCATGGTTGACAATAGATAGGTATCTAATAGCTAATGAAGAAGAAGTTTCTCAATGCGGGCTGCCTTTTCAAAGTGCTTGCCCTTGGTCAAAACCAGACCGCCCCAACGCCAAAAGCCCCCACGGTACACACAATGAAAACGCTGGCTCTAATAGCTTTTTTTGGTCTGTAGCTTCTCCTTCCAGCTGTTGACGTGATCTCCCATGCCATCCATAACGGAACGAATTAAACACCAGACGAAATTACTAGTCTGAATCTGAATATCCTAATGCTTCTATCCACGCCTTAAGCAAAGGCCGGTGCGGACCATGGCAAGCCCCGCGCGACTTGCTCTATTCTCCGACAAACTGCATTTCTGCTGCGCTTTTTCTTCTTCTTGTTCTTCTTTTTCTTCGTCTTCTTCTTCTTCTTCTTCTTCCTCCTCCTCTGCCCTTGTGTCGCCTTCTGTCCTTCTTGTCTCAAAAAAAAAAGTCGTGGTGTTTCCGACTTGTCTTGTTTGGTTGGGTGTCATGTCGCCCGTCTTTCTATTTCGTCATATTACTTGGAGCCAATCCATCGTTTTTGTTCTGCAGAAAGCCCCCCTCTCGCCCCTGGCTTCGTTACTGAACACACACGTCGATTAGCCACAGTTCTTTGTTTCTCTCTGCCCCCAACTCGTCGGGAAGGAGCCCCTCGGGGAGGTCAATGGTTGACACCAGTCACGGTCCCATTTGCTGCTTGTACCCTTGGAGGGCTGGATTGGCGGCGCTCTCAATTGGAAGGAAGGGTCTCTCATACCTGACCAAGCGACTGTAGCCTGTGTTCATGCTCCTCGCGCATTCGGTAGATTTGGTTAAGCACATCTTGCATCTCTCCGCATGTCCGTTCTATCGTTGCACTTCGATTTCCCTCTCTTTGCCAGCGTTGTACATCCCGATACATTTTGTCGTATCGACGCTGCTTCTTCTCCATATCGTGGCAAAGCTTACACACTTCCCGTTCTACCTTGGTCTCGTACACAAGCTTGAGCCCACAAGTCTCCCCCATTCGGTATTCCTTGTTGCACTGCTGGCGGAAATGTCCCCAGCGCCAGTAACCGCAACTCCAGCGTGTTTGATCGAAGTAGCACATGGTCGAAGCATCAGCCAGCGGCACACGGCGGGCCAAGGTGAGAGGGGAGAAAACTGGTAGAGCTAGCAAAACGCCGTCAGCGTGGGAACCGGGTGATGGAGACCACTTTTGGCTCGAACGTGGCCGCGAATCGGGACCTATTCTGCCTCCTTCTGTCCTAGCCAAGGAGTTGCTTCATTGGTTTGTTCTCCTGGCCGTGCCTTGATCTACATAGAAAGGCCGAAATACGTGAAAGGACTACTCACCAAGCACTTTTAGCCTCGGCGGCGTACTTATCAACACAGCTCAGCCCACACAAACACAGACCCCCTTGTCAATTTACTTGTCCGGTCCTTTCAAGCGCGTGTCCTGTTCGGCTTCGGTCTCTGGTTCCTCGGTTCACAGCAGTTCAATCCGTAAACAGAGGAGGTCGTGTTTGTCGACGCTGATATCGTTGAGTAGGTTTATCAATTGAAGTCGTCTTTGAAGGGGATACACGTGCTAACTTATACTTATTCGACGACAGCCGTTCATCACGTTGCCATCCGCCCTATCTTCGTTCATGCCACGCTCTATAACTCGACAACAGTGGGACTGTTCCGTAGCCAACAAGTACCTTTTACGCACGCCAGCCAACGACGTCGTCACCATCGTGTTGCTTCCTGCGGGATAAAGAGGCCTTGATACGTAGATTGGGTATCCTTACCTACTGCCCCATACACTGCACCCAGCATCATGCACAGCATACACGCCCCTAGGGCATCTACGCCCCTCCATTGTCAACCCCCCCTGACGGCAAGGGGAGCAACAAGTTCTGGATGGAGGAGGGAGGGGTTGTCCACGAGAGAAGGTCGACTTTCTATTTTCACGAGTCCCTCTCTTGGCCTCAGGCGGTCCAGACAGCCCAGAGGACACCCCGAGTGCCCAATGAACTATGGTCTTCCTCCTGTCAAGCTGCCCCAGTTTGAAAGAGTGGGCGTGTTCAGCTTCTACGGTACGACGGGCTCTCTAAGTGCCACGTTGATCAGGCCTCAAACAAGGCCCCTAAGTCTTTCGAGTACAAAAGCAGAAAACTCTTGCTCCCCCCCACTGAGACCCGGAGCAATATCCATAGCCCGGGCCCTCCGAGAGCCAGGTTGGACGTCACAAGGGCCTCAGGGTCTCATTTTTCTCGGTTTGGACTCTGCGATCAAGTCAATGTGAATTCTAATTACCAATGCCATCCGGGGCTCATGTTGTGGAACGTATTTCATGATTGGGCATTGACTTCTCTTTCTTCTTGCTCTTGGGCCCTGACCATATCTGACTGCAGAACGACATTCACTGGCGTTGGATGTACAATGCATGGCCCACCCTTGGTCATGACATTGCTTGGAATTCTAGGTGTTCTTTGCCGCTGCGGGTTTTGCTTAGGCTTCTGCCTCGTCGGCCGCAACTATGGCGACCGGATCTGCGGCCGTGTGGAGTTTGTGGTTCGTCCCGAAGACGAACAAGTGTCAACAACCAGGCAATGCCTGGTCCTGTCGAACACTAGTTCAGATGCCAAATTTCGGTGTACAGCAGGGATGTGATTCGATCGTCTTGCCCCCTAACAAACCTTCCATTTGGCTCGGACTCCACGAATGCCGTTGCAGATTCCACAACGGCCATATCGCCCGGCCTCAGGTCCCCTCGTCTCATACTCGTCGTACAATTTCTTTCATCTCTCCCATTGCCAGTTTCTCATTTTGACAGGTATGTTTCATGTGCTCAATTGTTTGCTAGACGATGATACAAAGAATTGGATCAGCACATTGCTGAAGAGAAGGGACTCGCGGCACAGGGTTGCTAATCAACTTCAAGTACCAAGTACTCATTCCCGCTGTTACCCAGCTACATTCACAACTTGTCAGATCCTTGACAGTGTTTGGAAACGCCGAGACGGGACGTCTTCTCAA